ACTAATGTCATTTAAATTAAGATAAAATTTCAATTGAGGTTGAAATGAGATAAATAAATTTTTTTGTCCCCCGTAACAACTGTAACAATTTTCTACCCTATCGAGGGTTGAAACCGACCGGAAGTGTAGGGCTAATATGATCTTACGTAGCGAACAGTTGTTTTCATACTGCTCTCAGGAGTTTTGTTGATGTGACACTAGAGGGTGAGGCGTCGACAAAATACAGGTCATCATATAAATCATGTATAAACACATATTGCATTGCAATTTGCGAAAATAGACGAAAAATAAAATAATATGAGAAGAAAAAAAAACAACAAAAAGCCATTTTCAATTAGACAAAAATGATAAAAGTTAAACAAGCGAAAAACAAAAATTGGATGCGCAAGCGCAAGCACGTGTTGCATTTCTAAAGTGTAATTATAATTTTATGTGTCAAAAAAAAAAAAAAAATCATCTCTCCACTTTTTTTTTAAATCAATTATTAATTTCCTACTGTCTCGGATAAGTAGGACGTGCTATCGAATATAAATGATAAAAACACTAAATCGACAATTTGCTGATTAAAAATAAATTAACATATTTGACATTAATTGCGACCTGGACCCGCTAACAGATATTTTATTAATCTAAAGGTGAATAAAAAAGCTGTGATATTTAAAACGATTGTAAAAATTTCAAATTTATTTCTCCAGAATATAAAAATTTGATAATCTTTTTTAAAAAAAAAATTGAAATTATTTACAATTCGTAAAAAATAGAAGAAAAATAATGAGAATAACTACAATTACAACACCATTTTACGATCATAATTGTCGTACAAATAATTATATATACGAATGATGAAAAAAAGAAAATTGGATGCAAAACAATTAAAAATGTTTTACCTTCTCTACCAAATTTTCGTTTCCTTTTACTGCCACTTCCATCTCCCTTGCTACTCTTATCCTTGCTCTTCCACCGTATTAACATTTTTCCAAATTACTTTTAACGATTCTATTGAAATAACATCACTTTTATTATCTGATACACTTTATCAACGAATATTATATGAAAATTTCCTTTATTGAATTGTATTTTCGTATAAACGCGATTCTACATCGTCGTACGAAATTGTCCATTTTTTTTTTATCTAAAAAGAACTTGAGCCATCAACGAAAAATCTTCTGAAAATTTCAATAACAGGACATAGCAGATACAATTATTTTTCATTTCATAGAAATATTTTCTAAATGTAAAAAAATACATTTTCATTCTCATTGCAATTTTTTTAAGAGACATAACTTTGTAGTTATTTTTTATCGTTTTATAATAATAAAAACTAACGAATATAACAAATTTCGAGTCAATGCAAATTTTGAGAATTTTAAAGCCAAGAGATAGAGAGACCTTTGAAGAGAATTATCAATATATATGTAAACGTGGTAACCGTATATGGTATAAGTGTATTCACTAATTTACGTATAAATTCAGGTGAATAATTTAGTGAAAATCCTCATTAGCTAGGCCAATAATTTTGCAAAATGTAGAGCACCGCTATAAAATAGAATGTAAACAGCTGTGCCTCCGAAAAGTACATTTTACCATAAAAGCTTCTCTAAAACTTATGACTCACTATTAATTTATTGTAAAACAAAATATATTCTGCAAAAAAACTTTTTTTTACTCTTTCAAAATTCTCTTTCATATATGCAGCTATTCTAAATTCTAACAGCTTATCTCTTGGCTTCATTCTCATTTGGGCGTTGACCCGAACTCGAGCTGTAACTGTTAAAAATGGACTTTTTTCATTTCTCTAATTTTCTTAAATATTTCAGAAATTTTTCGCTATTTTAACACATTACTTTTCTGAAATATTTCGGAAATTATTCTTAAAAGAAAAAATGTTGCTATATTTGCTTGGAATTTAGATCAAGAGCTGATGATGTTAAATTAATTAACGAGGCAATTAGCACCAAACGCAATATTCTATTGACAGGTACTTCAGAAAGTTTATAAATAAAAATTATACAAGCTAAATTTTTACACTAAATATAAAGAAATACAATTGTTACATTAAGACATTGTATGATGAAATTAATTGCAATCAAATTCTAAAAAAAATCCAATTCACAAATTACTTTTTTTTCTTCAAAAATAAAATTTTTAAATCTCTTCTTTAACAAAAAAAATTCCTAATTTCATATTCTCAATTAAACAATTCACGAGACAATTTTTATTTTCTCGATTCAATGAATAAATAAATTTACATAGTAGAAAATATATTTTTCAATCAAAATTGTTCTACAAATTTTTTAGGGTAAAAAAACAATGACGACGAAAAAAGTATAATGTCTCTTAAAAAAATATTTTTTTTTTTTCTCCAAAAAAATGAAACGTAAAATAATTTATTGAATTTACGCGTTTATAATGACGTCTAACCTTTCTTTTTTGTATCTGCTACGACCTTGACTCCCTGCGACATTCGTCAGGACACTAACTTTCCGTATAGTCACACAACTAATTGTAACTACGTAGGTATATATATGTTGATGAAATCACAGAGGGGATGGAAGGAAAATAGAGCAGGAGGTAATCTTGCGAGAAGAAAAAAAAAGTGCCGGAAACGCCCCAAAAAAAAATTAACTCCCAATATTCGAAACTAAAAATTAAAATATCAAAAATTCTACTTGTTCATGACAGGAAAATTTCCTCAAACCAAGTATATCACCTCACATCTGATCAGCTGTCACTCAACCACCGGTTTAAAGGACTAAAATGAGGAAATGTGAGGTTAAGACTTTACGGTCGCAGGCTGCGCGCAACCTCAGACTTGAAACACGATATCACATACCTAATATTATTTCAAGATGTTCATATATATACACACAGACAACCGCCTAAAAATTCAGTAAAACAAAAAAAAGAAAAGAAAAATTAATGACAAATCAAAATTAATTTGCGGTCATGACACCATACGTTCTTCACGATAGAAACAACCACTTTTCAACTTCATCGCGCCGGCTCGAAGTTCACTGACATTTCTCTCTTTGCGCGTTATGATTCGCAGTGCAAACTTGTGATTCTCTTTTTATTTCCACCCCTTCTCCTGTTTCGCGACTTTCTTCGATTTTTCCATCCCTCGTCCTTTCTTTCTTTTTTTTTTTTTTTTTAAAGAAAACGCACCTTTCTTATTCCACACAATTATATAACAACACAATTATTCTTTTTCACAAAATTTTCTTCCATCTTTTTTTTTTTTTAAACAGAAAACAAAATTTGTCCGAATTTGTCAAAATATTTATACTAACGGAAAATAGAAAAAGATGTATTATAAAAATTTTTAAACATGAGATAGTTTGATGACACCGCAATCTCGACCGTGTTGCCTGGCCGAGTCCCGGCTTGTGACGTCACGGGAGAGTATAGTTGGGAAATCGATCCCGAAACCATTTCTCTCTCTCTCTTTCTCTCTCCCTCACCTATCTCTCTGCACTGTGACTACTACTGTTCGGTTCAAAAACGTTCGCCGACCTCCTTGTCCCGGAAATCCCGAAAATTCACGAGATACGAAACGTCCGGCTTCGTGTATTTCCGCGACTAATCCGGGAAGGAAACTAGGATTGCCATGCTGCAGTCTCACGAGAACATCTTTTTCCACTTTTTCCCCTATATATATATGTATACACAACGAAATCATCGCTTTTTCCCCTAGGATATATATATACCTATATCGTATATACATAGAGAATGATATGAAAGTTCTACATTGACACACACACTCTTTGACCTAATTCACGAAAATCACCCTCTCGTACATCCATTTCCGGTGTTTCTAATTAAGTAGAGGGTTTACTTCTAATTCTACAGTTTAATTGCACTGAAATTAACAAAGTTTCATGAATACATATGTATTCAATGAAATTTAAGGATTTGTGTTGTTTGTATATTTTTGGAAATAGCATTTCACTAGAAAAAAAAAAATTGTATCAACCAAACGAATGCATTGAATTTGTTTTAAACTTTAATTTAATCCCTTTGCCTTTTTGACTGTGAATTCGACCATTTGTTGCAAATAATATTTAAAAAAAAATTTAATCCCACACTAATTTGAAAGTATCAAATTGATACCGACTATTATACTATTATTATTGTTGTTATTATTATATTATTAATATACTATTATTATTATTATTATTATTATTGTTATTATTATATTATTATACTATTATTATACTTGACTATTATCAAATAAATGTTTACTTGATCCAAATAATTTTTTTTTGAATTAAATAAAATGTATTTGAACCAATATTTTCTATAGTTCAAACAAATATCATTTAATTGAATCAAATTATAATTATTTGATACAAATAAATAGTTATTTGATAATATTCAGTATTTTTTGAAAATCGTGAAAAATAAGAAAATACTTTTTTTTTGATAAAAATCATTCTTGATTTTATTAAATTTATTGGTTTACCAATAAAAATAAATGTTTGTAATGAAATAATGTACTTCAAGTTCCGAATGTTGAAATAAATGAACTTTTCATTTGACCTATTTTTAACTTCATTTTCAGTTCAATAAACGTTATTTATGAAAATAACATTATATTCGAAACAAAATGTTTTTTCAAGTTGTGTGAAATAAATAAAATTCATTCGATAAAATAAAACTGACAAATTTTAATTAATATGAAGCTCATCGAAAAACATAATTATAATAAAATGAAATTTAAATAAATTAAATAATAAATAATAATATAATCTGAAAATATCGTTAATATTCCATGAAAAATTAAACCAAATTAAAAGTATTAACGAAATTAAATTAACGGATTAAACTAACCTCGGAACACGGGTTAAATATTTTTTCTAAATTATAAAAATTTAGAGTAAAATTTTCAAAAACCTTTTTTAGGGTAAGGAGAACCTTAATAACTCAGTAAAAAAAATCAATTATCACAGTTAACCTAAACTTATTACACTAGTAAAAATGAAATATTTTTATTAACTCACCAGGTCGATGAAATATTCGTTGAACTTCACCAGCTTCGCTTCCACTTTCGCTCTCACTCAACCCACTCCATTTTCTTGTAACATCATTTTTTAATTGTACAGCTTCAACTTTAGGCGAACGAGAAGTTTCCCTCAAACTTGCGGTACGTCTCAATGACCATGATGTAGTATCTCTCGGTGGTGGCGGTGGCAAGGGTTTATTAGCATCATATTCACAATCAATATTTTTTAAATTATTATTAACTTTACAATTTTTTTGATAAACAGGAATATTACTTGGATGACCCGAATAAATATCGGAAGTTGATGATTGTCCAACATTGCCATAAATTTTCGTCGAATCAATAATATGTTGAGGTGATCGTATTTCATTTTCTTTATTTTTTCTTGTCGGTGGTTCGGGTGCCATTCCATGTTTTGTTGGCCATTTTCCATAGCCAATTGTTGTTGGACAATTGGTCTGATTTGAGAAACTAACACGTTTCTGACCCATTGTTCCATATTCAATAGAACTATTTGAATTGCTGATTAAACTTCCTCTTTTAAAAATAGGAGGCGGTGGTCTTTTATCGACATCGATTTCTTCTTCATAGATTGATGGTGTTTGTGGTTTACGAACGAGAGACGAATTTCCTTTATCCTTATTTGGAACTCTTGAAAATCCTTTATCGTTATTACTATCAAAACCAGGACTTTTTGTATTTCTAAAATCGTCATTAATAAGGAAACGAGGTGATGCACTTTGACATCTATTTACTTCTTGTTCAACTGTTGATGATTTGATGATAATTTTCGGTGATCGTTCCTGTGTGACTGGTTGTGGTCGTACAACTAAAACCGGTTGATTTTGCACCTTTTGACCCATTATTGGTGGTTTTCCAACGACATTGTCTTGTGCACGTTGACCCTTATTTTCCCAGTAAATACCCTCTTGAACTGGTATTGAGGAACAAGTTTGTTGAAACAAGCTGGGTGCTGAGCCATGAACTTTTCTCGTCGGAGAAGTTTGTAACTTCTTCTTCCAATAAATCGGATCATTCCTCTCGTCTCTTTGATTTTGCTCAAAGAATTTACGCTGTTGTTCTTCGTCCAACTTTTTTAATTTTTGCCAATACATCGCGTCTCGCATTTCAGGTGGTGCATCTTGATGAATTTGTGGTTGATGCTTTATGATTGTCGGTGAATTCACATTTTTTCTTTGTGCATCAAGGGCTTTTTGTTGCCAAAAATATGTTTCCAAATGATGCATGGTTTGTTTCTTTGATGGTGACATAAGTTTTGTTGTTTGTTGTTGTGGTTCATAAATATTAATTTCTTGCTTAGGAGATTGCATCTTCGGAGAATTGGTATTAATTGCTTGATTGTGAGTAATTCTTGATCCTGAATACAGTGGCTCGACACTTTCACTATTTTTAGCACATGATGATGAGTCAGATGAATTTAAAGTTTGCACATTCCTTTCCACTGGTTGTGATCTCTGAATATAAATTGAATTTTGATTCTGAAATTGTTTTGATGATTCACTGTAGGGATTATTTAAAGATTCTTCTTTTAGTGAAATATTTTCAATCTCACGACTTTCTTCTTTATTTATTTCGGGAGATTTATGGGATTCGATAATTGTTTCTTGATTATCTGGCGATCTGAGGCAAATCGCTCTCTCGGCAACAATATGTTTTAATGATTGTTTTGTATTTAGAGCTTGACTCGGAGAATCGACAATTGGAATTGGTGAATCGGGACATTCTGATTTTATAATCGGATGGCTTTTCGGAGAGTCGTAGATGATATCACGTTTCGGTGATGCTATGAGTATTTGATCGCTTGGCTGCGCCTTTCGTGGCGATAGTAAATTTTGATTTATGTTTTTAATTGGCTCCGGAACTTTCAATTTCACTTCTTGATACGGTAGCGGTGACATTGCTTTCTGATTAGTTTCTTTCAAGATACCTTGGGAATTATTTGATAACATATTATTTAGACCTAAAATAGGACTAATTGGCGGTATGATGATTAAAGGAGATGTAACCCTTTTTATTCTGTCAGGTGATTGTATTATATTGGGAGGTAGGACCTCCAAATTTTCTTTTTCAATTCTTCTGTCTTCAAAATTCTTCTCTTTGATTCTAATATCTTGGAAATAATTTTCATGATCTTCGATATTTTCATAGTTCTCTTTAGCTTCAACATCCTCGATATTTTTACCCTTAATCCGAACCAAAGTTTCTTTGTTTCTAATGTCCTCGAAAACCTCATCTTTTAGAGAAGTATCCAGTTTTTTGTTTGTTATTTCCCTCACTTCTTTGTCATTAAAACTCTCGTCTTTGGAAATAGTCTCAATATTAGCGTGTGCTTTGATAAAATTACTAAACACTGGAATAATGGGACTACTTTTTGATGGTGGGGGAATTTCTTGATTTCCTTTAGGTGAAAGACGTTTCGGTTCCTTAATGTTCATCCTTTTTAGGTTATCATCGTAGAGAACTTCTTCGTTAGATCTCGAAAAAGAATCAGATGTTTGTAGATCGGGTTCACATTTATCGCCTGAACTATTTGAAGGCGATGTGTGACTACTTGCATGAGGTGAATTGAGATAATATTCGCCACTTTTTGAACTAGTTGGAGAAAATCCACTCTTTTGACTGGAATTTGGAGTATAGGATGAATCAGCATAGTCACCGGATTTTTGACTAAAACTTGGCGAATATTTTGGAGCACGAATACTTTTGTCATCGGAATATATTTGTCGAGATTGATGAACCTGTACTGTACTTTGAGTTTGATTAATATTTGTATCGATAAATTGATTTCTGTGGGTTTCCATTCTTTTAATACTGTTATTGTCATAAAATTCAGATCTATTTTCATGATAATTAACTTCCTGAATGACACGAGGACAATTACGAATATCCTGTTGATTATCAGTGACAAATTGCATTCTCTGTGGAATTGCTGGTAATGGTCGATCCATTGGATGAACGGCTCTCGATCGAATAAGATATCTTTCGGATGGTGGCGCTGATATTCTTCCCGATGCTCCATGATTTCTAATGAAGCAAGATTGAATTGGTTCTTGAAAACTGTGTTTTCTTTCTAAATTACAATGTCGATCAGTCTCAATTTGTCGGGAATTTTTCAATTGTCTCATATCGGGTGAACCGCTAATTATATTTTGCTCTATCCATTCAGTTTCGGGTGAAACAAAATTATAGGAAGAATTATTGGCATCGTAATGTCTTGAAGCGTGTCGTGTTTGAGAGTAATTTGATTCTGTTTGTAGAAAATGATCTGGTGTACTTGTAATTATTCCTTGAAGAGGAAATATATTTTGTTTCATATCGTGTATTCTGTCCTCGATCATATTAGGATCTGACGTCACATTTCTTCTTATGTCTTCATTTAATTTCATGGAATCTATTGATTTTGAATAATTACCATTTTGTTGGTATTGTGGCAAATGTTTATCGTCACGTCGTTTTCTTTCTCTTGGATCCTTTTTGGGTGTTTTTCGCGATTCCTTTGGAGAAAATATTCCCGGTAGAAGACGTCGTATTCCTTTCTTTTTCTTCTCCTCCTTGGGAGATTTTGAAGAACATGGCTCCATGGCGAATAGAATTAAATTATCGTAATTGATATTTTTATTTAAATCACTTATTAAATTCACTTCTTCTAATTTAATTTCTTCGCAAAAGTCATTTTTACCTGAAATGACTTCTTTTAAATCAGATTCTTTTTCTGTGTCATTATCTTTAATAATATATTCACAGGATGATACACTGCCTAATTGTTCGACATATGATTTCGAAGAATTGGACGAATTTTCCTCTGAATTATCTTTCAATAAATCCTCGTGCCACTTATTTTCAAGTTGCCCTACTTTTTTGTTGTATTTTTGCTTTTCAACAGTATCGAAAACTCGATCCGTTTCTGGTTCTATAGACTGATCAAGATTAGTTTCCAATAAACTGTTTTCCTCAATTTGAAGTTTTGTACAAAGTTTTAGTTTATTTAGAAAACTTTTATCAAATTGTTTTTCGGTTTCTTTTTTAGTGGGATAGTCGTCGTCAATGATGGGCAAAATTTTCACCGACTCGACGTCAAATATAGGAAGTCTTTCTTTGTAAATCTGAACCGTGTCGACATTGATTTTAGTCCCTAAAACTTTTTGAAGTTGTTCAATTTCGTATTGGCACTTCGCGAGACGATAATATGCTTCTATATTTTTGTTCTTATCTTCAATATCCTCGGGAGATTTTCTATCTTTATTATGGTTGAAATCGACTTTTCGATCACACTCAACTGATAATACTTTATTTGACGTGGTTTCTTTTTTTAACAAATTTTCTAAATTACATTTATTATCATTTAATAAAAAATTCTCTTTTTCATTGACGAATTTTATTGGTAACTTTCGCGAGTAATTTTTAAAATTTAAATTACTATCATTAATGGAAGTCTTTGTCAGTCGAACAGGACGAATTCTTATTTTATAAGTTAAAGGAATACTGTTATTGCGAATCGATAAAATTGGCACTTTTGACGTATTTTTGTAAGCTTTAACATTTTTTTCAAAGATTCGCGAATTTGTCTTGGCATTTGCTTTTAATTTAAGAAAATTCCTACTATCAGGATTTTTAGATTGTTGTGAAAAATTATTATTTTGTTCAGAAATAATTCGTGAACTTTCACTTTTGGTTAAAAGTATTTTTCGACTTTTACAAGTTTCTAATACAATCTTTTCTACAGTGATCCTATCCACCGAGAGAATACGCACCCCTTTTTCACTATTTTTGTCACTGTTGACGTTCGTGAAATTCCGAGACTCTGATGTTCCACTATTGTTAAAGTACTTCGGTATCTCCATTCCAATAAATCAAAGTACTTGTTAGGAACTCCTGTAAAAAAAATTAAAAAATTATTAATAATTTATAAAAAAAAAAAAAAATCTTATAAACAATCTCTTGCTCATAATCAAAAATATACTGTTAAACAATTTTTTTAAATTATGACAAATTAGAAAAAAAAAAAGTTTGATTAATTTTTAAGAAATTAATAACATCATAAGGTGTACCTATAATAAAGTCTTTTTACTGACTGAATTATTTATGCAATGTTTAAAGAGTCAACTTAAAGAAGAAAGGGAGAAACTGAGGAGGGAGTTAGAAAAAAGAAGGGGTTACGTTCATTGACATATATAAATTCTCATATTTCAATAACAGAGAATTCGTATCAAATATTCCTAAAGGTATTTGAAGGTAATAACCATATAGATGACGAAACTTGTATACATAACTGATACACTGTTTCTGAGCAGGAAATGCAGAAATAGTTCAAATATTTAATTTATTATTAAATAATTTCTAAGTTATCTACAGAATTAGATAAAAATACAGAAATATTTTCAAAAATATATATTAAATATTTAATTATTCAAAATAAAAAATCAAAAAAATGATAAGTCTATCTGGAAAAGAATAGCAAATACAAGGCAAACAACGCATATTACATAAGTAAAAATAATGTAATTAAGTTTAAAATTTTAATAAATAATAATAAGAAAAATAAAATTAATTTTAATTATTTAAGCAATAATTTATGATAATTAATTTAAAAAATAGACGCACATGTGCTGCTATTCGTTAAAAAAAATTAAGATTCAAAGGATGAGTAATTCAAAAATTGGACATTGATAAGATATACTGACTAACATTGAAAGATAACAAGTGACAAAAGGCTTAAAAATTAATGGAAATCTGATTTGAAAAATGATAATTTCATATACATCGAAAAAGTATTATAAAACTCTTAAAATACATTGTACTTTTTTTTATATATTATAACTGCAAAAAAATCTTTTACAAGAGTTCAATTAATTTTATTAAATATGAAATTTTTCTAAAGAATGACTAAAATTGTTGAATGAAACATTGCGGATTTTAAAAAGAAATTCTAAATAAAACGGAAGATGGTAAATCACTATCTTCACGTGCAGATGAAGATAAAGATTTAAAATTGTTTTGAAAGGAGAAACTGGTGATACAGTAGTAACCTGCTAACACCTTATACTTCATCTGATAGATGTCTCCATATGAACTAAACCGAGATTTAACATCATGTATATAAACACAATTTATCTCATGCGGATGTTTATAAACATATTTGTAAACCAATTTAATGACAATGCAAACTAATTAAATAAATAAAAAACAGAATTAAATAATAAAAATGCATACGCAATGATTTTTTCTACTGCATTTTTTATAAAAAGTATTTAAAAACAATTTAATAATTATTATTTAAATATTTTTCTAAAAAACTTATAGTAATTTAAAACAAAAGTGGACTAAAAATATAATATAAATTAAATTTTTTTTCAAAAGATAAATATACCGGAAACCGTTTCAAAAACCATGACATTACGACAAATACAAACAGTTATAAAGTAACTGACATTTAATGTTCAAATACATAAAATATAAATAAATCGTCCTTTCTTCAGAGTAATATAATTATAATGTTCCACATAGACTTGATGATTATTGGCTATATATTCCATTTACAATGCGTTCATGAAGTAAATGGCAAAAAGAGTATATTAATTATATAGTTCCAAGAAGAAAGGAATGTTCTAAAAATATTCCAGCTCTTTGTGAATTAGAATACCATTCAAACAAGAAGTAAAATACAATTTCTAGTATGTAAGATAATTTTAGATCAAAAGATAAAACATTGAGAACCTTGACACGGATTTTTTTTTCACTCTAATCTTAAAATCAAAGTCTGATGTGAGTGATGTTTGACGTATACTATCTTTCATTGGTTTCATTAAACTCTCTCTCTCTCTCTCTCTATTTTTGGTCCAGACAAGCTTTCAATCTGTTAGGGGAGTGAGAATTATTTCGAGCACCCGCACTTAAAATGCACAGGCCCCCTAATATATCAGAAGAAACTTTGTACATGAAATCAGTTGCAAAAATGAATCGGCTAAATATTCAAACGATAAAATAAAAGAATGAAATTAAAAATTTAATAATTAAATCAAAAAATCCTCAAAAATAAAATGAAAAACATACAACAAAAAAGAAAAATAGAACAATATTCTTTTTTTCAGAGAAAAAAAAAACGATGGCAAATTTTGTAAAATTTGAGGTTCTTAAATATTCAGTAAAACCGCTGCAACTTTCGTAGAAGCGTTTTCTTTATAGTTTTACACTTTACGGTGTACAATAACCAAGGGGATAACGGAACTAAGGATGAATGCAAAAGAAACATTCCTTTCGCTTACGCCCTGCTGACGTTACCTGTGCAACCGTCTTTGACCTGCAAAATATCTTCGAAAGTATCACTATAATACTAAAATGGTATCCCCTACACCTTTCAAAATAAAAATTTTCAAGCTCCATTTCATTGTCTGCGAAAATTTTTCTTTTCTACAAAACTTAATAAGATTTAGACACTAATTCCAACAGACTAATAATGAAAATTTAAAAATTACCCAATGTATCATTTTTAAATTCCATAAAAATTGAAATGCTAAAATTTATCACACTGTAAAATTTTAAAATGCCAAATGTTTTGAAGAGAAAAAAAAAATTAAAATCTTCATGCATAAACACAACTCCTCATACTCAACGAAAAGAGCACGTGCATTTTTCACACAAAGGCAATTTTATATGCATCTCATGCGTGAAACTATATGTTTTATAATGTGCATCATATAACACAACATTAGGTACTTGACATGCATATTTTAATGTTATTCATTCTTTAATTAGATTATTAACCCTTTTTTAAATATATAATAAATACCGTGTTAATGAAATACAAAACGATTGTTTTTCCAAACAAATGAAAAAACACATATGACATGAAGTAGCTTCTTAGAAAAAAGATTTACAAAACAACAGATCAGCAAAAAATTTTTCGAAACACATTTTACGTTGTGTTATTTAAGACATTTCACTTCCTTTGTATAGTTGCACTGCAATATAAATATATGCTGTGCAAAATATAATTACCGTTAACTTGAGCAAATTATAAATCTATCAGAAAAAAAATTCAACCCTTCATTGCTTAAAAAATTAATTTTCTTTATACAGAGAAAAAAATAATTCGAATTTTAAATAACTGGACCTATCAAGTACAAATTCCACATACGAAACAAGTTTGCATTGAAGAAACAACAAAAAATCAGTTTCACTGCCTGCACTCACAAATTTACCTCCGAAAAAAAACAAGATGTCAAATTAACCTTCTCTTATATTTAAACCAAAAAAAAAAAAATTATCTTATTATAATCTCCTATAAAAAATAGAAAAACAAACATTTTCTTGACTTTTACTTTACTCCGCTTGTATATAGAATTGAACGCTTCTCACACAATGACAAAAATTCTAGACAAACATTTTATATATTTCTTGAGCAATGCACATATACTCAATTAAAACAATTAATAGAGGTCTAAAAAGTCAAATAAGAGACAATTGAGAATGCATTCCAAGTATTTATATATGCATTTTTTTATCCCCTTACCATGATTTTCATTGTCGATAAGAAAAGTAAACAAAACGAATTATCCAAATGATCGCCAGGATAAGAAAATATTGGTACACACACGTTCATTCGTTAAAATATATCACACACAATTTCAAATCACAATATTAACAACACTACAAATAAACCACATTTCTACACACATGTTGGAAAAACGAATTTGATAAAAAAAATAAAAAACACATATAGAAAATTGTAATAAAAAAAAAAGTAACAACTAAAAAAAATCGCGTCACCGCGTCTCAATGTGAGACGTGCCGGAAGACGAATTCAAGACGAATCAAGAGGAGGTACATTCAACAAGTGATCCTGGGGTGAACACAGAATTTCTTAGTTCGTTTCGTGACCAATTGGCGCCACTAGACGACAAGTGTTCCAACTTAAAATTCATTTTTACCAACATCTATTGTATTATTAAAAAATTAGTAAAATTTAATTTTAATATACATTTTAATTTTAAATAATTTATTTACAAGAAAAATAAAATTGATTTTTTGCAATCAAATTACTAATTACAATCAATTACCATCAGAATTGTTCATTAGTTAATGTAACCGCTTTGGATAGATGTCGACACATGCATAAGTTTACCTGTCGTAATAATATTCACTGAATTCAAATCGAAAAAAATATTCTATACTTTTAGGAATATATAAAAATCTTTGTGACACTTTAAATAAATGTGGAAATAGTTAAAAAAATTTCAAAAATTAATTTAATTTCAGTTATTTCTTAAAGTAAGATTCTGTTACATATGATAAGTTGAATTTAAATTGGAATCTTATTTTAAGATAGAAATTAAATTCTAAAAGTAAGGCTATGTCTTAAAACACTGAAATTTGGCAAAATAAAATTTGATTTAGGAATAATTCAACCACAAATAATCGGTTGATTATTACCAAATAAATACTTACTTGAACCAAATAATCATTATTTGAATTAAATAAAATGTATTTGAACCAATAATTTTTGTATTTGAAACAAATACGCAGCTAACTGAAATAATAATTATTTGATACAAATATTTATTTGATAATAGTCAAGTAACAAATTATTTGAATCAAATAAATTTTATTTCCCAGTGTAGCTCTTACAATTGTAATTACAAAACTGTTTTGTAAAATTTTATAAACTAAACTCATTAATTCTCTAATTTCTCGAATAAATTTCAAGTAGGATGAAATTGAACATACATGATATGTAACACCTCTAAGAACATAAGTAGTTAAGAACCAACTTAGTAATTGGATTAGAGCTGAGTAAATCATCAAACTTTAAATCCGACGCTTAACGACCTTGTATGGTATAGAATTCATTTAAGCCTCTGGAATAATTATAATGAAGAATTTTTAAAAATTAAAATAACTTTAGATAAAGAAGAAGAAAAATGCACCTTTGTGAATATTTATCCGACATAAGCTCTCTCCAAAAATGTTGACTACAAAGTTATCGAATAAAGACCTTTTTAGAATTATTACAAATAATATATGCATGTGATCACATGGATATTATGTCAATGGTTCTATGTTCTTCGTAATCTTATAAGAGTGAGAGTACCAATATAAATGGAGAGAAGGGGAAACTGAGCTCGGCACTCTCAAATACTCTGTCTTAGCGATTGCAGTGGTGTGTGCTTCATTCTTTCTTATTTATTCTCCTCGGCTCCACCTCCATCAGCAACAGATTGTTTCATTCGAGAATCAAAACGGATTTGACTGCTGATTTAAATACACACAAAGAGTGAACTACAATGAACCTTAAACTTTTTACGTGAGTAAAAAAAAAAAAAAATTTGTCATTTACATTTATAAGACATTTCCTTTATATTTCAATAAATCCCAACCCCCAATTGTAATTCTATATTATGCATCACCGGCCAAGATATATATGAAATAAATGCTAAGCGCGGATCAACAGCGGGAATGTTCTTAGATGACGGTATCGATTTCATTACGGTAAAAAGTGAAAGGTGTTAATTAATTGCATGCGTGTGTGAGGGATAAAAATTCATTTTCAATAGGCCAAAAGTCGACATAGTTATAAATAAATTCTTTCAGAAATATTTATTTCTTATATTCATTTATAATTATTTCAAATAAAATATGATGGGCATTTCTTTTTTTCTTTCAATAATAATAATAATAATAATAATTTCACCGAAAGCATCTTTAGAAAATGTAATGATTAATTCTTATTTTGGCCAGAAAGTTGATCAGAATGAACGGGTTGAAAGTGAAAACATATGGTTGAGGACGTAAAATGGAAAGTGGTTTTAGCAGAAAATCAGATGCCGCTCTTGTCATATACATATAGACATAACCGGTAAACGTTTAATGACCGTGAGATCGAAGCTGCATCAAAAAAAAAAAAAAAACGCTTTACGCATATTATCAATTACAAAGTTATATTATGTAAAACTTTTACGAGACATTTTCATAAGTTTAATTATACATTTATACGCATCAGTATTAATATATTCACTTTTCTTCATCGTATCTCTTTTTTTAAATCTAGAACCAATAGCAGAAAGCAGAAAAATCAAATCATCACAATTTCCATCAGGTCTTTTGAGAATAATTTCATAAAAATTTCCAGTAATGCAGAAACAAATATTGTGAAAAAAATTTAAGGCTTATTATTTTTTTCGTGAAATTTTCATTTCTTTTTTTTTTTTAGAAAAAATTTGCAAGGCACTGGAATGCTGCATGGATCCAAACCGGATTCACTCCACAAATAATCGGTTTTTTTTTTAAATTTATTTTTCCCGGTCCTCGTATCTCCCAAATCTAATGGAATTCTTTATTTTAAGCATCTTTCTGTTATTTTCAAGAGAAGGATAAAAAAAAATTTTATCCTCGTTTGACCGAAAAAAAGGAAACTAAATGATAACGTAAAAGCAATTTTTTTCGCATAAATCGAGAAATTCCGAAGAAAAGTGAATATATTTTTGTTCTTTATTCGCTTCTTATTTTATTAATCCTCACGAAATTCTATCCACTTGTAATTTAAATATATATATATTTGTTGCAACTGGAATACCTAATTCTAATTAAAATTCCATCAATTAAATAAATAAGCAATTGCATCATATACTGGAATTTTATTCAATTTATTGAAATAAAAGTGTGAATAATGAAAGAAAGGGATCGTATATACAAAGCTATATAAATAATGAATTTCTTTTTTAAAAATAAAAAATTTTTCGACTACTTTTTTCTTTCTAAATTAATTCTTTTCGTATAATTTCTTGAAATTCGATCTCTTGGATCAATTTATTGAGAAACGTTGATTATCATTTTTCATAGTCCCGTGCACTGTGTTGCTTGTTACGACTTTAACATGATTGCTAAACAAGTATTACATGAACTTATCCACAGTTCATAACCACTCTCGAATTCTGAGAAAACGACTCTTTTACGAACTTTAAAATACTATACTCATAATACATAATTATACATATGTTAGATATTATAAATATTATATTTTACACCACTATTAGTCTATCATTAATATTATAACAAAAGTTAAACAGTTTAAACACTGTTTTACATTATACTGAATTTGTGTACATATAGAAAACAGATATTACATTAAAAAAATATTGAAATTGATAAAGTGGCAAATAAATAAAAGGAAGACAGTGCACGTGACCATCAAAATAATTTCACACTTCTCAATATCGAAGTTCTTGGCTGGTTTTCTTGACATTTGTATAAACTGCCACACACGTATGAATCCGCGACACGTAACGATATAGCTAATCTCGAGAATAACGTCCAGCCAAGGCAGAGAAAGTAAGTTTCATGCCTGAATGTCACAGGTCAAAATCCGCCTGGTCTACCTATCGAATGCATGTCTTACTTTGAGACTTTTACATGTGCATTTTCAATCTCTCATCACTTTTGAAAAAATGAATAAAAAGAAGCAATTTTTTCACATTGTCAAACACATTTCCCTATTAAAAATAAATTTCCATCTAAATAAAATTATACATTTATATTCGTGATTAAAAATTCTAATCAAATTATATTAATAATTCCAATATTATATTAAAATTTTGTTGCAGAATTCTACTATTTTGTCTAATAGCTGTTTCTAAATCAGCCGAGGAGGAATATGATTACGAGGAAGAAGCTGCACCCGCTCCAGTAACACCTGCCCCAGCAAAACCTGCTAGTCGATTGGGAGGACTTCTTGCAGCCCGAAATAGACCACTTCCTGGCAAAAAAACCACACAAGTAAGTAATATCGCGAAAGAAAAATCTTGCATTTTCATTATTATGCTACCAAAAAATATTCTTTTTCCAAGAAATAAATTTCAAACGATAATAAGAAATTTCCACATTTTCAGTTAACGTCAACAACAGCAAAAGCGATAGAACATCCTGTTGATGAGGATGTTGAAGGTGATGAGGGTGCTGAAGAAAAGCAAGAAGAAGAAGTCCATGTCACAACAACAGAGGCATCGAAAAAATTAAAAGGTGGAGTTGTCAGGCCCTTCAGGTAATTTGAACCAAAAAAAAAAATCTAGTGCAACAATTTTTTTTTGAAAAAAAAACTATCGATATATTTCAATTAGGAAAATATTAATATTCATTGACGTTCAGGTCAAATGAAGATCTATTGGCTGCTTTAAAACGAAGAAGAGCTCAAGTTGGTTCAAGTCATTCCAAGGACCACAGTTCAACACATTCTCCAGCTGAAGCTACATCATCAGCATCGAAATTTAAGTAAGTTACACAAATTTTATCCCTAAAAATTATAAATTAAAGAAATTTTCAAATTAATGTGGTATTTAAAAACTGTTATCTATAAATCATATAAGTATTTATTTCTATCTAATTATTATTTGATTCCATTAAAATAACAATACAAAATTTACTGTTTCAAATAAAGTTAAATATGATTCAATTAAATATTTATCTGATAATAGTCCTCTAATTATACACTTTTTTCAATTTTTAAAAATCTGCTAATTAAAATTAAACACAAATAAAGGTTAATTTCTTAAATTTCTGAATCCTATCAGCCATCAAGAACGTACACTGAAAAAAAATTATTTAATTCAAATAATCCGTTACTTAACTATTATCAAATAAATTATTTAGTTAATACACGGAGAGAAATCTGGTGCGATTTACGCATGAGCATGTCCTTAGGAATATAGTAACAGACGCTTTCAAGCAAAAATCCTAAGTGAGCGAGGTATTATTGTATGAGTCTCACCTGATATTCAGATGGAATCTTATGGTTTTTGCTTGGAAGTGTCCATGCTATATTCCTATGGACTTGCTCATGCGCAAATCGCAGCAGATTTCTCTCCGTGTAGGTCACAAATTAAACATCTTTCATCTATTATCAAATATTTGCATTGAATAATTATTGAGTTAATTAAATTATATTTGTTTCAAATACAGAAATTATTGATTCAAATATAATTCACATAAAAATTATTTGCTTCAAGTAAATATTTATTTGGTAACAGTCAAGTAACCGATTATTTGAATCAAATAACATTTTATTCAATGTGCACACAAAAAAGGCAGGTTGATTCCATAAAAGAAACACTTTTTCTGTATATAAATGTAAAAAATTCTAAATTTAGACAGACAATAAAACATGATTACAGATCGGCATCAAGTGGAAGCAGAAGAAACAGTGGAAATGCAGAAGCAACATCAAAACCAACGAGTCGTGGAAGGTTTGGTTCCACTCGGGGTTCGAAACCAGTTCAAGAGGATGTTGAGGAAACTCAACATGATGAAGTTCAAGTAAAACCGAAATCGTTTCGTAGAGGTTAAATTTAAAATAAAAAAAAAACGAGTGGGTGAAATAATGTTACACGAACTTTCGAATCTGTTGTTCCTTTGCGTTTAAAAGAAAGTTGTGATATGTGCGGCATAATGAGAAAACTGCGTTTCAAAATATAGACTGACATCGCCTCTATTATTGCCTCATCAACTTTTTTTTTTTTTTTTTTTTCTTTTTTTTTAAACTCTCCAAATGAAATTTATTATGATTCAATATTATAATATTTATTGAAATGAAAATTCTTTTTTCAACGAATAACGCACCATTAAATCAAAGTGATTCAATTATATGTGCCTTAAATATAGTATATATAGAATTATAACGCTATCGTCAAATTTTTGAAAAAAAATTTGACCAAAAACAGTGTGTGATTTTTCCTTTCTTGTAAATTTTAACTAAAAAGAAAAGAATAAAATTTTGTACAGAGCCTTGTTTTTACAAAGATAAAAAATAAACGAAGAAATGAAGATTGCTGTAAATTTTTAAGAGCCAACGACAACCAAATATATACATACACGTATATATGTATAATTGTGGAGAATATAAGTTGTGACGGTTAATTAAAAAATATTCGTAATACGATAATTTGTGTATGTATTTCTAATTCCCAATTCTCCTCGAATTTTGCTTATTCTTTTATTATTAATTATAATAAATAATAATTAATACTATAATTAATATAATAATAATTATAAAAAAATATTTTCAAAAAAAGTATTTGTAAAAAAAAGTATTGCACAAACTCAAAATTTAATTATAAAACATAATTATCAATTAATTACAATTGACCTATTCACCGTACAAGAGTAATTAATTCTTAATAATTAATTATCGATTGCTTCATCATGAATAGTAATTAATTGTCGATTCTTTTACGATTAACAGTAATTAGTTGTAATAATTAACTAATTGATTATATTAATATTATTATTATTATTATTATAATTATATAAAAGATATAAGACATAATATGGAAATTAATTTAAATTTGTGACGATAATAATATAAACGCGACAAAGTGTATATAATTTATTATATGCTACAGAATGTAAAATTTCGTGCAAAATTTGCATATAGAAGATATTTTGCTTTGTCTCACTTTGGAACACATATTGTACTCGCAGTCGCAGATCACAATCAAAGTTTACATCAAGAATAGAAATTCTGATCTGTCTACAAGATACACTTCATCGAGGGCATGCAGTCACGTTGCGCGACTCTTATACAAAGTTCAGTTGCATTTTATGAATATGTAAATTAATTTATCAAACCGCGTGTGTGTGTGTGTTACATTTCGAATCAACAAACTTTGATCTATTCACATTCTAGGTCAAATGTTAAGAAAAAAGAACTATTGTAAATTATTGCAATTTAACAAATCAATTTAATAAAAAAAAAATTTGCAAATTGAAAAAATAATAAATGCAAATTGAAAATATTAAATTGACAATATATTAAATGCAAATTCGAAAAAACTGATGAGAAAACGATAAGCATAACGATATAAGCACACATTTGGCAAATGATATATCATTTTGAAGAAGGAGAGTCAAATGAAAGGTATATAGCACCTATATCTTTGAAAGTTCAGTAAAAATACATGCCAGACTCTTCCTGAGAATATTCACCTTTCTGTGAAGAAAACAATGGATGACCTTAGACGATCCTTTTCATTATTTATATATATATATATATATATACAATTGCAGTCAAATCAAGTAAAAGGAGATGCATCATTAGGACTTTATATTGTAAACTGCATCGTATTCTGGAGTATTATAACTATCTTTGGGAAACGACCGCACTTTATAGCAAAAGATCAAAAATGGGTCAAATGAACATAAAGAATCGCTTTGCAGAGCTATAATGCTACTTCGATCTGTTACAAGATTTTCCTATAAAAGAGTGTGAGATGAGTAAAAGAGCAAATTCAACTAAAGCGATTGTGAAAAAAAATATGAGAAAAACGACAAATCATCAAAGTAAAGCAACAACCATCTAACTTATCAGATAAATGAAAAATAATAACTAATCTCTTTCTCCTTTTTCATAAAAACCCTCTTTGATAATAAATCAAACCTTTTTTTTTGGTTATTAACAAAATTTGGTTACAATCAGTAAAATTTTTGTTGACAATTAAAATTTAAGTATTTTAAAATTTAATTAAATTAAAATTTTTGTTAAAGAGGTATAAAATAGAATTTCTTTTTCGAAAACCAATTTTCAAATACAGAAAACAAATTGTTTAGTAAAATCATAAAAAAAGGAAAAATTTAAAATAATGTAAAATTTCCCATACAGAGACTGAGAATCCACAATAATAATTTATCAAACGCAAATAAAAATTATGGATTCAACATATATATGAAAAGCAAGGAACGTGAGGTAAAGTAAAAGGACTAAAAAGCCTCAATGGCCTTGAGATCTCCATAATTAAATAATACAAAAGATCTTAACAATTTCAAATAATTCAATAGTCTAAACAAAATATGAATTGAAAGTGAAATAAAATACTTTTTTTTTTTTTTGTTGGAAATAACTCAAATTGTATATAAGTACATTTTTTTATAATTATTTCTCAACACCAATAAATTGATTTTTCTTCTGTGTAAATAGAAAGTTAATATATATTATTGAATAATCGTCGAGAAAAGTCAGTCACATTGAAAAAAAAAAAAAAAAAAAAAAAAAAAAGAAAATTCAATGTCGCTTATTCTACAGGGTGTCTTAAGACAAATTTATTTAATGATACCTTTTTCATTATATCTCGCGCGTAGTTCAAAAAGAAAATAGTCTATTCTCAATAATTTAAGCCCGTTTATAATTTTCTATTACTTTCTAATTTATTCAATTACACGCAATTTGTATATATGTACAAACAAATTATTTGACAAAACAAATTATATGATTGTTATTTACAAAAGAAATTGAAAAAAAAAAAATTCCACATAAATTGATTTAAAAAATCAATTATATTAATTAAATATAATTTCCAAAAGTCTTTTGAGATATTGTTAAAACCTAAAAAAGCAAATAATTTGTGCTCATTATTTTTTTTTTAACTTTTTGAACGGTTATAAAAATTGCAAATTACTAGTAATTATTATTGTTATTTGATGAATTATTTTCGTAATTTAAAGTGAATGACGTATATCAATTAAAAAAACGAAAAAAAAAAATGCATCCAACAATGTAAAGTACTTTCGTTTTTGTTACATGGAAGCCGTACAAAAGTCTTCAAGGAGATCAACGCTCCTTCCGGTCTCATGCAAGATGGTCTAAATGACTGTATAGAAAAACCCCATGAGGTAAAATCAAATAACACGTTAATATTGAATGTGAAAAATTGTAAAATATACATTTTTTCTTAACTCTCAAGGATAATAGTCGACCTTTTCATATACAACAAAATCTGAAAAGACTTTTGGAATATGTACTGTTGAAAATACATTCATTTTATTTCTTCACATATTTATACACATATATATATATATATATATATATATTTAATAATAAGGTCAATCATACGAATGTAATAATTGACTATAAATTTAAAAGCATGAATCCTATAAAAAGGAATTCCTAATGAAGGTTATTCGGCACACCAGCCATCCTTGATTTAATCAACATTCCGTCAGAAAAATTTCCCGATTCATATTAGTCGTATATATGATGAGCTATATAACGGCTTCATATATATATAACGTGTCTGCCCGAACGCAATCTTGAACTACTTAACTAGTCAGTATTACTCGATGACTATGTAATGTATGTATAGAAATTTACAATTTGTCCAATTTAGAAACTTATCCAATTTTACACAGAAAAAAAATCAATCTTTCACTTTTTCAAAATTAATAAAAATTTCTTTTTCATTTTATGCTACATTTATTAGAATTAGTCAAAGGTTAGCATAAATAAATAAGAATTGCAACTCTCGCGTGAAATAATTTATCTCCCTCCCAAAGAAATTTAAATTTGTCGGCCTACTTTTCAAATTTGTTTTCCACATAAGTAAATTGAGTTTTTAAATAGAAAAACAGAGAGAGAGAGAGAGAGAGGGATCTTTTAGTATGATAAAAGCTTTAACTATTAAATTTATGCAAATTTTGCTTGTCTCTCATTGTAATTAAAACCTTCTCTATCTTGAGACCAAGAGCAACAGACTGTTATGCACTGTTAGTTTCTGCAATACAATGTGAAATAATAACTCACCTAACTGCACCCCTACTGCTTTATGTCACTTCACATTTTCATAATTATTTCCTTGTTTCGCAGCAATGGGCTTTTCTTTTGCAACACCATCACCTGTCCACTGTTGCCGTATCTCTTATATTGCTCAAACATCTTTTAGTCATCCAGCTTCTGAAAAAAAAACATTCACATTAAAAAATAATTGCTTATTTTTTTTTTTTTCATTAAAACTAGAAACTTAAAAAAAAATCAACTGCAAACGTTTAAATTTAAAAATATTCAGACAATATTTATAAATGTGCATATATAATAACTTTTAGGTTAAACATAATATTTTATGAGCAACCGCAAAAAGGCAAATTAAACAGAAAACTCGGGATAATATTCCAGAATTTGTATTTATTCCTTGGGGGTAAAAAATTGTTTTCTTTCATTCTTGGAGAAAAATTAAAATTGTGCAATATTTTTTAAATTCACAAAAATTTTCCTTCGTTTCTATAATACTTTTATTTTATATAATAAAAAAACATTTATTTTGCTATTTTTAAATTTTTCCCAACTACAATCACTATTTTACAACATTATAAATAAATAACCAACTGATAACTGCCTGAGATAAAAAATAAAACTGTTATCTCAGGAATAAATATAATAAAATTTAATTATGGACGTTTGTTAATAATAATAATTGACTGATTATTTTAATGAACTTATCTCAACAATAATTAACTTGTTTTAAGACACAAAATTCTAAAAAGTATCGAAAGCTATTTATCAGAAATAAAATAATGTTTCGACCCTGTATAAAACGATATAAATGATGCTACAATAGGACCTTCTGGCATTACAGAAAGGTCAGTGAAATACAAGTTATTTCTATACCTAAAGGAAGGTGTCTTAAAAGTCATCTTCTCGTAGCCAGTCAAGTTACGTAATAAAAAAAAACCTATACGACACAACAAATGTTATTAAATTACACTATAAAATGTATTTAAATTCTAATAAAACCATCCCGGGAATTTAAATATCAAACATTAAAATTAATATAAATTAAGATAAAAAAAAAACAAATTGTAAATGAGAATCTACATTAAAATTTCTCAAAAAATAATTTTTAACCTATTATGATTGTCTTTGGAAAAATAGTGGACTAAAAAAAAATCTTTGAAGATAACGTTCAACCCATATAGTCGCTGAAGCGATTATTTACAATAGATGGTAGAAATTATTGTAAGTACATTCATGGAGTCTTAGTAACTGTGACAAAGAAAGGTTTTTTTTTTTTTTTTTTTTTTTCTTCTTTATAAGAGTAATTTATACGAACGCAAATATATATATAAATAAAGTAAAACGTATGGAAAGACAACGAAGAGCGAAAATACTTTCTCTTGGTCAGAAATCTTTATTAGCTTTCCCTGATTTACGCACGTATCCATACACGCGTCGTGATCTTTATAAATCGTGAACTAAAACTGGAATAGCCATTTCAATATTTAACATCTTTATATATACATATAAAGTAAATAAGTTAGTACGACCGGCACCTCTTTTACATACAGATATCTTTCCAATTGATATTTTCAATATTTAAATAGCAATCAATATTAAAATAATTATTATTTTTCAAATAAAATTATTAAAAAAACATATAAATTTAATAAACTTTTATAATTTTATTTTTTAAATAAATATTGAATCGAAACAATCTTTTTTTTTAAAGAATAAATTTTCAATAAAATTTCCGGACGACATTCTCGATTAAATATACCTGCTTTGATCAAACTTTTTAATAATTACAGAAAGTATGTAATATTTAAGAGTAAAGTGAAAATGCTTTACTTGTTTACAATCACGTGAGAGAATTGAGTTATAACAAATATCAATTATTTATAATTATATATATATATATATATATATATATATATAATAAACTAATTAATATAAAAGATTATTTTTAGGAATTTTTACCAATATAAATATTTAATTTTAATTTTTTTTAAGGCCAATATGGAACCGTATACAAAAATTTAAGGAAATTATTAAAGACCAACCAACAGAAAGGAAGAATGAGAAAAAAAAATTTAACATAATCAACATAGTGGAATTACTGTTTTCCGATTCAGTTTTCGATTTCGAATGGTGTTTGTTACTTTTTAAAAAAAAAAAAAGAAAGAATAAAAAAAAAAAAACAGAAAACATGTTCATGGAGCCATTGAAATTCAGTACAAGTCCCCGTACTCCGCGAAAGTGCAACCAAGGTCTCGAAACACCTTTTCACATATATAAATATACGTATAATGCATGTATCTTTGTGGTTCCACATTAATTTTATTAATGTTTAACAAGAAGAATGATCATTTCCCGTTTTACGTTTCAAATTACAACGCATTTAAAATATTTTAATGATTTTCTTGTTATAATTAAGTTGTATAATAAGAGATGCGCCTAGAAATCAATTCAGAGGTGACAAAAAATATCAAAAAAAAGACACATTTAAAAAAAAAAAAAGTTTTCAACTTTTTTTGAAAATTATTTTTCAATTTCTTAATTTTTTTTAAACTCGTATTATTACAGGATATATACTTATTTTATTACTACGTTATTAAAATATATTATTATTATTATTATTATTATTATTATTATATTAATTTTTACATACAGCTAGTTCCATTAAATTTGTTAATTTAAATATTATTTAATTATTTAAAAAGCAATAATTAAAATAAATAAATGTTTTTTCCAATTTCAATGGAAATAACATTATAACTGTCTTTATAACTTCCTTGTTAGTTGTATAATAAATTAAAATATACATTCTTTAGCAATAACAACTCAATGTAATTTTTAATTATTCTTTATAGAAATGTTGAATAAAAAATTATAAATCGTGTCAGACGTAATAAGAAGCATTTTTCAAATGAAATTTTAAAATTATACACGCAAAAAATCTTCACCTGTAACAGCGATAAGTTTCTCTCGAACAGTGATATATTTCTCTAGAATAGCGAAAACTTTCGCTGTTTTAGTGAAATATATCGCTGATCTAGGAAAATTATTTTTTTTGAATATAAAAAAATAAACTTAGAAGAAAATTAATTTGAATAACATTTAAACAATTACAAATTTCAATAATTGACAATTCTAAACAAGAAACTGTATTAAATTAAATATAAAAATATAATAATCAATTATTAATAATAATGATAATAACTATAAAAAAAAAATTATATTAATAATAACAATATAAACATCAGAAAATAAATTTAAAAAATGTGTCTCTTTATGATTAATGAAATTAAGATTCTATATTTAGAAAGTTGAAAATTGAATTTTATACATATAATATTGATTTAATCAATAATTGCGATGACCTGCGCTTTTGACCGGTAGTATACATCAAACTTTTACATCCTGATGGATGCTGAACATTCTCGTATCATTCAGGTTTCAAGTTCCGCATTCATAATAAGGTATATTATACGCACACACATAAGAAATTAATATTCTTCGCGGCGCGTGTCCGTTGCAAACCTTTTTTGTACTCGAATCGAAGGTTACACAAAGGATAGGCCATTGACTGAAAGCACTTCAAGTCAACGGCAGTGAGAATAAATTCGAAAAAAAAGACAATTTCCTCTAGTTTAAACAAACCCTTAATTTTAAGAGAAGAAGATCTTATTTGCTATACATTTTTTAAGACGCAGCCTTTGTAGAATTTCTGAGGCAGTTTCTTTTTAATCCGACAAAATTCAAAATAAATTATTTCAAAAATTGAACTCTAAACTTGAACCCTTAGTTCGCGGTATGCAAATAAAAAGCAAAAATATTTTTCTCAAAAGAGAGAAAGCGTCTCTTCTTTATGATACTAATCTCAAAGAATCACGTTTCCTGGTCGTCATAAGACTGGAATTATAATTAGCTAGTCTTCATTTTGATAATTAAGGAAAAACATTCTTCTATTAAGAGCAATGTTGGAGAAAATTATTCTCTCTCAATAAATAGGTTAATGTAATTTTAATAGTTCATTAATAATAATAGTTTGTTTTTTTTTAATAACAAAATCAATCATTTAATATAATTTAATATGCAAGTACAAATTTAATCAAAATGTTAAATGAAGATCTTTTACTTAACACTATGGTGTAAGTTATATTATAAAGGCTTTGTTATTTATTCAGTGGGTAGTATATACATACATATACAAACCACTACTATGCATACATTTCTACGTATTTCAACGACTCCTGCAGAATATGCATAACTTAACCAGAAATTCCACCACCATATACAAAGAAAACAAAAGTTAGATATACCTTTTCTATTTTTACAAGTTTCTCTCTTTTGCAAAAAAAAAAAAAATTATACGAAATCTATTTTTTTATAAATGATAATTTATCGAGTTTATTTTGGAACCTTATTTTAAAATATTTCCACTAATTTTACGAATCGTGAATTTTTTAAGAATACACGCGACGCATATTTTTTGGTATATATATGAATTCGTAAATTAGCATTTTTTTCATACCCTAAAAAAACGGAATGGACAAAATTTTTATTTTTTCAAGACCCCGTAAATATATTTAAAACATCAAAGAATTTTTAATTAATTTACTAATTTAAAAAAACAATTTTAGGGACTTTTTTTTAAAAATATATTTCCATTTTTAAATGGAGAAATTATGAAACATTATGACATTCTTCTTATCGTAACTTTGTTTTTATTATTATTAAAACGACTTCGCTGACAGAGCAAAGATGTAATTTTAACGTCGGCAAATAAGTATTTTTTCGCGCAATTACTCAATCGATATAATTCCCATAAATACAAAATATTTCAAATTTTCACCTACTTTTGAAAAGAGTACTCGAAATTTTGTTCCATTTTTATTTTTTATCACTAATAAAAAAAAACTAAGTCGTTCAAATCTCACAATTTCGTTAAATTAGATATCGAAAATTTAATTTCAAAAATATTAACTCAAAAATTATTTTAAAACAAAAAATGATCTACTTTCACTCAGAAAAAAGATATGTTTGAACCAAATGTACCATTTTTTTATATTTACCCAATTTTTTGGTTAGTTCAAACAAAATTTGTTTAATTCAAATAAATATTTATTTGATCTAAATAACTGTTTGGTTTATTTTAATAAATTTTTTGAACAAAGAAAAAATTTGATTGAGCTAAATAAACGTTTGGTCTATGCAACCAAATGTTTGGTTAACTGTATATCAATGCATTTATTTTGTTGATTTAACCAAAATTTGGTTGCTTCAAACGAATTTTTTTCTGAGTGTTCAAGTTAAAAATAAAATTGCTCAACTGAATAAACTATATTCAAAAATTATTTTTATAAAATTACGAAAATTGGGTCAACTTTTGTTTTTGACTATCCGTCAAATGTTTCTTTAAAATTTACCAATTTAATAAATTCCTATTGCACAAAATAGTCTTCAATCTTATTAGAAAAAAATTTGTAAAGTAGTCCACTACTTGGTTTTAAACTACTCATCAGAAAATCAACAAAGGCTATATTAAAAAAATGTTAAGATTTTCTTTTTACAATGCGCACATAATCAGAGCGAGTGAATACACACAATGTAAACGAAAAAAAATTGTAAATTTTCGAAAACTAAAAACAAAAAAAAAACCACCAAGAATAATTATACACAAAAGTGATAATATTAACAATTCATGGTGTTAAGGTTTTTTGATGGTGGGGTGTCCCTTGGTAACCATGGTGGGTGGCGGTATAAGTAGACGGCAGCGTCTACCAACGTTCTCATATACACTCACCACGTCCTTCGACTCTACCTCTACCTTACTTTTACTTTTTACGACTTTCGATCGTGATCGAAACAGAGATCTTCCTTGTGTGACGGTGACAAACGTTTTTTTTTTACGTATAAATAATTCAATTATAATTTTTTTATCAATAATAAAAACTAGAGGATCGATTGTTTGAAGAAGGAAAAAAAAACCAAAAGTGAAAAACCGAATGCCGTAGAAAAATGAAGCCAATAATTAGTGCAAAAGTGAATTAAAATTGTTTTAATATCGGTGTTTGTTCGACATAAGGTGTAACGCGCGAGAAGAAAACTTTTGTGAATTTCAAAGTCTCCTTTCTCTTTCTTCTTTGGCCTAAAGTTAAACAGAGAGGAAAAAAAAAGAAAGGGAGTGAACGAGAGTGAGAGAAGATAATTCAAGAAGATCATCAGAAAAAGCGGGATTCTCATATAGAGATCCGCATCCACCAAAGGATCGCGAGAGTGTAGAAGAGAGAGAAAGAGGAAAGTGTAAAGTGCAGACATGTGGTTGAAGAGCGCGCTCTTGTAAGTTCATCAAAATTTATTTCCAAAAAAAACACTAATTTTCAAATTCCTAATTATATTCTAAATTAATTAAATGATTAAAAAAAAATCATTTTTTTTTAAACAAATTCTTTTTCTCCAATAAAAATAAAATATTTTTCCTGGACGAGAAAAAAATTGCAAACTATATTATTAATTTATTTCTTTGCAACAAAGTTACCGCAACAATGCGTAATTGTAAATCTTGCTTCTATATAGTTAACACAAACATTATTACTATGATAATAATAAAGTAGTTCATTTTCACGTAATAAGAAAATTACACTTAAAAAACGTCTAGACTTGAGAATTTTATTAAAACCTTTTTTTTTTTTTTTGAAAAGAGTCATAAATTTATATGCAGAGATATATAACATTAAAGTCCAAAAATTTTAAGTTAAACAAAAGAGGTAAAAATTAAAAGGAAAATTTATTGCTCCAGTAACACGCAACCGTTTTAGATTTCTCTGTTTAACGATTTTACTGGTACACATGGAGAAAATCGATTAACGTAAAGATATAACGATAAAAATGTTACACGTACTTTTTGCTCGTAAAAAGAGAATTTTTACTTGTAAAAGTCGAAAGTAATAATAAATACATATATATGGTTCTACTTCGAAAAACTCCGAAGAAATATGCAAGATTCGTTAGCCGTATATAAAACTTTATTAAAAAGGACAATTTAATTATTATTGATATATTTTTAAAATCCCATTTCTACTTTTTTTAATTAGCTAAATTTAAATTAATAAAAATTTCAACTAATTTGAATTAGTGACTGAATTTTTAATTTACAAAGTATCAATAATAAAAGTAATAAAATAGTAAAATAATTAATTAGATATGAAGAAATAATTAACCGGTTATTTGGAGAAATAAAAAATTCTATATGAGTAAAAATAATGGAATTAATAGAATATAATTAAATATTTGTCGCAAATTTCTCAATAATCCCGGAAGTGAACACTATTCAGCGTATAGTATGCAATAATTATAGCCATGATTTGAAAGAATAAAATTTAAATATTTGAAATATAAAAGTGAAACTGATTGAAATTTTGAAATGAAATAAAATTAAAGTATACCCATATTCAAGAATTAAGCAAATTTTTACTAATTCAAAAGAAAGTATATCGAAATACAATAAAAGTGAAATTGTTAATTTGAATATTCAAAAGAGAATAAAAAAGTGAAATGATTTATTAAAATACAAAGTTATTTATGACGAGCCAAAACTAGATTAAAATTTAATGCTAATTCAATTTTGTAACGAAATCAAAATGAGATTAAATAAAAATAGACTAAATTAAAATTAAAAATTTGAATTCTTAAGTGAAATGAATGTCAAATAGGTTTAGTAAAATTTATGTAAAATAATTAAAAAGAACAGAACAATAGAAAATTTTACAAATTTTTCTTAGATTAATTATCAACTTCCGTAAGCTTTACTCATCCATTTCAAGTGCATTTTACTGCGAGTTATCTAATTAATCTAATAGAAATAAATAAAATTAACATATATATCAAATTTGCCTTCAATTGTTTTATATAAACTTAATTTTTGCATTAAAATGAAAATTTTATATTTCTTATTTATTATAATAAAGAAATTAAAGAAAATTGAAACGCGCGATAATTATAAAAAAAAAAAAATAAAGAAATTTTTAAGATGTTTCACTATACTTGACAAAGTGAGAGGCATATAATTACTGCTACATCAATCGCCATCAATGAAGTTAGTTCAGTCCAAGGTCGGTAAAATGTCAACATGGTGAAACGATTTCTAAAGCAAAACTGCTCTTACTTCTCGTTTTCAGGGAGGCGCTTCGAATCGAATGTCTGACTTGAAAGTAAATTATACGACCGTCTAGAATGTCAACTTTGAATGTCAACCAAAGTATAACTTCAATATATAAAAAAAAATAAGAACGTTACGTTTAATCCACAGTGTATAAAAAATTAAGGGCTTTTAAAATATGCTTACAATTTGAATAATTCATCAGTTTTGAGTCACTATTTTATGTAATAATCAATTTTCATCTAACAACCCAGACGAGCGGTTATATATATTATGTATTTTCCATGTAAATGTGGCAATTTTCTTGTAACGTATTTTACATTAACTGCAAATATTTACTTTGATATATAAATTCTTTCAATTTCTTTTGCAAATTTGTTATATCGTTTCCGTATAAAGTTTTAAAACTCGCGCGGCAATTTCAAAAGATTTTAAAGTTGCTATTTTAAATAAAAAGTTAAGATTAGACTGTATAAAATTATTTGTTATTCAATTATTTAATTCAGTTTTTGTATTTTTATCATTAAATTAAATTTATTTTTTATTATTATTAATCATGATTTATTATTTATTTTATTATTATTATTATTATTTATCAAATAGTGTAATTAGTATTTTTTATAAAAAAATAAATTCTTTATTAGTTTACAAACAAATTGTTTCAAAAGGAATTTTTCCAAAGAAATTTAACTCAAAATAACTTTTTTCGTAATATATTCCTTATTTATTAATTTTCATAATTTATTTCATTTTATTTACGCATTTAAAATCGAAATTTCTTTATTCGTTTATAACAAATTATTCAAAAGAATTTGTATATATAACAAAAAATTGATTTTCAAAAAAATTCTATTAAAAAAATTATTAAAAGTACCAATGTTATAACACTTTTTTTCCGCGCTCATGAACTTTTAAAAATAGAATATGATTTATTAATGTTTTTCCATAAATATTCAGAATAATTAAATTATAAAACATCTCTCGATGAATATATGAAAATAATTAAAATTCACAATCGAACAATGATTCATTTTTTTTACGGGATTTCCATTTATTAACTGACCTTATTATATTTTACAACAACAATTCATCATTCCATTGCAATTTTGCGAGAATGTTGCATAAAAGAAAGAGAGGCTATAAAGGTTACCTTGCCTGTCTGGATACAACAATGTAAAAATAGTGACTCCTTAAAATTATTTTTTTTTTAAATATACAAATTGATCAATAAAATTCATAAAAACTGATGGATTTTTCTTTTGTAAGTTTTGGGATGAAAATAAAAAATTCTTTTTTCGCGGACCAATTCAAGGATTTTGCGGTTACGTTCATATATAATATATATAGTATATATTGCTTGCGTAAGATGGTCGCCTCGTACTGTTATATAGAGATACTCAGGCACACACCTACATATTACTTGCAAGAATATAACTACCTGGATAAATATATGCATATACATGTATATGAGAAACCGCTTTCTCCATATGGTTTCATACACTGTGAATATTTCATATCTAACACCCTGATAACGCCCACGGAAAACTTTCCTTAATCATTATTGAGAAGTTGGAACTATCATTAACAAATCGGAAGTAATCGAACGAGAAAACAAACGGAATAAAAAAAAAAACGAGATTCTTCCATATATATAATCTGAACTTCACCCTGAATTTAATTTTTCTTCCTTGACCTAGAACAATCAAGATTCACATATGTTATACATACTAATTCTTTTACGCGACTATCATTTTCGCAATCAAGGGGAACTTAATTCTTCACACGTGTTATGCTAATTATATCATTATATATACATTTAATTATAATAATACTTAAATAAATGTTTTAGTTAATTTTTATTAATTTTTACGAAAATTAATTTTTTTCGATAAATATTTAACTGTTTGCTATTTAATTCAATAAATTTATTATATCGCGATACTAATTTATTATTTGACTTATTTTGTCCATTGAATATACGCAAAGTATACAGATTCTTCAAATTTCTCTTAAACGTTTTGCAATTTATCCTTAGTTTCGAAATGATTGATCTTTGATTACAACACAATATTGTTTCGTTTCGGTTTCAAAGCGTTGGCGGTTTCTGTAAGTATATATTTATGCAATGTACACAAAGTATAAAGACATCATTTAATTTTTCCACAATTCCACTTGAAATTCGAAAATTATTTTTTAAACTATTATTAAAAAAAAAATATACAAAATTATTGCATGTAAAAATATTTTTTAGTGTAATAAACAATTTTTCTAAAAAAAAAAATTAACCGACAATCAAAAACTGAATTAAATGTAGAATCTTTTGAGGCGATTTACAAAATTTTTTAATAATAACTACATATATTTGGTGAAATATATCTCAAAAAATGGATAGCCGTTGTCGTTATCGAATGCTGTAAGATGTCACACGAGTGAAACGTATATCGAGTGGATAATGCATGGCTAAATATCAATATATGCGAATGGTGAAAGTTCACGCAAAGATGTGTACTTATATTCGTCGCAAGGATAAACGCCGGTCGCGCACGCAATTCCAGACAAGAATTCATATTATCGACATTAAAAAATTTCTAAGAATCCTTCTTTTTTTTCTCTCATCTTTTTATTATTATAACGAAACAGACTATATAATTATCATTATTAATGTCGTATATAAATTTTCAAAAAGAAGAAACCCCATTATGTTTATATACCTGCGCGACTGAAAAATATAGCTATTATGTTAACAATTTATTTATTTTTTTTTTTTTTAAACTGAAAAGAAGTTTCGAAATATTCTCCTAAAAATAGAATGACGAGATTATTATAACAATTTCCATAAATAATAGTTTTTTTTTTCTCTTTTTTTGCAGAATATGCTGCGCTGTGTCTACACTGGGAGATGAAAGAATCGTTACAAAGTTGAGACCAGCTCAAACATATTCGAATATTCAATCAGAAAATATTGAAGCTGTTACTTTTCGAGACAGATCGATACCAATAGAAGGTATTGTTAAAAAATTTAACAATTTTATTTGAAAATTATTTCAATTTTTTTCCCCCCTCAAACGTATGTAAACAAACTTAACTTTCGTACACTTTCATTCTTAGCGAGTGAATGGTAATGAGAACTAGCAGCTTATGTAACAAATTCTTTGCGATTTAATTAAACTTCCTCGAAAAATTCCTAAAACAAATAAATTGCTCGTTTCCTTATTTTTCCAAATTTACGTAAATAAAAATATTTCACGAATAAATTTTGTCATTTTTTTTTTTTTTTAATTACAGAATATGTGACATCTCGAAAAGCTCACGCGGCAAGATACGAAGACGATGATTACTATGGTGGTGAAGATGAAGAAATAAAAATTGTCAAGACACAAAATAAAAAGGTACCTGAACGACATGAGAATTTAGAGAAAAAACAAACATCATTCAAGGAAAATGATCGAATTATTCCTAAAAAACAAACGCGTATCGAATTGGAAAATTTCAGTGATACAGGAGTGTTGCATGAAGATGGAATCAAGAAAGTTGACTCGCATCGAGCACAAGTTATTCGTCAAAGAGATTCTGTCATTCCTGGCGTTTATGTCAGGTAATACATTTATTTATTGCTTTTTAATTTCATTTTTATTTCAAATACTTTTATAAATTATATAAGAAAAGGAAATCGACTTTTACATTTCCATAAAAAAAAAAAAAGAAATAATAATGAAAGAATCACTTTCTTAAAACTAAGAAAGAGAAACACACACTTAAAAAAATCAATTTCAATGATGTAAACATTATAAAGTATCTAAAATTCAAGATAATCAGTTAAGTTGTCACACTGTTGTTGTTAATATTATTATTGTCATTATGTGAAAGCTTATGGATATCATTCCCAGTAGGCGAAACTAAGCAATATGTAGTAAAACCGGTTCCTGATAAAATGCTATAAAATATATATATATTTTTTTTCAAAATGAAATATTTCTGTAGACGAGGCCAAACAAAAGATATTTTAATTTTTTTTTTTTTTACAAGTGAAAATATTATTGAATAATTCATTTTTATCACAGCAATGAATATCCAACAACAATGTTACCAACACTGACAACACCAAGGGAGACTCGTTCATTTGATTTCATTCCGGTAAATATTATTCGAGAGGATAGCAAAGATGCATATACTTCGTATGCAGACAGACAATTTGGTGACTTAAGTGATGTTAGCTTAGTGCCAGCAGGCACAAGTTCACGTATTCAAGTGAAAAAAGGACCAAATGGCAAGGATTATGAATATGAATATGTCTACTATTACTACGATGAAGACGATGAAGGAAAAGCAAGTTCCGCTACAAATACTCAAGATACATCAAGCAGGACAACACAGTCACCAAGACGTGGTGGTAATAGTGGTAGTGGTGGTGCAACAAATGTCAATAGAAGTAAATACACAAACGTAGAAAGATCCACTACCGCTGAACCTGTTAGCAACGAAGTAATACCAAACAGAAATAGAGGTAGACAACTTGCAGAAGCTGATGAAATTTCCGAAGAACGCCTGCCAACTAACACTAGATTCCCACCAAGGTATTTGTCAATCATGTATCCTGTTTCTAAATTACATAATAACTGATTAATAGCCCGATTTACTCTCAATTTAATTACAATTTAACATCAATCTCACTAATAGTTTAATTTTTTAATTGGTTTTATTCATTAAAATTCTATAAATAACACTATAATAATTTTATTATCATCAGTATTACTAATTTTTTTCAGATCTCGTTCAAATCACAATACAGGAACAACAGAATCAAGTCGAGTACGTGGTAATCGACCAAGACCCAGTTTAGAACTCGTAGACTCAAGTAGTTTTCGCACTCATCAAGAAGGACCAGAATTTCCACAGAACTTACCAAAAGGACCGGTTAGATTTATTGGAGTAACTCCTAATGAAGATAACGAAGAGAAACCATCTAAAAACCGAGCGAGACCACATCGATTGCAAGAACCAGCTCCAGTTGAAGAAACTATTGATGATGCTCAGCCTACTTTTAGAAGACGACCTGCTTCAAGTATTGATCACGAGGTAATTACTTTCTTAATTCAAATGCCTAAGTGAAACTATAAAGAATTTTTCAACAAAAATTTTTATTCCCTCAGGCCCAAGTGGAACTTAGCAGAGGACAACCCGTTAGACAGCCAACAAATGAAGATGATACAGAACCTGCCACCCCGGGAATAATTTATTCAGATAAAAAAACACACCTAAGCGAAAAACAAGATACAGAATCATCAGATTTCACAACAACTGATATACCAACAACGGAATATCCTTCAGCAATGGATAAAGTTGCTTTGGATCTTTATGCATTCTTCCAACAAGGACAAAGTAATCTTGTTGAATCAAGCTCTGAATCTGATTTAACAAATGACAGTACAACATTATCGGAAAATGATGCCACGGAACTTGCAACCACTGAAACATTTATTGTTACAACAGAATCTACAACCACTTCAACCGAACCATCAACAACTACTACCACAACACCGGAACCAACAACCTCAGCAACCACCACTACAGGTAGAGGAAAATTCCGCAGACCAGGAATACCAGGTGGTGCTGTCTCCAGAAACAGGTAAATATACATTTTATCAATTCCAAAAAACTTTTTTCTAAATCAACTTTCTTTCAGATTTAAGCTGAACGGAAGTGGATCAACAACAGAAAGCAGTAATTCAGCAGAACCAACACAAAAAGTTAGAGGAAGATTCGGTAGCAATGGTAACAGTGGATTTAAGCGACCAAGACCAGGGCAAAAACATCAAGTCGATGAGGAAGTACAAAAAGAAAATGCAGCTCCAACAAATGCAGAAAAATCAAATGGTACACGCAATAGATTCAGAGGAACTGGTAATCGAAATATTTCCATTACAACTCCAGCCTCTGCTCCATCTTCAGGATCTTCCGCCGCAGCACTTCGACCAACATTCAACAAGCTCAATATTAATCGCAGACGTGGTAGACCCTCAACAGCATCACCATCAGCCAGTGAAGAATCATCAGATGGAAGCGAAGTCGAAACACACGAGGCTCCAATTACTCCAAAACCAAGTGCTCGGCCAAAATTACCAGGCGTTGTTCCCAGACCCGCGCGTCCCGGTGCTAGGGTCAATTTAAGACCCAGACCAGGACAAGCGACAAGTACCACAGTTGCTCCCGAAACTCCCGAAGTTCCCGTTGACGAGCCTGCCAGTGAGGGAACAGAGGAGGAAACTCACGCTGTAAGATCCTATTTTCCACTAATTTACCTATTTACACTAATTTACAAATTTACGTTTATGTAATAAAAATAAATTTAATTTTTACAGGCTCCAGCAGAATCAAGTCCACCAAATCGCCTAACAACCGTCAATCCACTCAACAAACTAAGAAATAGAAATCGATTACAGGTACAACCAAAAACAACACGATCACCTATTTCAACAACTCCAAGAAGATCGCCTCTATTACCACGACGAAAAACAACTGAAGTTCCCGTTGAAGAACCTGTTCACGAACAAGAGAGTGAAGAAGAAGCAGTTGCCGAAACAGAGCCAACGGAAGTTTCAATTATCGAAACAAGTACAGCAGCAAGTACTAAACACGAGGAAGTTCGAGGATTAAGTGGTCTTTTAGCACCAAGAAGAAGGATAGCACCACGTCGTCCTGGTCAAATATTATCTCGAGAATAGACTTATAAAAAACATAATTTTTTTTTTTAAATTCCATTTCTATGGAAACTGATCAAATTTAATTTTTTAACAAGAATTTTTTTTCCCTTCCGGTTTATTAATAAAAAAAAATTCTTCAAATCAGACAATAAAATCACTACAAATTATTAATAGTATAAAAGAAAACTTGACAAACGGACATTGTGCACTTTAAGCTAGTCTCTTTATAATCAAGCGCACTTCTTAAAAATGAAAGTGCCATTAAATAAAAAGGAAATACTCAAATCGACTGAAAAAAAAACTTGGACAGCTTTATATTCCTTGAGTGCACAAAAAAAAAAATCTCCCTCGTAAATATAAGTCCGAGTTAATGCAACAAATTAATCAGATTTAAAAATTATTTTTTTTTTAATCGTGTGATCATATAAAATGCCTATGCAGTAACTTTTACGAAGTAATAAAAAACGAAAAATCGTAATTGCCTGGTAAATGTTTATACTGCACAACAATAGTGATGGTAATTATATATTTAATTCGACATGACTTGTGCGTGTACTTCTTATTTAATTATCTTTTATGTTTTATATTTTGATGTTGTATATGTACGTTTAAAGCATATGATATCGTATCTTTAATATTTGAAGAATAATGTTTTTTTCAAGTACGAAAAAGCTGGCAATGTTAATGTGCCTTATTGCGTTTGCTCCTACTTTTATAGAATAGCTTAAGCTCCAAAAAATAATGTAAATATTATTATATTATTATTAAATTCATGTCTGAATGACAATAATCGTACCTTGATTATATTTTATTTTGTCCTTTTCATCTCCATCATTAGTTGAGATATCCATTTGGTACTCGAAAAAATAAAAAGTATTAGAAATATTTAAAAAAAAAATTTAATTGAAGGTCCAGATCAAGGAGCCGGTTATAACATTTTTAAAACTCAAAATTTTTGGCCCCTGAATCCAAAAAAAGTTTTGAATTTTAATTTTTTCAAGTATTTATTTTTATAAAGAATATACAAATAAATATCTACATGAAAAATAAAATTTAAAACTTTGTAATATTGAATTAACGAGACAATAATTTCTAGTTTAAAAAAATTATACCCGGTACTTTAATTTGGACCTTCAATTAAAAACAATTAATAATACAAATTTTTTATAAATTATTAGCAAACTGCCTTAAACAAGAAAAAAAATTAAATAATTTTTTATTCATATAAAAATAATTATGGTAAAATGGGAGGAAAAACGTCTTTTCAAAAAACCTAAAAAATGTCCTAAATCCTAAATGCGAAATTAAAGAGAACCTAATAAAACCTAACGGAAACCTAATGATTGTACAGAAACAATCAGTGTAAGAATTTCGAAATCTTACACAGTTGAAACACAAGTAAAAGCACAAAAAATATAAATATAACAATTGGATGTGGAAATTGGTGAAAAATTTATATAGTGACAGTGGAGAAAATAATATTAAGAGCCAATTATTAAAAAATAATAATTGACTTTTAATACACACAATAATAAATACCTTGTAATATAAAACCTGAAAATAAAAATGATTAGTAAACATCCTATTCTAAATTTTTACTAATTAAAAAAATTATATAAGAAAATTATTTTCAAGTCTAAATTAACGCCCGGAGATCCCTCCTCTAGATTAAGAAACAAATTTGAGAAATTTGCCAATTAACCATACAAAGAAACCGAGAGTTAAAAAAAAAACCCAAAAATTATTTTCATTATATCTAACAATTACTATTTTACATTCTATTTTATTCGAAAAATTTACACTAATTCTAATAATATTGAATTATAAGATTAATTTAAAAAAAGCAACTTTAAGTTGCACAATTAACCTTTTTTTTGGTCTGAATCGAAATAAAATTAAAACGATAGGTTAATTAAATATTTAAATATTCAACAAATATTTATTGTAATAAAATATTCAACAAATATTTATTACAATAAAATATTCATCAAATATTTATTATTTATTGCAATAAAAATATTTAAAATAAAAAAAAATTTAATACTTTAAACATTTTTAAATGTTTAAATATTTATTAATTTTTATTTAAATTATCATTGATTTATTTTTTTCATGTCAATATAACTTTTAATTATTTCCAATTTTTTTAAATGAATAAGTGATTTTTAATTCCGCGTGAACCAAAAAAAAGTAAATCCTAATCTAAAAAATACAAAGACAAATAATAAGTGTCCACTTGCTATTTAAATAGATTATGTTTCATTTAAATTAATTTAATTTTAAATTAAATTAAATTTATAAACATTAATCTAATTACTTAGCTGCCACTATATATAGAATTTTTCTAATTTGTTACAACTTGCCTCTACTCCACTTGTATTATAGAGACAAGAGGGACTCACCGACCGATGATTCGAATAGGTTGAGGGGATGATGCTGGGGATTCACCTTTCTCTCAGCATATTGTCAGCAATCTGCAATCCTCCTTCCTCTTTTTCCTGTCCATCCTATCCTACCCATCCTTCCTGTCCTTCAGTCCTAAATAAATACAAAAATTCATTAGATATCGATAAAATAAAAATTATTCAAAAAAATTTATAAGTTTTTTACTATGTATTTAAATATTAAATGTATTATTTGGAAAAAGCCACACAAATTTCTGAAAAATTAAAATTAAATTTAATTATTCTTTTTGTTTCCAAAATGATTTATAAATTATCTGAAAAATTGGAATATAAATGTATTTCTAATTTATTTATTTAGAAAATAATTAAAATATGTAAAAATAAAAAAATTACATCAGTTGGAAGTTGGATCCGCCCGAATGGAATCCTTCCATAATTTTCACAAATCACAATAGCACAACACTTTTTTTAAAATTTTTATTTTCACAACACTAAAAAAATTATGGAATTTACTTTTAAAATTTAATTAATTTTTTATTTAATCACGCACTGATTTTAAATTTAAAACTGATTTTAAAATATGAATTTACTTTTAAATTTTGTTTTAATATCAACATTTTTGTTTATTTTTTTTTATTAATTATTATAAATTAAATTATTTTTAAAACACTCGGAAAATTACGAAATTAATTTTTATAAATTTTTACAATTTAATTTAATTATTTAATCACGCACTGATTTTAAAATTTACAAAAAATTTAAAATGTTTTTTAATCACGCACTGATTTTAAAATTTACAAAAAAATTTAAAACATTTTTAATCGCGCACTGATTTTAAAATTTACAAAAATTTAAAACATTTTTAATTGCGCACTGATTTTAAATTTTAGAAAAAATTTTAAACAATTTCGTTTTTATTCACACACTGATTCTAAATTTTACAAAAAAAAAAAAATATAAAACGTTTTTAAATCGCGCACTGATTTTAAACTTTACCAAAAAATTGTAAACGATTTCGTTTTTAATCACGCACTGATTCTAAACTTTGATAAATAATAAAAAGAAATTACTTAAATTTCCAAAACTTATTTATGGAGATTTTTGCTAATTGTAATTAAACTTGTCTCATCATTAAATAGCCATCGAGAATTGTTTCCTTTTTCCCAATTATTGTTCTGAAAAGATAAAAAAAAAAAAAATTGTCAGACACCAAAAAAAGCATTAAATTATACGATTTTTAATCATTTTTAAGGTTATGTTGCAACACATTAATAAATATTAATTAAACAGCAAAAACTGTAAATTATATGATAAATAATTATTTTTTTAAGGTTATGTTGCAACACATTAACAAAAATTAATCCTCCATTTTGATTATTAAAAAATTAATAAATTTGTATTTAGATTATAATGAGAAATTATTTTATTTTCCTAGTCGAGGCAAAGGCAATAAAAAAATATTATATTGGCAGCAAAAACAGAAAAAATTAACAATTGCTTTATAATATAATTTTTTAGGGTTATGTTTATCAACGAAATATTATATTATAACAATGATTAATATTCAATTCGACTTTTGAACAAATTAATTATTTTATATTCAATTTATGATGCCTTTGTTTCCATTTGTATACCTGTTCAAAGTCGAAAACTTTTAGACAATGCATCAAATTCGCCTACCTGCCCCCCCCCACTCCACTTCAATTAAATAATCCCCAAAATAAATTTCGACAATTGCAAAAATTGTTGATAAAATATATCAATTAATATTACACTTATAGATATGAAAAATAAATGCGACAAATAAACGAAATATTGCAACACACATTTCGACTCAGTGTTCCGAGCAACTCGGAGCAAAATTGTATTATAATAGAAAATAATTAAACATGCAATGAAAAACAAAGACACAAATATGATTCAAACACAATTACATAAATATAAAATTTTTCAATTGATTTTAACTCACCATTAGCAGCAACTTCCATGCATGGGAAGAATAGGTTTCTAAAGCAAATCAGCTCCCGGAGATCCCTCTTCTGGATTAAGTACCAAATTTGAGAAATTTGGCACTTAATCTTACAAAGAGACCGAGAACTAAAAAGCTCGAAACAAATCTTCCCTTTCGTCCAACAATGAACACCATTCTGCGCAAACTGTAGAGAAAAAATAAGTTTCTAAAACCAATCAGCTCCCGGAGATCCCTCTTCTGGATTAGGAACCAAATTTGAGAAATTTGGCACCTAACCTTACAAAGAGACCGAGAACTAAAAGGCCCGAAACAAATCTTTCCTTTCGCCCACTAATGAACACTTTTTGGCACAAGCTGAAACACAAATGAGTTTTTTTTCTTTAGCAATGTTCAACACCATGTGTTGAGACTCGACGCCATTTTGGAAAAATGCCTTGTTGCCAAATTTAATCGACAATCCGATGAACGACAAACATAATTCTCATCCATCGACTCGGAAAATAACTTAAAATCAAATATTTATAAGATAATATATTATATTTACCGATTTTTACCAAAAAAAAGTCGCCAATATCGGGGAAATGTGCTGCACGGGAAACAATTCAAAGGCACTGAACAAGTCCCAACACAGAGAAATCCTCCTCGTCTCTGATTGGCTGTCAACAGAAACGCCGACTGAACCGGAAGAGGACTGTTTCTGGACAAGAAAAGACTAACTGTGATTGGCCTACTCAGCTGAGCTCAAAGGGCCTGTGTATTAGGCTTTACATTTATTTGAATTTTTAAACTCATTAATAACAGACAATGATAATACTAATTATAATAAACAAAATAAAATAATAAAAAAATAAAGTATAACAGTAAAATAAATAAAATATATTTTATTTTATATAATAATTATAATAATAATTATATAATTATACTATTAATATATATTATTATATTAATAAAATAATATATAAAAAATAAGTAAAAATAATAAATAAATGAATAAAAGTGAATAATTATTATTTACAGTTAATAATAATTAAAAAATTACCTAAATTTATGATAATTATTGTTTTTCGTCTATTTTTTTTTAATTTAAAGAAAAATATATTTATTAAGTAATTTAATTAAATAATAAATGTTATTTATATTATCAGCAGTCTGTAAATTTTAAAAAAGTAAAAATTATAATTAAATTATTTATTTTACGAATTTGTAAACGAATTTTCGTTTTTCGTAAGCATTTAGTAACAAATATTCAATAATGATTTTATACGAATTATATAATATGTAAATTAAGAATTATAATAATAATAGAGAAGAAACAGGGAAATTAAAATTATAATACCTGGTTTAAAAAAATCTTTTTTCTTATCAGAAAATTATTTGGCATTTTTTGGAGGAAGGGATTTACTGCGCCGTGACATTGTGAAGAACTTTCTTTCTGATGATCTTTTACGTTCCTGAAAAAATTTAATTAAAGAAATTAATTGAAAAAAGAAATTAAAGAAATATTTCTATTGTTATTTCATTATTTTTTTTTATTTTAAATTATTTCTAATTAAAAAAAATTGTAAATGGTAGACTCACTTTATTGTCAGAAGAGAGTTTTTCTAATGATTTTTGAGAACTTTGACTTGATCTTAAGGAATGAACATCATCGGCAGATTTCTGTAAAAAAAATTAACTGTAAATAAAATGTGTTATTGAAAAAATTAAACTATAAAATTTTTCAATTTACGCGTTATCACTCACTCTATAATCAGAAAACAATTTTTCTAATGATTTTTGAGAACTTTGACTTGATTTAAGGGAATGAACATCATCGGCAGATTTCTGTAAAAAAAAATTAACTGTAAATAAAATGTGTTATTGAGAAAAATTAAACTATAAAATTTTTCAATTTACATGTAATGGAGATTTCATTTCTTTTAAAGCTGATTTTTCTTGTGAGACCTAAAACAAAAATAAGAAATATTTTTAAAACAATATATTTAAAAAAAATAACTAAATATCAAATTTTTAACTTACTTGTAATGGTGTCGAAGTTTTCTGATTCTTTTGTGACTGCACATAAAAGTTAAATAACGAATTTGATTAAAAATAATCGGAAAACAAGACATTCTCAATATAATGATAATTTTAAAAAAATTCATTTTTATATATTTTAAAAAATTAATAATTAGTAAACAACAAACTTACTCCAAATTGAGCAAATATTTCGTCAAATAATTGTTCACCAGGTTTATTGGATTTAGAACCAGAATCATCTTCTTCAGACTTCTGTAAATAAAACGCAAATGAAAATTATTTCTCCAAAAAAAGAAAGTTGTATTGAATTTCAGTTGCAAATGAATTGTTTTTTACAAAACTTACACGAAAGGGAGAGGAAATTTTTGAGCTTTCAATTGATTTCTGCGATGATTTTTTATCAGAAATCTACAAAAATTGTATAAATATTTTTTAAATGTTTCTTTTTTTAATAAAAAAAAAAATTGTAAATAAATTACAGGTTTTTACCTCAGTTTGAGACTGTAAAGCTGGAAGTTTTTCTTTCAATGATTTTATTAAAGACAATGTCTCTGAATTTATATTAACTTGTTCATTTTTTATTATTAAAGGTTTTGGTTTCTTCTCAGCTTCTTTTTTCAATTCTGTTTCTTTTTTTAATTCTGTTTCTTTTTTTAATTCTAATGCTTTTTTTAATTGTAATTCTTTCTTCAATTCTTCTGCTTTTTTTAACTCTGCTTCTTTCTTCAATTTCTTTAATTCCTCTTCTCTCTTCAATTCTTTCTTTTTTTTCAATTCTGCTTCTTTTTTTAATTCTGCTTCTTTCTTTAATTTCTTCAATTCCTCTTGTTTTTTGAATTCTAATTTCTTCTTTATATCCTTTTTCTTTTTCAATTCGGATTCAGTTTTCTCATTTTTTAATTTTTCTAATTCGTTTTCTGCATCTTCGATTTGTTTATTTAAATCCGTGAAATCTTTTTCGCCGGAACTTAATTCCTGCTCCACCTATTGCAATAAAAATATGTAGATAATTAAATAAATCATTTTTAAATTTAATATTAATAAGAAGAAATGAATAAAAGTATACTTCTTTATAGAGATTCCGGTATTTCTTGGCTTTTTGTTCAAGTTCCCTGAGCTTAAGTTGGTGAACATTTATCAGAGATTTTTCTTTTTTTTCTGCTTCATCTACATCTGCCTTTAATTTAATTTTCAATTCTTCAAAGGTTTCCATAACTTTTGAATCCAATAAATCAGGATAATCATCGAAATGTTTCTTATTATTCTCCTTTATTTTCTTGTAAGAATCCATGAGTTCACTGTGTATTTTCTTTTTTTGATCAATTTCGAATTTTAAGTTTACAATTGTTTTCTCTTCCTCGTTGTGATTTGAACAATTATCCAATTCATGTAAAAGCTCATTATTTTCCTTATTAAGAGTCTCCTGCTTAAGATTCAATTCTTCCAATTCCTGCATGAAAAGTCAATAGTTAATAAATTTTTTAATTATAAAGTATAATAATTAAATTATTATCAGTACATACTTTATTTAATAATTTCATTTCATTAGATATTTCATCATGTGGTAAAGACTTTAATTCATCGTTTAATTCCATTAATTTCTTATCTAAATTTTCAATATCTTTAGATGTTTGTAATGAAAGCGAATCTATTGACATTTTTGTATCATTTATTTTTTTATCAAGATTTAAACCACAATTGGTCAAATCCATAACTTTATTATAAGCTTCAATTAGAAAATTATTTTTTTTAATTTTGTTTTGTGCATCCTCAATTTTTCCCGCCAAGTCAGTATGCCTGAAATATAAAAATTATTATTATTAACATTCAATTCCGTAAAATATTTCAAAGTTATCAATAATTTTTAATAATTACGAGGAATAATCGGAATCCAAATTTTCGGATAATATTTCTCTCATTTTTGCGTGTAGAATTTCTGCATATTCATCAAGATAGTTGTAAGATTCTAATTCTTTTTCACGATCAGCGGCTTCCAATCTCAATTTATCCAGTTCCTAGTAAATTTTAATATATTTATAAAAATAATTCAAAAATTTAATTTAGTGGTAAATGTAATAAAGTACAATACTTGAGCGTTTTTAATATCATCTTGAAGATCCTGCAACTTCTCGTCTTGTAAAATCTTATTTAACCTGACTTCTTCCATCTCTAAAAAGTAGTTTGATCTGTTAAAAAAGACATAAAATATTAATGAACGATTTAATATTGTTAAATATAAAAATTATTTAAAATAAAATTTTCTAATTATTACTCTTTAACATCCTTTAATTTTTGTTTAATATCAATTAAATCCTGATCTGATATTTGCAACTCCTCATTTTCTTTTTCCAATTTTGCTAGCTTTTCTTGTAATTTGTTTAATTTAGCTTTTTCCATTTCTAAACAAAAGAAATAAAATATAAAAATTAATACACTTGTTTCAATAAGAAAATTTTGTTTCCTTATTTAACTAATACACGAATTTATAAATTTAATGAGTTTATCTTTAAATCACTTACCAATAATCGATTTACTTTTTGAAGCTTCATTTTCTAAAGTAGCTGTAATTTTTTTCTTTCTTTCAAGTTCTTCAATTAAATTTTTAATTACAAGTGACCTTATGTTACACGTTTCATTTAGTTTTTGATCAATCATTTTTTGAACAACAACCATACTTTGAATATCTTCGTACACGCTATTAATATCTTCTTGAACATTATTGTAACTGAAAAAAATGTTTTCAATATTAAATTTCTTCTCTTCAAAGTTAAATTTATTATTTTTTGAAATAAATAAATTACGTAAATTACTAGAAAATTTATTAATTGAATATTTTAAAAAACAAATATTTAACTCACACATCCATACAGAATTTTAGATCTGCAATAGTTGTTCCCTGTTGTGCTTCAAATTTTGCCTTTTCAATATTTAATGCAGAAAATTTAAAATCAATTGATGATTTTTCCAATGTTAGAGCAGATTGCAGGGACTCATATTTTTTGACAATATCTGTTTTTGCATTCTAAACGAAATTGAAAATTTTAATTATAAAATAGACACATTTAATCTAAAATATAAAATATACCGGTGTTGAAGGTACAGATGAATTTGTAGCTTCATTATTTTTCCAAGTTTCAAAAAGTTGGTCAATAAGTTTATTTGGTTGTTGCGTTGGTTGTGATGCTGAGATACGTTGTAAATCCATTTTTTTTCTTTTCTTATCACCATCCGATACAGATGATCTTCTTTTGCGATTGTCAGGATTTTCTGAATCCATTTTTATAACTGAAATAAAAAATTATTATTTATAAACGAATTTTTGATTCATCCAAATGAACACAATTTGTCAAATGTTGCAAAACAAACACACACACACATATTTATTATTTGCGAAAAGGTTATTAACACAACGCCATTTTGAAAAAAATGTCATTGTTGCAAATCGTTAATCAACGACATTAACATTTTTCGTAAATATTCAGAATGTTTTGAAACAAACCCCTCAAAATATGACATCCCTCAACTTAGCGAAAAAATTTCTAGAAAAATTTATAAGATAGGTTATATTTACCGGTTTTTTTTTATAAGAAAATTGCCAAATAACAGGTAAATCGGTTGCACGATAAATTTTTTAAAGGCACTGAACAAGTACCAACAGCGACGTGAGTAAACAATGGTGGTTCAACCGGAAATGAGCTCTATCTAAAGCAAGGAAATACCGCCATTTTTCTTGAAAGAATACATCTATTTAAATAATTACAATAAATGTAGTAATTACAAAAGCACTGAATTTTATATAAATGAGATAAAAAATTAATTCGATAATCAACTTTCTTAAAACTTTTCTAAAATAATTAAATTTACCAATACATAAAAGCGGAAGTCCGCTCTTTGCATTATGGGGAATTAAACTTGTCCAGTTTATGACTTCCTATTGGCTGGATTATTCAACCAATATATATGTAGAATTCAAATTTAAATTTTGTCTTACAATTATATAAAATTTATTAAAATTATTTAATTTATTACTAAATATATAAATTTAATATGTATATTAGATTATAATTTCATTAATTCAAATTTTTAGATAACATTTCTTTCTTTAATTGTCTAAGATATAAATTCTTAAACAATAAGTATAAATTTTGAGAAAAGATTTAATTTACTTTTCAAAATTTTTAAATTATCTAAAAAAGGAAGGTTAAGAAAAAAATTGCTTTATATCAAAATATAATCGTTTAATCATCAATAATATTTCATAATACAAAGACCCAGAATGCAGAAAAATCGCAAGAATAAAAATACTAGTCACTTGTATTTTCTAAGTATCATTCGCCCCATCACAGATTTTGCTCCAGTCAATTTTTTTTTTTTTGCAATATTCCAACTGGTAACTTTTTTCCTTCTGTCATCTAATTTAAAATTAGTGCGGGGAAACAAAGGAAAAAAATAGGGAACAAAGTCACATATTATTTCGATGCATTATGACAAACTGTAAGAAAATTTACTGTTTTTTTTTTTTTTTATTATTAATTGTATAAAAGATTTTTTTCAAAATTTTTCCCAATATTAAAAACAAATTATCACACAAAACTCGTTGATATTATTAATGTTAATAAAAAATTTTTGAAACGCCCACTGCCATTCTTGACACTATAATATAATGCCCATATTAATTGGTGAGTCATTTGGTACTGGCAGTGATTTCACAAAATTTAATATTACAAACATTATCTTAATAAAGATCTAAAAAGCACTTCTTAGTTTAAGAATGGGAGATCCTTTTTTTAAATTTTAAATGAAAATTAATAATTAGAAACAATTCGCAAAGACTAAAACGATAATAAAGACGATTTTTTTTTTTTGTATCGTCGAAAAGAAAATTAATTTTCATCAAATAAAATGTAAAAGTTTCTAAAATAATAATAAAATAAAAGCGAGAACATCTCGCAAAATAGGAAAATATACGTTCAAGAAACTATATCAACAATAAAAATTTGAGAATTAGTCTAAAATAGCAAAAAACTTGACTTCTCAAATTGAGATTATTATAACAAAAAAGAATTCGTTGATTCAGTTCAATCCGTATATTATTTTGAGAGTCACCCTGTTTATCACTCGAAAGCTATATAACTATTTTTTTATAGTAATCTATTTGTACAATTAATTCTATTTTTTTATCATTATAACGACATAATATCCTTTTTTTTTTGCTACAATTGGCAAAAATTGTTTTTAATTTACTTGCTTCACTTCCAAAAGTTGAGGATAATTTTCCACTATATTCAGCAGAATTCCGTCAATATAAGATCGCAATTGAGAATTTACTTCTTGCTGTTCCTTTAGGGCTTGCTTTAACTGAAAAAGAAAATAATTTATATAACTCAATTAATTTTAATAATAAATAAATATTACTCACTTCAGCTAATGTGCGTGGTTCTGGTTCCCTCGATTTATTTCCATCAGTCTGATCTTGATTCATTCCTGCTAATAATTCAGCAGCAAGACTAGATCCTTTTTCGACATTATTCGCACATGGATTCAACATTAATAATTCACGACCCGCTTGTAAAGCCGCTGCCGCTTGCAATTCATCTCTTGATTCCTCTAAACCTATATTTTCAAAGAAAAATAAAAATTTAATAAAAAGAATGTAACTATTTATAAAAAAATAAATTTAATTAAAAATTACTTTTGTTTCGAGCTCGTAAATGGGAAATTTCTTGAATTAATTGATCTAATTTTTGTTGTTCATCAACGTGAGCCGCTAATTCTTCTCTTGCAACTTCAAGCATATGATTAGCTTCATTTGAACGACTCACTGCCTGACGTCCAAGTTCACGTGCAGTTTCAGTTTCTCTTCTTGCATCGTCTAATGTATTTTCAAGTTGACCTTTTTCCACTCGAACTTTTTCTAACTGTTCCCGTAATCGGGAGACTTCATCACGTAAACTCGCACTCTCAAGTTCCATTGCTTGCAATTTTATCGAGCAATTTTCCAATTGTAATTCCTTCTCACGTTCCAATCGACAAGCAAAGTCTCGATGCCTTCTCTGCTCGGCCTATAACGGAAACAATAAAAAAAGTCGTTAAAAAAAAATTATTTCTAGTTTTTTTTTTTATTTTTGTTTCAAGAAGCATTTTTCGTTTTTTAAAAGAGTAAAATCTAATCTTTATAATTTTAAAATTTCAGGGACACAAATATTAAGTCAAAAACTTTTTTAATATGCTTTTTAAAACGTTTTTTTAGATTCTTTTGAAGAAAATAGAGGATTTTAAATTCAAATTTATATACTTGTAATCTTTCTTCAGCTCTGCTCTCAGCATCTTTAGCAGCTTCTTCCAACATAAGTACCCTGGCCTGAAGTGTTGCATTTTGTTCCTTTGCTCTCGCGTATCTCTCTTCCCCTACCGATTGTGTGTCCACTAAAGCGTGCATTTGTTCTTGTATCATTTGTACCTGTAAAAATAAAAAAAAATGTAATTAATTTAACTGTTTAATTATAATATAATTATATATAATTAATAAAAGAAAGTGTGAAAATGTTTATTTCATTTTTTAATATTAAAATTGAATAATCTTGATCGAAAAAGTCTAAAAAAAGACAATATTTCCTCTGTAATTTCTTTTTCATAAATAATAATTTCATTGTTCTTTTACAAATAATTTCATCTTCTTTTTGTGTTCGTTGTGCTATTTAAAACAAATAATTGCTTGGTGACTTTCTATTATTATTTTTACCTATTCTCTAAGTTGAAATCGAAACCAGTGGAACTAGAAATATATTTAAAAATATACAGCTTTATAAGATTCTTGTATTTCTATATTACACGATAATGGAGAAATATATGCCGCGGTCAATAACCAGATGGGGAAGAATCGATGCGATATGCCTATAGCATATTTTCTCTTACTTGTTTGTCTGATGTACTGGGACAACAATTATGATCTTGTCCCAAAAATTGAAACTGACCTTCCCAAAGATCGTATTCAAGATCAGCATCGAGTTCACCAGTTGTTACTTCACTAAAAATTCTATTATTTGAATTAGAATGACTTTTAAAATTTACATTACACGATTTATTATCAACGACACCAATTTCTTCACAGTCCGCTTCCATTCTACTAACTTGACATTTTACAAGTTACACTGTTAATATTTTATGCATATGCCGCAAGCGCGTGTGTCATGTTATAAGTATAACATTTTTTTTTTTCTCTTTCCCACAGTGAACTGAATATTTCGATCGTCATTCTAACTCCATTAGTATAGTAACTACTTTACTAATATGACCTTATTAACTTGTGCTAATATTTTTTTTTTTTTATTTATTTATTATTTTTTCTTTAGAGAAAAATTAGAACATCAGAATTTTTTTTTTCTTTTGATAAATAGAAAACGCGCACTTCCGTCTCGTCTTGGCCGACGCCTTAAATATTGTGCTCGAATATATATTTGTTGGATAGTCTCGATTATGTCGTGGGTTGTTAGTCGTAGTGGGCTATTTATGCACTTCTTATATACTCTCTTTCGCTTAACTCCTTTTGATATTATTTTCTAATTACAATGATCGTCGGGGAAAATCTGAAAACACGTTTACTTTAGTTGTAAAAATAAATTTATTTAAAAAAAAATGTTTTTCTCTTCAAACACCTTATTTATTATTAATAAATTAAATAATACAATTATTATTGTTGAAAAATATTATAAACAAATATTTTCAAACTTACTGAAAGTTTGCGTTCTTATAATTGAAATTATAAACCATCAAGCCATTTTTTTAAATTCACTATTCCGTAATATCCAGTATCAATTAGTACAATTAAAAAAGTTAAGAAAGCCCAACCTTTCCATTCTAAAAAACTTCGATTAGTTACTGAAACATTTTTAGGGCAAGCCATTGCAAGAGAAAAATTTCAAATAAATATTAATCACAAATTTTATTTCGTTTGAGTTGCAATTTTTTTTTTTACTTTCCTTAAAGTTATAAATTTTTTTTACTTTTTAAAAATAATAATGAATAAATATGAATTTTTAAAAAAGTTAAAATTCAGTAACTGAGAATTTTGATTTACGAAATATTTTTTAAGAAAACAAAAAAGAAAAGATTGGTTTTTTAATTAAACAAAATAAAATCGACCGTTTTCCACTCTCTGAACTAGGCCGCCAGATAAATATCAATTGTTCCCACTTCTTAGAATCAATATTTTTCCGGAAGCTATATTTTTTATTATGAGAAAAAAAAGAAATTACTGCATTTTTACAAGTGAATTTTTACTTCTAGAAATTATTTTTTTTTAAATAGAACTCAAAATAGTTTCAACTATCTTTATTAAATTAAAATTGTTCTTACAATTTTTTTAAATTTCTTATTAAAAAATGTTCATTTTTTTTTCTCTTTCATTGGAATGAATTGAAAATCTCAAATTTCTTATCAAGCCTTACTGTCATCCAAAGTATTTTGTTCAACTACTGAATTGGATTTATTCAAGGACATTTCAGTAACTAAATAAAAAAAATATATTTTAAAAATTAATCATTAATTTTTAAATATTAATTAATAAAAATAAAAAATTTAAACGTACTTTTATTTGTCAAGTGCGTTTTTTTTAATATTCTGCTGTACAAAGATTCACCGCTGATTGGCTTATTAAACAAAATGCTGCTCGTTAAGAAAAAAAAAAAAATTTTTGTTACAATCCATAATTTTTCTTGAAATTTGATATTTCTAAATAACTCACAAATTTAAAAACGAACACATTAAATCGTAAAGAAAATTATGATAAGAAAATTTTTAAATCTAAATTCACTTTTAGTGCCATTATGTAGCAATTATGTGGATAGTAAAAAAAATATTTTTCTTCGACACAGATTGTACTATAATAAATTTAAAAAAATAATTAAATAATATTAATTAATTACTCGTTATTGGTAAATAAATATTTCATTAAAACAATAAAAAATAGAAAACAAAAATTAAAAAAAAAATGTGAGAAAAAAATTGTTTTTCATAAGAAATCAAATTATTTACACCTTGAAAGAAGTTAATTAACGCAACTAAAATGAGACTAAAAATTTTTTTCCAATGGGAAGACTCACGCAAAAAGTAAAACAGCCGCCACTGACAGTAGAATGAGAATTCCGTAAGTGAACGGATTATTAATGAGAAAAATCCCGTAATTAAATGTTGTTTTTTTAAAATAAAGTTTACGATGAAAAAGTCCCATCTATTAAGTTAAGGAACTTTACGTAAAGCTAATTTCTCATCATCCGTCATAAAAGTTCCAGAACTTTTTTGATTATCTCTTAATAAAGTTTCTTCCAATTTTTGCGATTTATTACTGGCTGTATCAATAGAGATATTTTTATTATTTCGTTGTTTTTGTTCGGAAATTTTTGAATTTGATGGTGAAATTAATTTTTTTGGTGTTGACGTGCCAGATATTTGTTCGTATTTAGGTTCAATTATTCCCTTATTATTATTATTATTGCAACAACTGAATGATGCAGGACAATTTTGTGATGCATCTCTTTTTTCTAATTTTCGTAATGGCACTCCAATTGGAAGCAAATGAGGATTCTGCATAAAATTACAATATAAGTTTCTATTTTTTTTATAAATTGTAATTGAAAATAAATATTATATTATATAGTTAAAAAAAAAAAAATTAAAACTACCTGATGTGCTAAAAAAGAAGGAGTCGACCTTTCGGAATTACTAAAGTTCCGGCCGAAGAAGAAACTTCGGAGAAAATTGTAAGCAATAATTATGGAAATAATTAGAAGTGCAAAAAGAATAAGTGGCAGCCAAGAAGTTTCTTTGGTTGATTGAACTTCATACGTATTAAAATCAGAGGGACGATTGGAATGACAAGTGCACGGTGCTACAATTGTCAAATTGTAAAAAAAAATATAAATATAAAAAAGTAATTAACTTTAATAAAAAATTAAAATAACTAACGAACTTGAATAATGTTGATTAGGTCTCGGTGGTGGTGGTGGTGGTGGTTGATAATAAGATTCGCATGGAATGTAATTGGGATACGAATGATAATTTTTACAATTTGATGATGAATCCTGATCAGCACCCGAAAAAGTTTTTTCTACCATAGGATTTTGTTTTTTGTATTTTTTTTTTTGTTCTTATTAAAAAATAATCTCCATATATTTTTTTTTATTGAAAAATATTTCCACTGGTTTTAATTTTGAAAATTTATTCTCTAATGACGCCAAAACAGTTACATTTAATGTGAAGTATTTTCCTACATTTCTAAAGTGTCATTTTTTACAACTCTGAAATTATCTACTTTTCACTTTCAGCAATCGATTGTGTTAGTAAGTAAACAATGGATTATCAATGATCTTTTAATTAAATCCTAATTGGTTTCCATTATTTATGATAACCATATATATAATGCATATTACAATTTACATAATATACTATTTATTTTATGCGAGTCACGATGAAACCGAAAGTGTTTTGATAAAATTCTGTTTCTCAAACTTTTTGATTTTAATCTATTTAACTTTCATCTATTTGATTTAAAATTTTTAATATTTTATTTAATAAACTTTTCAATTTATATTTATTATTATTATTTAAATTTATTATTCTCCGTGCATTTAATTCTTCCAATAATTTTTATTTTTTTGTTTAAAAATGTTAAAATTAGAAAATTGAAAATATTTTAGTATTGAAAATCATTTTTAAAATGATACATTGTTTCCGTATGAAATATGAATCATCAATCAGATAAGCAATTGACAACTAATATCATCCCGTTATGATTAAAGGCATTAATGTCATTGGCTTATAGAATAATTCCCAATAAGCCTCTTATTAATGGCTCAAACAAAACTTATGGTAAAATTAAATCAAAAGCAAAATTTAAATAAATAATAAAAAATATAAATCGAATGAAAAATACAAAATGTGAATAAATAAAATATTTAATTACTCACTCTGTGATTGAGATCTAAAACGTCGTCTTCTAAAGAAACATCGCTGTACATTTCTTCGCCTGTATCACAGATAGAACCTCTTCCTGAACTATTGAAACTACTACTTCGATAAAGTTGACTGAAAATTAAAATTATACTTTGTTATTAATATAAACTTTTTTTCTATTTTTATTCAAAACAAATATAAAATATTTAATACCTTGCTAGAGCATTGGAACCCAATCTTTTTCTGCTGGTTCTAAAAAAAGAAATAAATTAGAATTGAAAAATATTTCCGCATATTTTTAATTTTTTAAAGAACGTTAAAACAGATTTTCATACCCAGAAGGAGTTCTTCTAAGCGAAGTTCTAAGCCAGGAATGTCTGCCAATAGTTGAGTTGGGACTTCTCGGATTTCTGAATCAGATAAAAATTAAATGAAAATCAATATGTCGTAAAATTATTTTTTTTATATCAAATATCAGAAATCGAATTCTATACGATTTTTTACCAAGAGTATTTTTATTATTAGTTCAATATATTTTTTTAAATAAAAATAATTTAGTTAAAAAATTCTCTTTTCACAAAAAAAAAAAAAAATTACAGAATCATCAAAAATTTAACGTCGACAGTATAATTGAACAATTAGACTGTATATAATACAACGTAACCTCGGCAACCTGAAAAAATCACGTCATCATTTTATTCCGGCTCAAGAATCTGAACAATGACATGAAAAAAAAGACCAAGTCTTTTGTACATATGTGCTTTAAGTGCATTAAATTTTTTTTTCTTTTTTTTTATTTTTGATAAAATACGCCGCGTTCTTTTCGAAACAATTCTAATGCATAATCAACGTATAATTGTAGACTTTTATAAGCAATGGTAGTCTTGAAACTTTGAAATTATAATGAATAAAGTGGTGGTTGAATTTCTTATTCCCCTTTATACTCGTCTTCCTGTTATGTTTATTTCGATTATAACAACCGTGATTCTCACGGATTTAAAAGGAAGCGAAAAAAGTCCTTGCATGATACATACATCAATGAAAATGTGATGCAAGCTATGTGTGCAATGAAAGAAATTAATTCCTCAACATAATTTTCACATTGCGTCAATAGTGTCAAAAAATAGAATGAGACAATAAGTAATTATAATTAAATCATAGTCACAAATTTAAATATAAAAATAGAATAACAAATATTGTATATTTTTTATTTTATACGCAGTAAATTAAAATTATCGTCACGTTTATTATCGTTTGATAAAAAAAAATATACGCCCCTTTATTATTATTTTATGCAACTAATCGAGAGTCATACCCAAGGGGATTAAAATTTGATAAATCGGAAGCATTTTAAAAGTAAAAAGTGATTTGGAAGCCTTTGCTTTCTCTTCTAAGTTGTTCTCAATTTTCTAACGAGGTTAGATAGTCTCAGGGAAAGACTATAATTACTGTATATGAAACTGATAATATAAGAATACTGTAAACATTTGTCCAAGATTCACTTTGTATTTTCAATAATATAAAAAGATATTGATAACCATCGTTCGTGCCGTTCTGTCAATAACCTAAAGAAATAAAATAATAATTTTAAAATCAAATAAATCGATAAAATAAAAAATTAATCGCAACAAATAAAAAAATTGTAGAAATAAAATCAAATGATTTTTAACGATATTAATAATATTGTTTTTTGTAAAAAATATACGTAGAAAATTATGAATTTAAGTTTTTATCTGATAAATAATAAATGTTGGTAAGCTATTGTTAAAAATACAAATATTGCGCAACTATTTTCATATTCACTTACTATTAACATGTTTTTAGTAATCAACATCCTGCATTCAATGTTAAAACATTTTTTTTTTTGTCATTTATTCAGTTCCTTGAACCAAAAAATTTACACAAATAACCGATTAAAAATTTTAATCTTCACAAATTGAGAATTTTTATTAAATCAAATTTAAATTAAATTCTATCTATATTCTTCCATTTTACTAAGATAATACATTTTTATTTTTTGCAAAAGTATCGCTTTTGTTTTTAACTTTTTGCAAAATAAATATTGAAAAAAAAACTGAAAAATTCACAATATTTGTAACGCAAAAAAAAAACAAATTTTATATATGTAAACAATTATGCTTACGAGATTTGCAATTCTTAACTTTTGCACAACAACGCGAAAGGAAATGTGTTTCTTGAAATATGCAAATACAAACGAAAATTGCTTAATGCATATTCCAAGCAATACAACACAGTATTCGTTATCAATTGCTTTGTATCTTATTCGTTTGCAATTGCACACACTATTGTCAACGACATTTATCAAACTGATATTTCTTGTTATCTAAAAATAATTACAATAGACAAAAATATAGAGCAAACCTAAAAGTTCAAAAAGAAAGAATATTATCGAAAAATGAAATAAATAAAATATCGTTTTGAAAATTTAGTTCAATATTAATTCTACAATTTAAAAAATCAGCTAAATAAAAATTTACGAAAATTTCTATCAATTCGAGCTAATTGTAATGGACAAAATTAAGAAAAGGAAAATAAAAATTTTAACTCACCTTAAAGAAGCGGGTCCAGTAGGCGATGGTGCAGAGCTGCTACCACCGGGAGATTCTTCCTCGTCGCAATCACCTTCAACAGAACCAAATGCCTCGTATCGTTCTTCCTCCTCGTGATTTCCAGCGATGACCTTGACTTCACAAGAAGAAGCATTATTTGGATCAGGACTGGCTGAAAATGATCCCGAATCGTGACGATTCAAATCGATTGACATTGAAAATGAAGGTGGACCACTTTCGCTGATACTGTTCCATTGTGATGATCTCTCGTCATTTAAATTTCTCTCCGATTCATTATTATCATTCGTTGAATTATAGATAGGTTGATTTGGTTCTTCTCTTGATGTACTATTAACTGCCAGTTCGTTCTTATTAGATACGTCGACTGTTGAGTTGTTATTACAGGTGACACTTACGCCTGGTGAACGGGAGCTCACCATCCTTCTCTTTCCACCAATTCAATCAGTGTCGACTTTATCGACAATCTTCAATTTAAAAAAAAACAATTTAGATTAGTATTATTTTTTCCCATTCGTGTGTATAAAATTTAAATTATACGCGTGTGAGAAATTGCTTAATGCACCAGACTGTATGGAGTCGCGAGTGAAACTGAAAAGCTAATGGAGAACGAGAATCAAACTGGCACACGGCAGAGGTACTACACTGAACTAACTACACGAACAAACCGACAATATGAGTCATACCTGAGAAATGTCAGGAGGCTGACTGTGAGTCTCTCCTATGCTATGAGAATACAAGAGAGAGATCTCTCCAAGAGTGGGTGAGAGAGAAGTGCCGATCATTTACCGTCCCTCTTCTTTACGCAGAGGTGTTGCGTGCCGGGTACAGATTTCAATATGCATACTGGGTGTTGCAAAAATATACCTTGCAAAAAAAAAAAATTAATTTACCAAATTTGTATCAAATTCTTTTATAACACTTGGAAAATTTCATTTTCTTCGTATTTTATTTTTTTTTTTACTATAAATTATAAATTGTTCCCCAATCAATTTTTTTCTTTGTCTTATTAATTTGATTGTACTTACAAAATTTTTAATTGTTAAATTACTTTTTTTTTGTGAAACAATTCTGTGTTAAAATAAAAAAATTATTCTAATTGTTTTTGTGTCACCCGGAGTTTAAAAAAAAATCTTGTGAACGGAACGAATGGCAGTCAAGTTCAGAACTTTAGTACAAGTTAAAGTGAAAGAAGCCATAGGTAAGTAAGGCATAAAGACGATCAATGAAAGAAAAAATGAGCTTTACAAAAAAAAGAAATAGAATTTTTAAAAATTTCTATAGAAAAGTTACACAAGATTTCTATTGATATATAATAAATCATTAAAATCATATTTTATTTGAATCCTTTGATTATTGTATTTCACTTCGACTATTTAAAATCAACCTTCTATTAATGGCCTTCATATATATTCCATGTTTAAAAAAAACTCAGAACATTCACTTAAATAAACAATATTGCGCCAAAGACTCTGATTTATCAAAGAAAATTTATCCGCCTATAAAAGATATTTCAATGATTTAAAATAAATAATTTCGACAAAAATTAATTGAAATACAATTAATTAATAACTTGAATAAATAGAATTAAAAAATATAATATAATAATCAAAAATGAATTATTTTACTTTAAAATAATAATTTCTAAACTAAATAAATGAGATTAATTAGCAAATTCGATTTTTTTTCAGTCAATAAGACTAAAAGTAATAAAAATCGAATTTTTCTCTAAAGTTAAAGAATATACAATAGGAAGTTTCAAATTTACAAGAATTTTTTTTTTTTAATATCGACACAGAGGAGACCGCGTGGCTTCCATACAGAAGCAGTATAAGATATATTAAAAACGAAAGTCTAAACTCTTAATGTGTAATTTATAATATCCCCTTTCAAATAGATGAATCTCAGGAAGTATAAAGTGTTCTTTTTTCACACCAGATATAGACAAAGAGAATACCTTCACACACACTTTGATTTCATTGACTAACGGGAAAAATTCTCATCACTATAAAGCGTCACACCTTTGGATACATAGCTTTCGATATATTATTAAGAAAATAGGTTGAGAACTTTTTTTTTCTTAAATATTTTAACGCATTTTGGTAAAATATTTTCTTAGATCTTGAAAAAAAAACTAAATGTGAGATATCAACTTTTTTTTAAAACTATATAGCAGCTGCACCGAAATTTCATTCTCGTTTATATTTGACAAATATAAGTTCCTGCATCATTTCTCTTGAATGTTTATCTTTCATGCTTTTTTTTCCTGACATTTGAATCAGTTTATTTTTAATTTTAGATGCTCTGATTTTTTTATTTTTAAATCACTATAAATATATTCTTCTTTTTTTCTATAATTCAATGCTTTTTTAATTTACTAGGTATTTTAATTGAGTATTTAACTAATTACCTTAATAATTAATTAATTTAATAATTAATTAACTAACTTGATAATTATCTAACTATTTGATATTTGCTATAATTATTATATTATTTCTTCGAAAATACAATAAATTATATTTCTTCTAATTATTTTCTGAATTTCATCGAGTTTTTCTAAATTTATTAATTTTAAATAATTCCCCGTGAATTGCAGTTATTTTTCATGATTTATCTTAGAAAGTTGAAGAAATCTCAATCCGTACTAACTTGCCATAATTAATCGACTTTCACGATATATTAAATTTTACGATTTACAATTCTCAGTACAAATATTTAACTTTTCAATATAAAAAAAAAATACAAGAAAACAATTTTTCTTTCGTTGTTTTAAAAATTAATAATACTTTGTATAAACTTTAATTTTTTTCAGAATTCAATTTTTTTTAAAAATATTTTAAAAATATTCCCATTGAATTTTTACTGATTGTCTCAAAGTCTTTTTTTTACGTGAGGACTAAATGTTTTTCATAAAAGAATACAACTGTAGTTTAAAACTCTTGATGCAAGAAGCGTGTCCATCGTGATATTGTGTTCTAATTTTTTTTCTTTTTTTAGTGTAATTACACACCAGATCTAGAGGATTTGACAAAAAGAGACAAATAATATCTATGCTGACGCACGTATGTCCTCAAAAAGTATTCAAGTTTTATAAAACAGGTTATTCATTATTTTAACATTTAATTTTTGTTCCCTGACCTACAAACGCGTTTCTTGTTAAATAAATAAAAAGTAAATAAATAATAGTGCATGTAAAGTAAAATATATGTAAATAAATATAAAGTAAAAAAAAAGAGTAAAATATATGAAATAGTTTTGGCATTAAACATTAAATATTCTTACACTCTGGTGCATTAATTTAAACACATGTAAAAGAAATTAATTAGAATATTAACTCACCAGTTAAATATGATTATCAATCCTTGAATGAAATTTCACAATTAAGAGATTTCCAATTTATAGTCGATAAAAACTCGTGTATATATTGGAAAAAAAAACACGAGATTCAGCATTCAGGATCGTGGTTGCATTCGATGCACACTATTGGAATGTATCTGAGGCACCTGTAAAGGAGGAACAGGTACACAAAGGTCTAACGGTCACGGGGGATTAGAAATTTGAATTAGTTTTAGCCATTGCCATGAGTTTTTAGCACGAACAAGATATCTTGAACACTGTTATATAGACACTGTATATAGCGGAACTAAAGTAAATGTCAAGAATGCCAAGAGCTGAGCAGTGAGTGAACTGAAGTCTCTCTATACACCTATAACCAGCGAAAGCAAATGAAAACGGTTGGTCAAGAAACCAGGTACGCATGCTCGTTTAAAAGGTAGAGAAACACTGAGTGCTTTTACAGGACGAGGCGAATTAACAAATTTTATCTGTTCCACAAGAAGATTCCAAAAAGAATGACAATATTTATAATTTCGATGAAAGTTTAAAGAACTTGATACCTGCATCATTAATACAGGTATATAAGAACTATATCAGTTTTGTTTTATACCTATAACGGTGTAAAAAGTGCTTACTATCAATGCATACGTGTGTCAGTTTTATGAATGCATAATGCTGTGCAAGGTAATCGTACCTGCAGGTACGAGAAAGTACCAGTGTTTCTCAACCTTTAAGCTTTATACCTATATATATGTATATTTTTTTTATTGTGATATTACGTTAGTACCTTACCTGTTTTTAAACGTACATAACTCCTTCTGTTTACAATTTAGAAAATTGAATTGTTTACAGCACCGCGCAAGTAAATCGAAAACATAACCTCAAAACATTCATCCTCTCCTTTAATTCTGATCCATATTTATGAAATTTGATTTCACTACATAATGATTGATACAATTAAACAAGAAATTCACTTATTTACTTATAAATATCTTCAATTTTCTATTATTTTAACTTTTTATTCACAATTTCTTTTTCCAAAATAATTTTTTGGTCAAACTTCATTTCAGTTGCCGACACTCTGAACTTGTCTACATACAATAATCGATAGATTAGAGGGCGCTTCAGCCCAAAGTGAAACCCCATTGGTCGGTTCATTTTTATTCCAGTTTAAACTAAAAAATTAAAATCTTCATATATAAACTAAATTTATAAATAATAATTTTTTATAAATTTATTAAAAAATTCATTTTATTTCTAAGTTTTCTTAAAGAATTGATTTTAACAGTAAATATATATTAATTTTTCCAAAAAAATGTCATACATTTTAAAATAGCGCGCGAAATATTGCGCATGTGCAAACATGACCCGCCATATTTGTTTTAGAACCAACTTCACTGTACTCAATGTAAACAAACTGTAACTGTCATTTTCTCAATTTTCTCAAGGTAAAAGTTAATATAAAACTTTTCATTATTGAATTAAAAATCATTTAGAAGTAATGTTTCATAAATATTATATTTTATTTCAACCAGCATAAATGCGTTTCCTATAAAATTTATAGGAATACAAAATATTTCTCTCAGTGTAGATCCACTTTGAATTTACATATATCTCATTTTTTTTTCTTAATTTTACGATTCTGAAATTAAGATTTTAATAAAAGATAAGTATTCACAAAAATGTAGAATCTGTATTAATTTATATACTTTCAGCGATAATTTTGTTGAATTGTTTGTAAAAAAAAACTAACCTCACTTTTTTCAAATTCAACTTACAAAGTAGTATAATTATTAATTTTAAGTAACATTAAGCACTTAAAATTATAGAGCAATTTTTACACAAAAATCCATAAATATGGCACGAGAAATGATAAATAAAACAAAATTTTTGGCTTGTCTTTAGTAATTAAACGATCACAGTAACTTAAAGTAAGAAATTAAAAAAATAATATTTCTTGTTTAAATTTTAAAGCTAATAGGGAAAATTTCTTTAATTTTCAAATAATTCAAGAGCTCGATTCCCTTTCACTATTATTATTTTTTTTATAGACTTCCTTATAAACCAGTTCTTGCATTTGCATCCTGAGAAGCATTCTTCGTTCAGCTGGCAAAGTTTTTATATGAGGTAATAAACTCATTAAAAAGAAATAATTATCATCGCAACGATTACCCTCGAGAGGATCGACATTAAGGCCATTAATTGAATCTGCATCGCCCATAAGAACTTGTTCAGGTGATAAATTTTGCAGCATCATTTCATTATCAGCAATATTCTCCGAGACATTATGAAATTCAAGACTTTGAAATTGTTCCTCAGGTTCTTGTTTCACTTCAACTTGATTAATTGCATCTAAATTTATTTGTGTATCACCATTGACAAGTTCAAGTGTCGAATTATCATCAACTTTACTCGCAGAACTTCCATTATGATCATCATCCATTTCACTTCCATGATGATCATTATCAGAATTTCGTGTACAATTACGTTCCCAAATTGGTGGTCTTGGTACCATTTGTTCTTTAAGAAATTGAAGACTCTTGAAATGAATCCATACAGGACGATTTCGATGATAATTGCTTTTTTGATAAACCAATTCTTTTTTTAATTCGGCACGAAAAGTATCGCGAAGACCTTTCCATTTTGCTTTTAAAACGGGTTCTGGAAAAAATGCCTTTTTTTAAAAAAGAATTCTTGACTAATTTAAATTCAATTGAAATATTGAAAAATTATTTCTTCTCGCTGAGAATAAAATTTTATTGTCAATATAAAAGAGCGGAAAGGATCCTTTGAGTTTGTTTTGACGTTATGTTACTGACACGTGACAAAACGTGCGTTTTTTCCTTGCAAATGGTTTTAAGTGGCAAAATTATAATTTAAAAATATAACACAGATTTATAAATAATTTTTTAATAAAATTAAAAATATATTTAAAAAATTTTAATTACTAATTTCAAAGTATTAAATTAAAACACACGTGTTTAGTTTCGTGTATATTGTATATATATATGCATATATATATAAGAACGTGCCACACGAATCGATAATATTTACTTTTAGCTAAAGACGTACAATTTCCGATCAAATCTTTCCAAATTGACAAACTGTTAACAAACGGATTATTTATATTTAAATATCAAATTTTCACGAGAAGAAATAAATTTTTAATTAATATTAAAAATAAAAATTATAATAAACGCACTGGGAAGTTTGAAGATCGTTGCAATTTCCAGCCAAACTCTATTGGTCACTTCTCGATTGTGATAAGAGATATGTCTCTGGTTCCAAAGAGCCGGTCTTTTGTAAACTTCCGCTATTAAGCGATTCGCGTCCATTTTCACCTCATCTTTCATTATTTTCCTCTTGCTGTTTTATATTTATCTTTCTTTTTTTAATTAAAACAAAAAAAAATGGAAAACGTTAAATTACAATTTAATGAAAAATTCTATGTACGTTTAACTATGCCAAACTGATGGCAGCAAAATATGGGCGAATACTAGCGTCAGTAGAGCGATTAGCGCGCAGGACGCTTTCGAGTAACGATCGATTCGCTGAGCATTTCGCCCTCGCCTTGCTAGCGCTAGCGACATTTTCATATATATACATGTCTACCCTACAATTGTTCTCGAACCACCACCTGCGTCTCTGCACTCTCCTTGCCCCCTCGCATAAGCTACAATCTTAATTTTCTTGCCAGCTTGCATTTTTTCTATATTTTATTCCCTCGAAAATTTATTAACGATTTTTTTTCTCTTATTTTTTTTTTTTATTGCAAATAAATAATAATAAAAATTAAATTCTTACAGAGACAAAAAAAAATGACGGAGACATTTGAAAATTATGAATTAATTGCACAAGGTGCAGAGGCAAGACTTTATAAAGGAACCTATTTAGATAGGCCAGTGTTGATAAAACACAGATTTATCAAGAAATATAGACACGAAATGTTGGATAAAAGTTTAGCTAGCCATCAAATTAAAAGTGAGGCACGTGCATTGTCTCGTGCTACAGCTGCAGGTAATTTCCTAGACGAAAAAAATCACAAATTTTTTTTAACAATAATAATTTGACATAAAATATTCTACTTTAATTTTTGGAAAATTTTTTTCTTCTTTTTTTAGGAGTACTAGCACCTACTATATATCATGTCGATCTAAATCGAAGAAATATTTATATGGAATATTTAAATAATACAATAACTGTGAAAAAATTTATAGACGAAAATATTTCTCAACAGGAAACATTTTGGCAATTAACAAAATTAATTGCCAAAATTTTGGGTAATTTAATTGGAAAATTACACAGTGAAAATATTTTTCATGGCGATTTAACGACATCTAATATTCTATTAAGAGACATTAGCAATGAATCAAAAGACATTAGAAGAGGTATAAAAAACATTTATACTATTATTTATTTACTTTTACTAAAAAAAAAATGTTTCTTTTAGATCAAGTAATATTAATAGACTTTGGTCTAGCACATGTAAATTGTTCAGTGGAAGATTCTGCGGTCGATTTATATGTACTCGAGAGATCATTAAAAAGTGCACATTCAAAACTGCGGGACTTATTTGCTATTATTCTCGAAGGTTATTTTGAAAGTTACATAGAGAAAAAACAAGAAGAAAGAGGAAAACAAGTTCTAAATAAATTAAAAGAAGTGCGATCGCGCGGTAGAAGACGAGTGATGATTGGCTAAATGTATGAAATTAAAATGTAATAAAATTATTATTTAATTATATTTCATATTTAAAGTTCGAATTTGTCACCTGTGAATTCAGAAAAAATGGTAAGTTAATAAATTAGTAATTAAAATAAAGGACGATAAGTATTTCAGTCTGCAGTCTTTATAACTTAGAACATCGTCTATTTTTTTTTTTTTTTTTTTTTTTTGTACATAATTTGTAAAACTCACGTAACAATTTTTTTGGCAAGCTGGTTTATACAACAATGATTAAAAAACATTTGATCCATATATTAAATGCACATTTGTTCGCAGACATCCATCACTTTCCTCCTTTTATTTTTTTTTTCTTAGCTCGTAAAGGAGAATTAAATACCGCTTGCTATTGATTCAGTCATGAGTACAAGTACTGCATTTTTTGTTTTTATTCAAAATGTAGACCAGAATATATTATTATCCATGTTACCTATGTAAATTTTATAATTCAGTTTTATAATATATTTAATTTCAAAAAGATTTCAATTATTAATTTTTTTAATAGAAAATTTCAGTCAATTTTTTTATTATATTGCTTACCAAAAAACCTGCAAATGAAGTCATAAATCCCTCTTTCGTTAACTCCCAGGCACCGCCGAATTCCTCCTCATCAACTTGCTGATAACTACTGAAGTATAAATATGTTATTCCTGTATTTACCAAGACAAATCTATAACAAAGAAAAAAACATTAAACGCACTGAAAATATAATTTAAAAATAGTTAACTAATGTGTAAATTTAATTTAAAACACAGTAAAAAATATGCCTATTATTTGCTACAATTAACAAAAAATATATAAACATTTAAAAAAAAACAAAAGTATTTAACAATTAAAAAACAATTAAACTTACAATAAAAGACCCAAAAATCCCTTAAGAGGTATAAGGCCCCATGCAATACCAACAATTATTCCAATAACTTGACGTGACCAATATATAACGTCAAGGAATTCTTCCTGAAACAAAATTAATATATAAGTAAATAAGTAAAATGAGATAACAAAATTTCTTTACAAAAAATAGGGTTATGTTTACTTTATCTGGCCACTCGGCATTAGCAGAAATTGCACGTAGCCAAACACTTGAATTGCACTTGCTACCATTTCCAACTTTATCAGATTTTAAACGAGACATATTTAACTGTATTTTTAATTAATAAAAACTATTTTTTTCTCTAAAGATTATACATTGACATTATACAATTGAAAATTATGGCTGAGCTGTCACTTTTGGAAAATTCAAAAATCTTCCACCATATGGCGCTACTTTGATTTTTCAGCGGGAAATTTAAAAAAAAAATCATATTTCACTTTTTAATATGACTATTTATTTGTCGGCTGAAATATGATGTAGGCCCGGTTTTATTACAAATTTCAGGCATAATTTTTGTTCAAATTTGCAAAATAAGAAATAAAAAACCACTTTTTTCGAAAATATTTTATTTGAACTGTGAATTATATTCTTTATTTTCAAATTGAATTATTTTAATATTCAAATAATTCAATTATAATAGAAGTGATTTTTTTTCTTATTTTGCATAAAAAATCTTAATATAATTCCATTTAATTTCTTTCTTCCTTTACAAGAAAAGAGAGAGAGATGAAAAGTCAATTATAATCGACACCGGATTTCACATTGTCTATACAATTTTAAATACACTTTATTTTCTTACAACTATTTTGGTAAACTCATATTAAAAAGAATAATTTTTTTTTTCCTTCTTGGCTTTCCAATGGAAAAATTAAATAACTGTCTTTTTTTTCTTTATAAAATTAAAAAGTCTAATTTTAGAAAAAGTAAAAACAGTTGTAAAGACTTCTTTTTTTAATTAAAAAGTGATTCATTTTTCCTAAGGCGAATAAATATTCTTTTTTTTGCAAAATGATAAACTTTTTCCAGAATATTAAAGTTTTTATTTTGAAAATAATATAGAAATTCTAAAAGGGCAGTTTTTTTTATCATACTTAGTAAATTTTTTAGAACAAGATGAAGAAGTTTTTTTTATTCAGTTTATATACTGAAATTTTGGCTTAATTTTTGAGATTATTTTAGTTGAATTTCTAAATTTATACTTTATACTCTAAAATTTATCATTTTTGTCTATTATTCTCCTTATGTCATACTTAAATTATTGAATATACATATAAAAGTCCTTTAAAATTACAATATTGTTATACATATGTGTATTGCATCTAATGCTGTGCAATAAATCATCGACGTAAAATCTCAATATTGACAAATTTTTTTTTTCTTTGCTAACAAATTTTATGGAAAAAAATTTTTTTTTCGTTGACGCCAAAAAAATTAAAAATTTGACATTATTTCTAAAATTTTAAATCAAATTATAACACATCATGAGAATGGACAAAAAAATTGTAATTGCCTTTATATTATATTTCGATACATTTAAAAAAAATTCTAATACTTTCATTTCGAAATGTTCTATAAATCGATTCTCTAGATTCAGTTAATAGAAATTTACATATGTAAGATAAAAATTGATGAGTTCTTAAACAAATTTCGCAAAATCTTGAAATAATACTGAAAAAAAAACTGATTCAATGTTACACCGAAATTTTCAAATATAAGAATTTTGGAAAAAATTAATCGCAGTTTCGTATCGAAATATAATAAATTGATTGAATAAAAAAAATTTGTTTCACAATTGTTTAAATACTCTTATAAAATACCTAAAATATCGAGGAAGAATATTCATTTACATACGGAAGAAACATGTAAAGTCAGATCGATCCAAATACTTTCATCGTATAATATAGTTTTCAACAAATTGATTTAAATGTGTATAACAAAAAATAAAATTGCAATAAATTTCTACAAGTAAATAAAACTGTTAAAACAAACAAACAAAAATTCCCTTTTAAAAAATAAAAAATTGAATGAAATTTATGAAATTCCATATATTGCACATTTCAATAATTGTGTATATAATAAAAACGGAGATTAAATACTTTTGAAATGTGTTTTTTTTAGAGAAAAGTTTTTTTTTTTTGTAAAATACTTGATTATCTATCGATTACGAAATATAAATCATCGATATGAGATTTTATTTTTTTTTTAGTATAAATTTTATAGATTATAATTTAATTAACCAATCTGACTTTTTCAGATGAATATAATAAAAATTTTCTCGCAAAATATTGAAACTAGTTTACATAAAATATTTACATTCGCACACACGCCTATTTCATTCGCTATTATAAAACCAACAAATCACAATATAATGTACATATATCATCCCAGAAATATATCCCATAAAATTTACATTAAATTACTAATTAAAATATATAAACTATGACTCGGACAACTATATAGTTTTGTCTTAATTTTTAAATACAACCTGCTTTTACAATACATTATATTCTTCAATTCGTTTTTTAGCAGGATTAATTTCATTGAAGGAATTATTTAAATATTTTTTTTTTCTTTCCTTATATAGCGAAATTGAGTTTCACGATTGCAATGATTTAATATTAATATATTATCATAATATTTTGGAATATGAGATTTTTATGTATCATCAGAATGACACATTTTTTTTGTAAAATTCTGCTTCTTAAATGTTAGGCTTGGAAGTTACACTGAAAATAAAGTTTTCGTAAAATTTTTCCCATTTTTAAATAAAACTATTAAGTTATTTAATAAAAAAAACAACTTAATAAAATTGAGATCTAAATTTAATTACAATAATTTAAATTATGACCTAAAAATTATTAAACTAAAATCTTAATAAATCGATAAGGGTTAAGAAATTACATTTTTGAAATAAAAATTAAAAGAAAAATTATCTTTAACTTTTGAAAAACAGAGGCATTAAGATTCTAAAATTTTTCTCTATGCAAATAATTTTTGCACTATTTTTTGTATTAAAAATTTACTACAAACTTTTTTTCAGTATTTTTTGTATTAAAAATTTACTATAAACTTTTTTTCAGTGTAATCAGGAATATCGCGATTAAAATGTAATCATTTAAAAATAACACCTTGCTGCCTTGCATAGGAAGACTCTTCCAATTGGAGAAAACTTAATTAAAAAAATAAAATAAAAAAAAACTGACACGGTAACTGGCTTTAATAGGCACTTACGCTCAAATTAAAAAAAAAACAAACACGAAGTTATCAAAATCTCCTTAAAAAGAAAATTGCTCATAAAATAAAAACACGTATTAAAATCAGAAACAGTCTTGCGGATAAAATTCACATGCATTTTTCGTCATATCTATTATTTTCCCCCTCAATATTCTGTTTCTTTAAATAATTTTTCAACAAAAAAAGTAGTTATATCCCGTGACAATTTCAGTAAATAATTTTTTTTTTAAATTATATGACTTTTTGTTTCACGTTCAGTATTTACAAAGACGTTCCCTTTTTTTTCCTCTCAGAGATTAAGTACGAAATTTGTGTTCAAGGGAATATATATATCACTGCAGTCCATATATATATTTATATATAGGTAATATATAAAAAGAGAATAATCGTACCCTGTACCTAATATTGAACTGAGTCGCTATTCTTTTTCTAAGTATTATAATATGGCATCGTTGCAATATTGGAATGTAGTTGTTTCTACTATTCGTAAAAATTTAAACAAACAAAAAAAAAAATTAAATAAAAGGGAAATTGTTTCCTGACATAATAAAAATTACAGGATTGGCACAATCGTTTTAAAATTTTTTCAAACGAAAATCAGAAACGAGACTCAAACATCAACAACATCATTATCATAATTGAAATTTGAATCGCGCAAAAATGAAGTGCGCCGTAATTTAACGGCAATTTGCGGCAATTCAGCCGTTTTCGGAGCTTCCATTGCCTGAAAAAAGACATTAAATTATTTTTCATTCCCTAAAAATTTATTACAATAATTTTTTTACAGAGAACAATTTTTTGTGAACACTTAATATAAATATGAATTTTTAAAATATAAAAATAGATCATTTTCTTCTCTAATGACTTATTTACAAAAATTTGCCTTATTTTGTAATTTTAATTAAATAAATGAAGTCTGAAATTTGTGCATTTGAAGCATTACATATTTAACTTTAATCAATACTTTTGTTAAGAATTATTTTCAAACTTTAATTAAGCTGTTATTAAAACTACTCAATTAGCGACAAAATAAGGAAATAAAAACTGGGATTATTAAATAAAAATCTGCATACAATTAAAAAAAAATGTACTGAAATAATAAAAATTTTAATAGATAAAATTAATTTGAATGCAACACAAGGTTTAATTTATATTAAATTACAAAAAAGGATGCAAAATTTAAATTATTTTTGAATACGACAAAAAAATTTTAATTAGCGCATAATTAAAATAAAGAAAATTAAAACATGAATACCTTATTTGATGCTGGTTTGACAGAACGACGAAGCACCGACCTCCATGCTGCGGGTGCGGTAAGTTCTAAAAATATTTACAGCCAAAATGGTAAAAAATAAAGCAAAACATGCAGGATTAAATTTTAATTTAGCGATAAAAAAAAACTAAAATAAGGGTAAAAATTATATAGCCTTTTTTAAAATTAAAAACTAGGATTAAATTTTAATAAATAAAGGGAAAAATTATATAAGCCTATTTTTTTAATTAAAACTATTCTAATTATTATCGTGCCAAAAAAAAATTGTTTTTTTTCCATCTCTCACCGTTTTCCTTTTTATCCATTTTTGTTTTGGTCAAACTAGCCGCTAATTCTCTCACCGATCTTTTCTCGACACTTGAATTACTCAAAGAACTAGTCGTACTACTTCCTGATAACGTTGGTGGCAAAGAAGCTGGTCCACTCACTCCACTATCAGTTGATTCATCTAAAGCATCACCTGAATCCGGTGTATTACCAGCCGATGTATTTGGACTCGAACCATCGCTAAGCAAATTGAATTCACCTGAAAAAAATGTAGAAGTTTAATTTAAAAAATTTTTTAAAGATATTTTACAATTTTGTTATATTTAAATAGTGATAAATTTTATAAAAATAAATTTTCGCACCTGATTTTCGATCAGCGGCCATACTCCAAGGTCGTGGTTTTGGTGCCGTGATAGGCGGTGTTGTTTTCCCCACCATTAAATTACCATTATTACCTTTGGCAATTGATTTTAAAACTGGCGATTTAGATGTTGTATCATTGTAATTATAATTCTTTGAAGTTGCTCCATTAGTTGGACTTTTAAGATCAAAACCAGTTGAACGTAATTTAACGGAAGAAACTTGACCACTTTTTTCAGTGTCTGCACGCTTCATAAGTGCACGTCTTGTTTCTGCATCTTTATCCGATGTACTAAAACTGGCACTCGTTTGTAAAAGTCGTGCATTATTTTCATCACTACTCGTCTCCTTTAAAGCGGGTCGCGATGTTAAACTTGAACCAACAATTGGCAATGTATTTCTTTGCAATGAATCTGACATACTCTCATTATTAATTCCCGATTCTGCACTCGTCTCATAAAGTGTTTTCTCATGTGTATTTTCATTAATCATTCGACGTGCAAGAGGCGATGATGTCAATGGTGAATCACCCTGTGATCTTCTGCCAATGAGTGGTGAGAATTTTTCCAAATTATCACTCGATCTTGAACGTGGTGCAGGTTCGAGAAGTGTTTTTAACATTGGTGAACTGCAACCGTGTTTTTTCTCCACATCAGGTGGAATACTCTTTTGGCTGTTTGTTGATAAATTTGGACTGCCTTCAGTTGGGAAAGTATGCAGGGAACTGACAAAAAAAAAATTGTTTTTTAATTAATTCTGAAAATATTGGAGAATTTAAAAAATTACCTGTCGTCACTTGTAGGTGATACAAGAGGTGTAGTGGGTGTTGTAGGTCTGAAGAAAACATCAAGACCTTCGCCCAGAGTAAGTCCATTTGGTTGTTGATCCGGTCTTAACATTGGTCTAGATGGTGCTCTCGTTTTTGCTCTCTTTGGCCTCGATTTTACAAGATGCTGCAATTGTTGACCAACAGTATTTGGCAACTCAGAAACTGAATCTAAAGACTCTGTTAAAGAATGTTCGTTTTCCGATATTCCTTCAGTTTGACCCTTTGGAAGTGAAGGAAGTAAGTCAGGAATATCATCAGCTGAAAGACCTTCCACAGAATCGACAACTGATTTAGGCCTTAATTTTCTTCCATGCAAACTTTTGCGTTTATTCGACAAATGAGGAGTGGCCTGAAGAAAATATTTAAATAAATAAATATTTTATTAAAAAAAAAAATGTCTAAATACAATTATAATACTAATTTCGATAAAAGGACTTTTGCATACTTACAAGATTCAAATAATCCAATTTCTTTAGAAAGCGTGAAAAAAGGATGAGAATAATTTCCATTTTATGAAAATTAAATTACTATTTATGAAAAATTTATCTCTTACCATGGGTGAAGGATCGGTGACGCATGGACCCAAAGTGCTCGTTAAAGAATAATTCTCGGGCGTGCTTTCTTCTTCTGAAACAAGACTTGATCTACCAATACTCAATGATTGAGTTCCGACTGCGACACCAATTACACTTCCACTGCTCATCGATCCGGCACTTGGTCGCAAAACATCTGGAGTGCTACTTCTTGTTCTACATTCCGAATCTCCAATCTAGATTTTAATTTTTAATTTCAAATTTATTTATTGTTTTCTCTATTTTCTCTAAATAAACAAAATTAAAATATAAATATCCAAGAAATTTTTAAATTAACACATTTTTTAAAGCAAGTCCAAAATTTTACTCACCAAATTTTTATAACTTCTTGACAGTGATTCAATGACTTCGTCAGTGACACGATCGGAAACGTGGGCAGCCACTGCCAAATTAAGTTCACTGAAAGAATTTTTTGAAAATTAAATGTTTTATTTAGATATGAAATGAAAAAAATCATTTTATAATAAAAATTAAAATGATACATACTTTACTTTATTAAGAATATCAGCGCCAGCTTGTTCACTAATTGTTCTTTGAATAAATTCATGATTAACTTGATTTCTTTCTTTGCATGAAGCGCGAAGATCACATTCGACAGTTATTGGATCACTTTCTTCGTCTTTTATCACAGTTTGCGAAAGAATAGTTGGACACTGTTCGTTAGCACACTTGAGCATTGAATCCAATGAATCCTAAATTATAAAATCGATTTTAAAAACCTCTCAATTATAAAAAATTAAAATTTATTAAATTAATAATAATTGATAAAAATTAAATTCACAAACCTTCAAATAAACAGAAACAACTTTGTGAATCTCATCAGCCATTTGTATGAGTTTTATTTCAATAGGATTATTCTCGTCTTTTCTTTGCAGCATTTCATGCAACCTTGGAAGAAGCTGAGGGTGAAAAAAAAAGATGAAATTAGAATTTAGTTAAAATATTTCTCAATTATAAAATAAATACCTGTTTAGAATTATCAGCATCTTGTATGAGTCCCGTCGCGTAATTAATATCATTATTAGCATCACAACTCTCTGCGGCTAAAGCTTTGATTGTATCTTGTGTTTGTACCACAAGTCGATCAACCATTTGTTGTGTAGAACTCAATAAAAATCCCTGTTGAAGCCTAAAAGCCTGGCCATGACTATATTTACACGGTGTGACATTTCTTTGAAGAAGATCTTGAATTTTTCTCACCAGCTGTTCTGTTTTTTCAGCTGACGCCTTCATACATGGCTGTAGATCGAAAATTGGAAAGGGCATGTGTCTCACACTATAATTACTGTAAATAAACATTGTCTTAGTATATTATTACAATAATTAGGGAAAAATATAATTTGAAATATCTACTTTTCTAAAGCGTGAACAATATCTGAATATCCTTGAAGACCAATGTTATTTCTGTCGTAAATGATCACTTTAAGATGATTATTTATTTGCAAAGCCTTGGCCAAAAGTCTTGCACCAGGATCACCAATTTGATTGCCGCTAATGTCTAATGTATGAAGACATGTATTACTACCGAGAGCATTAATCAAATTGTAGAGATCTCCTTTTAGTCTTGAATCAGGCAAATGTAGAGCTTGCAATACACAATCATCTTCCTGTATCATTTGAACCAATGCATCTGTAATGACTGCAATATGTTTACTTTTCATTCCAGCTGTATTACGTCCCATATACAAATGTTTTATGGATTTATTCTTTCCAACTGCTGTTATCACTTGAGCCAAATCAACATCCATATCTACAAAGATTTTTTTTCAAACAGTTAATTATAAATTAATATTACTTTTTATTATTTTATACACTTACTGCTGTCTGAAATGTCAAGAGACGATATGCATCGTACACCATGAATACATGATTCAAGAACGTGTGCACCCATTGATCCCAAATTATTTCCACTCATATCTAGCTCTAATCCAACGGTACTTTCATTACAGGCCAATCCAAGTAAAAGATGTTTTAGAGCTTCCAGTGGTAATTTACAGCAAGAGATGTTTAAGTACTTGAGTGATAAAGTGGCCGTAAAAAACTGTTTAAAGCTAGGAGGAATTTCTTTGGTTTTTTTGCTTGAAAATGAGTTGCGAGCAACATTCAAGTGGACTAGATTAGTTGCGCATCCTCGCAACAGAGCGCCAAACAACTGAAATTTATTTTAATTAAGTTACAATTTTTTTTTAAATTTATTTCTAAAAAAAAAAGTTTTAATTCAAATACTTACGCATTCAAGTGTAGTATCAGTACCACTTAGATCTAAATGTGTTATACTATTAGGCTGCGCCAAAAAGTTACATAAATTCTGCAACAATATTTTTTAAATATAATTAGTAAAAATAAAAATATTTGTTTTTTAAAAAGGTATTCAAAATTACTCACATTAATGTCATCCTTTAAAGTATTACCAGAAAAATTTAAATGTTGAAGACTAGTTGGCATGCTTCTATTTAAACTGAGAGCGTGAGCAATTTGTCCCACACCTTTTCCAGTTAATCCACAGTGTGATAAATTTAATTTCTGCAGGCCTTTTGGCAGTTTAGTTATTGGTCCATTTAAATGTGAAGCTCCTTTAAAATAGATATAATTTTATTAATTACAAAATAATTAAACATGAAATATGTCATGCAGCATGATAACGATGAAAAAGCTTAGTGAATTGAAATCAATCTTTTCATTTCTTTAACAAAAAAAAAAAATTAATTTTATATAAAATCAGAATAGAAAAAATCGATTTACAATAAATAGTGAGAAAACATAAGAGAATAGTGTTTTTTTTTTCTATATCTAAAGAAAGAAATAGAAGAGTATGGTATATGCTGAAAAAATCAATTAGCGATTTATATACTTTTGCACACCTTGCATTAACTTGGCTATTATCCCACACAAGCTAGAGGCCCCTACAAAATTAAAAAATTCGTGTACTGTGAGGTTTGTGTATTTGTTCGTGGATACACAACAAACTATACAGTGAATTTAAACGTGACAATATCACACAACAAAATATTTAAACACAACAATATTTCAAAAACAGAATTTTTATTATTAAAAAACTTACCCTTATCTTCAATCATATTATTAGATAAATCTATAGTATGCAACATGGAGTTAGCATTTGAGATTAAAGCTAATGACAATTTATGTGCAAAATCCCTAAAAATAATATAAATTACAATTAATTAAATTGATAAAAATTAAATACAAGATTAATGCGAGTTTTTTATTTTATTTTTACCATTTTACTCCCAAATTGTCCAAGTAGATTTCCTGAATAGAAAGAGATCTACGTAATACGTGTAGCAATCTTTCCAAGGGCTCATGACTTAGTTTTAAATGTGAAACACGCAATTTAGTGAACCATGTGTTATATTCTAATGCCGAGATAATAGGCACTAAATCTTTTTGATCAAGATGATCGAAATCTCGTAAATTTAGTTCTCTGGTATCGTGAGATAAATATATCGTATCAACATCCTAAAATAAATTAAAAATAGTGTTTAATTAAAGAAATACAAATATAGAAATTAAAAAATTTAAACTAAAATTAAATTCTTATTTACCCAAGCTACTTCTTCTCTATATGGAACTGCATGTAAATCGCACATGCAAGCATATTGAGTTGAAAATCCTCCACAAGGACCAGTGTGCCTCGTTGCTTCTGTACTTCGAGCCAAATCACTACCTCTTATGCTCTGTAATCTGCTAACTGGTATCACGTCGATTTTTCTTATAACGTAACTGCAATTAAAAAACAAAATAAACACAATTTTACAAAAATAAACAAAAGTAAAACTCTAATTATTGTAAATTATTATAGTACAATTGTAAAATTTTTTAAAAATTTACAATGGAAAAATAAATTTTAATTGAAAAATATTTTTTTATCAATTTTTGTATCGTTACTGACTTTAGAGGAACTGTAGGGAAAATATTTCGGATGGCAGTATGTAGAGCTTCGATCATTGCATCGACTTCGGTAGTGTCTGCACCAGCTCCTATTGTTGTGAAATTGTAGATTCTTTCTCCTACTGTGAGACATAATAAATTCGATCTTTTCGATTCTACTGCTGTTATTTCCAAATAATGAAAATGAAAATCGATCTGTAAAATAGAAAAAAAAATGTTATCAAAAATGAACAATTAAAATTCTATTTAAAAAATAGCAAAAAAAATATTCACCCTTGTTGGCACCTTTGCTGCTAAAAGGAATAAACGACATGGTGAAAATACCTGCAAAAAAAAAGTAAATAATAAGTAAATAAAAATAACAACAACAAAAAATGAGGATATCTTGACAGAAAAAAAATACTCTGATTAAACTTTTTATTACTGCACTTGAAATAAAGTTTTCAAACTCGTGGACCATATACATTATAATTGATAATTTACACAAATGGGAGTGGCCTTGAGACAAATTTATTCATTAGTTGAAAATAAATTGTATTCATTAACTAAATTAGTTACTTAAACTGAAAATAATTACCATAAACAATAAATAACTAAATATTGTCTAAAAATATATCAATATAAATTGCTTAATTTTAATTCAACTAAAATTAATTTAACAGAATTTGTTTATTATTACCAAAATAAAAGCAATTTGTAAATTTATGAATGAAAACAATAATAATTGTAAAATTAAAATACAACGTATAAAAAATTCGATAATAAAATATTAATAATCTAATCAAAAATAACAAATATAATGTAAACAATTTTACAAAACATGCTTTTTAAAATTCTTAATATTAAAAAATAGTAAAAAATAACATACCAATACACGGTTTTCAAGTTTATCGGGTTTTGTTTCCAATTTAACGACAGTCTTCAGCAGGATCTTGACATGTTTTCCGAGCAATGATTTCACCGATTCTAAGAAAATGAGATACTTAATCACAGGGTCAAAGTAAAATTATTAAAATTCATGTACTTTACTATTAGTTAATGAAAGAAAAATAGGAAAAAATATATTTCTATAATATAGATTTTCTGAATTGTATCTAAAGAATAAATTTAAAAGTATCAGAAATATTTTCTTTTTTTTTTTGGTATTATTAATTTCTTTGAATGGCTGAACTTTGCCACTGCGAATTTGACAGATCGAACACAGAAACGTAAACATCCCGGATTGTACTTACCGTTTAAATCCTTCGTAAGCTGTGATCTGGTAGACATTTTTCACTTATTTTTAATTTCAAACACACTTGAAATTGTTCAAGACATTATAGGTACATCAACTGAAACAGATTATTTGCCGGAATTGTTGACATAAATTCGAAAGAAATGTGAACGGGGCGATGTCAGCACAAGAAAGCCGCCATCTTGCTAAAAATTACAATCAGTACTGCCAATGGGAAAAATTTTTATTTTTATGGTAACACTGGAATTTAAAAACATTACTTTTGTGTGAATTTTCTTTGGATCTATTTTTCAATTATTATTATAGTTATAATTTTTGTTTTTTCAAAATTGTAACTAATATAATTTTCTTTTATTATAATATGCTTTTGTTAAATGAAATCTAATTATTATTTAAAATAATTAATATAATTTTTGAAGAGACATAAATTCAAATTTTTCGCGGGAAACTAAATTTAGCAACAAAAAAAGTTTCTTGCGCGGAAGTTCTATAAACATTTCTTAGTATATGGTTTAAGAATTGGCCTGATTTTATCATTTTTTATCGAAGCTACAAACAACAAGAACAAGTATTGTGTTCATCATGGCTTCAACTGGTAATTGTTTAAAAGTCATTTATTAAAGTTTATTTTCTTTTTGTAGCACAGTGTACATTGTTTAATTCAAACAATTTCAAATATATAGTTATAATTTCAATGCACAGTGAGAACGATTAATAACTTTTTATTGACAGCTAGTGTTAAAAAAGTCCATTTTTGCAAAATACATCAATACTCTTTATTGTAGTTTCGATTTTATAAAAATAACATGTGATAATTATGATTGCTTTTATTTTTAGAGTCATTGACAGGTGATACTCTAGATTTAAGTGGTCAGAGTTTAAAAAAACTTGCTCGATGTCCATCGGATGCTGATATACACATTTTAATCGTTGATGACAATGAGCTTCAACGTCTTGATAATCTCGATTCTTATCAAAGAATCACCAAGGTATTTTCTTAGTTTTAATCGAAACGTGTCTTTTTTTTAACAATCATTGATTGTCAAGTGATTTTTTAATTCTTGGCCACTTGTCAACAAACGTGTGTCTCATTCATTATTTATGTGAGAGAATTGTATACATATATACAAATATGTCAAAAAAAAGGATCAATTTTATTGTTTAGTTTTAATATTATAAACAATTATTTATAAGTGTATTTTTAAAATGCAGACAATAATAATTGTTATTAATATTGATTGCACCTATAGGCCCGTTGATTTTTTTTTTTTTTGCAAAAGAGAGGTTTTATAATTTAACTGTTTAGTTTTACTGAATAGTTAAGAAAAATTACAAAATTTTCTTTATTGCATTTTTCTATTTATATTTTGTAATTTTTTTTTTTAATTTTCAGCTCTCTATAGTAAGAAATCAATTACTTCGAATGTATGGAGTTTCAAAAGTACACAATTTAGTTACATTGAATCTCGCAAACAATGGAATATTACAAATCGAAGGTATCAAGGACCTGGTGAATTTACAAACACTTTGTCTTGCCGGTAACAATATCAAGGTGAATAAAAATTTCCATGTCCTTAATTATTAAGTAAATTTTATTTAAATAAATAATTAAAAATTAATTGTTTAGAAAAAACATACTTATCTTTTTTTTTTGTTTAATTTCTGATATATTTGTTTATAGTCCATTGAGCATTTACAAACAAACACAAAACTGGAGCATTTGGATTTGTCGGAAAACAGCATTAGTCACGTTTCGGATATATCGTTTCTAAAAAATTTAAAAGTAAGAAAAATTTACTTTAAATATTTTTTTGTTTTACTTAAATGTGTATTTTTTAAATAATTCACTATTATTTTAGGAGCTGTTTTTGCACAATAATCGTCTAATAACTTTGCGCCAATGCGAGAGATATTTGCCGTCTTCATTAGAAACTCTTACTTTAGCCAATAACAATATAACCGATTTAAATGAAATGTCACATTTAGTGAATCTTACTTATCTTGTTAATTTCTCAATTGCAAACAATCCATGTGTCAGCATGACAGGTAACGATATGTATCCTTTTTACATTTAAAATACAAATTTTAGTATAAATTAGTTTCATAAATTAAATTTTATTAATTAAAAAAAACTAATTAATGAAAAATTAGTCTTATTTTAGTTATTATAATCTCTCTATGTAGTAGAAATTTAATCCCTAATTCAGGGATATAGATATAGTTACTTCTCTTTTTTTTTTTCTTAACAAGTAGATTATAGTGGATTTGATTATCGTCCTTTTATAATCAACTGGTGTATGAATTTAAAATCGATCGATGGCTATGCAGTTGATCCAATCGAGAGGTGAGTGTTTAATTTGATTATTATTCCACTTTCTTTTACCTTTGCTTATGAAAAAAAAAAAAAAAAAATTGTACACAGTCTAAAAGCAGAGTGGCTCTATTCGCAAGGAAGAGGTCGACAATTTCGTATTGGAGAACATTCATTATTGGCGCAATATCTTGCGTCAGTTTGTCCATTATCGGGTGAGTCGCTCGAAAATGAAACTGATCGAAAGCTTAGGCTTATTTTGAGTAAAGCACAACATCATCAAATGCAATTGAGCCAACAGAGCGATTCAGGAAGTGTGCATAGTCTTAGCAGCGTTGGAATGAGTCCTTCACCAGCAACTAGGCGTAGACTTAGTAATAATCGAACCAACTCTCCCAGACGACCGAGTGAGTCTCCTTTCAAATTAGAATTTCCATTCTTCTTTTTTTTTTTTTTCATCAAAACAAAACAGAATTCAAATTTATTCCACATGAAATTGCAATTCACTTTTAAATTTTTTCAAAATATTGAAATTTGAATTAATTAAGAGAATTGTAATTTGGAATTGAAATGAAATTTTACACGACACGTTTCCTGTTAAAATTTGTTTTTCCCAGTCACGCCGACGTTAGAGTTCTATGAAGATAAAAATTATCAAACACGAAAATTATACAACGCAAGGTTCTTCCATTCACCTTGCAAAGGTACACGCTATCAAAATGCAGAGGCTTTTACCGTAGTTTTTTTTTTTTTCTCAAAAGCGACCGCCTCATATCGGCTTCTAGTGCAGTTCAATTTCTATGCTATATTATCAATTAAAATCTAGAAGCGAGCAATTAAAAGAAAATTACAAACAGTCGTTGCGACATGAGAACACATTTTGTAACACAAATTTTACATATTTTTTAAATAAAAGAGAAAAAAAAAAAAAATTTTGTAATAAAAAATGTATTCTCATATTAGTTGCACGCTTCAGCTAGTATATTTCTAGCGCAAATATTGTTTAAATGCACTTTATTATAATATGAAGAATTTAAGGAATTAAAAAAAATTACATTAGTGGTGAAATAGATTTTTTGAAAGTAGGCTCGTCACGCAGTTCAATGAGAATGCAATCACCGGAGCGCATGGTTACAAGTTGTCACACTGAAGCAATGGTTTCATCCTGTCACACTCTCTTAAGTAACGATCATCAAGATCAGTTAATGACGCAAAGTCTGGATCCAAATATGCTGTCGAATACTCTCAATAAATCATTAAATAGCGCACCTCTACAAGACGTTGAAGGTATTTTTCTAATTTTACATTTTTTTTACTATTTAGTAAAAAAAAAATTAATATTCTTATTTTTTCCCCTCTTAGAAAAATCGAGTCCCCTGCAGGCAGCAACAAAACTCGTACCAGTACCTGAATCTTTAATGAGCCCTGATTTTCGACCACCGTCAGGACTTTCACGAATTTTGCCAATAAAAACACCGCCTAGTAAATTAAGTTCACCAGTACAATTTCTAGGAACAACAACAACAACAGCGCAATCAACTAAAATAATACCTTCCGAGGTAACAGTGAAATCAATGCCAATTTTTAATACAGCTACACCGATAAAGACAAATATAAATAATACAGTGAAAACAACAACAACAGTTAAATGTAATTTATCAACGAATTGCAGTCCTGGTAAGGGAAATATTGCAAAACCTGTTGTTACAAGTACAAATGGAAAATATCATCCACAAAATGTTAAAATTAATAATTATGTGCAAAGTAAAACATTGCCAATGATGAAAAAAAATGTGAGAAATTCACCAAATTTAGGTAGAAGTAAAGATATGAAAAAAACAGATGGAATTAAACCAAGTCCATTAAAGAAATTTGGTAATGAAGATGCGACAAATGTAATTAGTAGCGATGAAGAGAGTGAAGTTTGTCAGGCAAAATTGAATAGTATTCGTCATAGAGCAGTTCAAAGGCAACATGAAGACACTAATAAAGGTATTAAATTAATTAATTGTAATTTCAAAAAACAATTTATTTAACAAATTTTTTAAATTGAAATTTACTTAGTTCAAAACGATCCAACTGAAAAGGCAGCGATTTGCATTCAAAGAATGTGGAGAGGCTATCACACGAGGAACGCTGACAAAAAAACCACTGATGTATTAAAAGCAATTGAAATGATGAGAACAAACAAATATATTCAGTAAGTTAAAATAATTTTCCATTTTTCTAAATTAAGAATGACTTTTAAAAAAAAAAATGTTTTTCATTCTAAAAGGAAATTGTCGTCTGATATGGAAGCAACGCGAAATGTTCTCGAGAATGAGCACAAGTTGCAATTGCTACAAATGCAGGCAATTAATGCCTTATGGAAAAAAGTTGTTGCACTTCAACCTGCAAATGGACGAGAAAGTGGAACTGCCACAACTACTAATGGAGAAGGAATTTCAAATCCAAACATGGATGTTGTAAATAACTTGGCACAAACTTGTCATATGTTACACAATCAGGTATTTTTTTTTTCTCAATTTTCATTAAACAAAATTTCTCAAGAATTTAATATTAAAAATTATTTTTTAAATTCCTCAGGTACAACAATTGCAGGATTCAGTAACGGAAATAAAACGTTGCATGTCAACAATACAATCAAAACCACAAATGGTTGACAATGGAGTTAGTACACAAACGGAAATATCCGCTGTTCATACACCGGCTGGTGAAGAAAATGTTTTTCCCTATCATCGACCACATCGACCTCAATCATTGGCGATTCATCAAACAATTCAAGAATGCAACGAAAATAAAAGTTTTGCTTCAAATTTAGTTGATAGTGTATTAAAGAAAGTATCACATTCCGCCGATATGACAGATGACGAAGTGAATACCGATATATTCAATTCAAATGACAATCCCGATGGTATGAATTCATTGGAAAATCCTGAAATGAGTTGCGATGAAATTTTAGAATCTCTACCGAAAAATGACGATGGATTGGGTGAAGAATTTAAAAATATTATTGAGAATACAAAAAATAGTGACGTTAATTTGACAAATGATTGTCAAGATATTAATGATACTGATATAGAGGATGTTATTTGTAAGGAATTATTGCAAAGTATGCGTGAAGTTGATATAGGGAAAAAATTTAATAATGAAAGAAAAAGAGTGGAAAATTTATCCGTGGAAGCAGAAAATTTAGAGAATTAAGTTAGAGGGTTAAAAAAAAACTAAGTAGCTAATTGTTACTCATGCCTTGTAATAGAATTTAAGATAAGACACGAGTTTCCTAATTATTAATATTTATAACGAAATTCGAGTCTTGAAATAGTCCAAAAAAATGTATCTTTCACTTTTTTTTCTAATATTTAATTTATTTATTCATTTTTCTATTATTTATTGATGACTAAAATTTCAATTTAAAAATTAGTTTATTTTTTCTCTGTAAAAGATTGAATTTTTTGGACTATTCAATATTTATAAAATCACAAAAAAAAAACCTCGCTGAAGAAAATGACAAAGATCACACCAAATTAATATATATTAAACCAAAAGCTCGCTGTAAATATAAAGAAAGAGCCGTTAAAGCTTTGTTGAAATTATCTTTAAAAAGATTTTTCATTTTTACAAAGAAAAATAAGAATTTCATTGAAAGCTATTTTAGGGCATACTTTAATATTGTTCCTCATTTTTTTTTATTAAAAAGCACCATTGTTAATTGGCACTTAATTAGTTTGATTAAATTAGATTCGCTCTAGGTTTTGAATTTAAGGGCACTTTCAATTATTTGTGAAACATTTAATTAATATTAGGCGAATTTTCGAAACTTTTTATTAACTCGACATGTAAGATTAATCATTCACGCTCTAGAAATTTGGTTCTTTAATGGTAGATTTAACTTCGCCTCTAGGATTATAAATTCTAGTCAATATTCGTAAATACTCAAAAAAAAAAAAAAAGAAAATACAAATTAATAGTCATTAGTATCTTTTGAAAAAAAGTTAAATCTACACTTAGGTGCATTAACTCAATGTTGCAATTAAGTTAAAACTTGAAAAGTTTCATAATTAAGTAATTTAATCATTTTCCATAATATGTGATATAATATAAATGATGTTATTTATTTGCAGAAGTACATTCCATATTCCATGTTGCACAAAAAAAAAGAATTTCTGCAGAATTTTTTCTTTTTTTTTTGTAATCATCGTAAACTAGCTTCTGCAGAATAATCTGTCATTGTGCTTCTCGCTTTATTATAATATGTCATTCTGTCAGAAAATTACTGAAAACAGTATTCTTTTTAAATATTAATTTCTTTATATTGAACACTTATTTATTTTCAAAACTTTTGTACTTTGGATTTTTTTTTCTCATTTAAAATATTTATTTTTATACTTTCTTTTCACCTACATGTAAGATACAATTTTTTTTTTTGGTTTTTTTGTAGAAATTAAAAATTGTTTAAAAAGAAAATCTTTTTGATAAGCTCAAGTTAATTGAAATATAATTTATTTCCTATATATAATAGTATAACGTATACATATATATATATAATAAAAAATAATCTTTTGTAACTTTAAAAGCGATATACATTATATTTTCAAGAAGAAAATATTTTAATGTGTATTACAATAATTATATTCGAATTTCACAATAATAGTGAATTATTCTAAAATCTAAATTTTATCAAATTAAGTTCACTTTTATTTTAGTTTTCTTTTCCTCCCTATTAAAATATAATAGGCCTTATATTATCTGTATTACTTTTTTTTTTAGAGAGATTTTTGTCTTCGATGTAAACGATTTACAAAAAAATATATATGTATATTTGCAAAAATCTAGATTACTTATATAGAACATCTCACAGAAGTGCTTATTTGCACACACATACAAAAAAACGGGTACATTATATAGTACTTGAGTTTTACATGCAGTGTAAAAAAAATTTCTTTTGCTTTCATCTGAAAACAATATCACAAAAGACATGGACATTTTTTTTACAATAAACATCAGCTTAATAATTTAAATCAATTTAAAATAGACAATTATTTAAGCTGACTTTTTGTCTCTTGAAATATAAAAATTTGTCTCTTAAATAAAAGAGAACGACTGAATAATAACAAAAATTCCTCTCCTCAAAAAATTGTTTACAATATCGAATATTTTTAGTTTCTAAAATGTAATATTACATTTTTCAAAAAAAAAAAAAACTCAAAGATTGTAGTTAATGTAGATTTTGACTACATTGTAAATAAATTGATTTCAACTTTATGAATATTTGTTTTTCTTTAATTTTCCTTATGAAATTTAAAGTTTTATTTTGATTTTAAATAATTGTTTCATTTTGTAATTAATATGTACAACAAAAAAAATATTGCCTCGTTTTATTTAAACATTTTTTTGAATGTTTCCTTTTCAAAAATTAAGTACGAATTCATTACCTGTTTGACTTTTTCAATTTCTTGTAAAATATTTTTATTATTGGGACATTCTTGATTTGCTTGTTTAAGATCCAAAAGACACATTTGATATTCATTTAAACCTAAATAAGCTTGACTTCTTCTGAACAATGCTTTACTATTTGTTTCATCTATTGCCAAAACCTAATTTAAAAGAAATTATATTAAATTTTTATTTTAAGTTCATTGTAATTAATTTTAAAATATAAATTTCTTGCCTTATTGCAGAGTAAAAGTGTTTCCTTGAATTTACGTTGTTTTAATTTGACAGCACAAAGATTTAATAGTAAAATAACTTTTTGATTTTTAAACGATTCATCCAATTCATCTGGTAAATCTTTAAAATTCATCATCCAATCATAATATCTCAATGCTTTTTTATATTTTACATTTGCCTCTAAATATTTTAAATTTGAGAAATAAAAATTTCCCGAATCTTTAATTTTAGTTATTACCTCCTGAAGATATTTGTACTGAAAATTTTATTTTTAATTCTAGACTTTCTGTTTTTTTTTTTAAAAAATTTGTTTTAGAATTTCATTTTATCAATAAAAAAATTAACTTACAGTCAATTTTTCTTCATAATCCCAATCATTGGGCCAAAGTGGAAAACCATCATTTTCCTCTAATCCCCAATTGTCACCTTTCTTTAATTCTCCACAATTAATGATAGATACTTTCTGAGAAAAAAAAATTGAAATTTAATTTTGGATTTTATAGATTTTTTATAAATTGGTGAAAATTGTCAATTACCTCTTCAGGTATTTGATTTTTTGTTGGTACATTATTTATTTCACTAACGGCACTCATGCCCTTTTTAACTTTACCAAAAACAACATTTGTATCATCCAAATGTCGACAAGACATTGCTGTAATGACAAATTGTGAACTATTTGTATGAGGTCGTCCTTCATTCACCATACTGACTAAACCAGCCTCTAAATGAGGTGTTTTTAAACTTTCATCCTCAAAATGAGGACCATATATACTCTCACCACCGGTGCCATCGAAATTTATAATATCTCCTCCTTGAATCATACAATGTGATACAACTGAAAAAAAAATTTAATTTAATTTCAAAAATAATTCAGTTAAAAAAGAATAAATTTTTTTTTAAAAGGAATTAATAATCCTTTTTTTAAAAAAAGAATATTTACCTTTATGAAAAATAGATCCTTTATAACAAAGTTTTTTTCCATTGACGCCAATTCCTTTTTCTCCAGTACATAAAGATCGAAAATTTTCCACTGTACGTGGCGCTAAATCTTTAAAAAGTTCGATAACAATACGTCCAACTGTAATGTAAAATAGTTATATTTCTTTCTCATTGAAATTATTCCATAAATACATAAAAAATACGTATAAATTACGTTTGAATATATTTTTATAACTTTTATAAATAATAACTAATTTCTTTAAATTTATCAACTAATATACAAAAATATATTTAATAAAATTATTTTTTCTTAATTAATTTACTTTCTTAACATTATAAACAAAAACAGTATGTATATATAAAATTTCGGAGCAAGTACTTATTTTCACTTTAAATAAAGCAATAATAATTAAAATTTTCTATTAAACATTATAATAACTATTTTCTAAATTAAATTTAAGTTATATTTTTCTAATTTCAACAATACTTGCAATAAAAATATAATTTAAAAAAAAAAAGTAAACATAACCTCACTTACCGTACTCATCACCGATAGCAATATCTAAAAATACAATTGGATTCTTCTCCGAATGATAATTATCAATATCAACCTCAAGTGCACGTTTCATCTTTTATTACTTCAAAGAAATTTTCACACACACACTTAATTTTATCAGAGATAATCATTCATTATAAACGATAATATAAAATCAGCAACAATGCATGGCAATGACTTATTGCATACTGACACTTTGAACCATATTGATTATCAATAATAAATAATATTAAATTTCAAATACATTCTAAGAGTATTCAAAATGTAAACATGACACGTAATTTGTTTACAATAATTATTTGGAAAAAAAATAATAATAATAATTAAACTGTGCAAAAAAAAAACATAGGCTCCACCGAGATTTGAACTCGGATCGCTGGATTCAGAGTCCAGAGTGCTAACCATTACACCATGGGGCCTCGCTGAAAATACTTACGATCATTTTATTCAAATAGGAAATTAAAATTTTTACAAAATATTATTAAATCTATTTATAAAATATGTATTTTTTAAAATACTATTGAAAAAATTAGAGAAAATTGAGACAAAATTAAAGATGATTATTTAATATTATTTGAGTAATTAATATTTCAAGAAAATGTCTTAAAAGAAAGTACCAATTTTCTTACGGCCCTGCAAACTCAATGCCGTAGAAAATATGGTATTAAAACAATTTTTTATTTATTTAAAAAATTATTTTCTATGTTAATTAAAAAAAAAAAACATATTTAATAAGTATTCACTGTAAATATAGTAAATATTTTACTGAGAATTTTTAAATACTTTTCAACTGTATTTTAATTTTAATAATTAAATTTTTTTTTAATTAATAACTTATTTAAATTATTTTTAATTCATATTATACCTAAAAATTGTATATATTTAAATAAAAATCTGCAATTAGAAATTTACAGATATAATTTATTAGAAAAATTTAATTCTATTATAATATATATACATGAATTAGTTTGAAATTAAGAATAATGGAATTAATTAATAAAAATGATAATAAATTTAAAGTAAATATATATATATATGTATATACAATTTAGCGGTAGCACAAAATTGAAATATTGTGCTTGTCATTTAAAAATAAATATTATATAATTGTACAAAACTCACTTGAATAATAATCAAAATGATAATTATTGAAAATTCCATTTTCAATTTTTGGCGTAAAAAAAATATTATCCAAATAAAAATTAAATCTTGACTGGAGGTGAAGCAGATAATAAATGAATTCGACAATAATTGAGATTCTTCATTGCTTTTCCTCGACATGGTTTGCCACTTCGAGTTAATTCACAGCATCTGTTGCCATAACCGCTACTATCCATGGGAGTTTTACTGCAAAATAATAATTTAATTCTAAAATAGTTTTTAGTTCAATAAAAATTAATATTTTTTTAATATTCTAATTTAATTTTACCTTCGGGAAATATTGTGTCGTTGTCGCATAGTCCATAAATTATCTTCTTTTATCGAATTTTTGGGCGTAAAATCAGATTCCGAAAGATCATCAGAAATATTAGTTGGTGAATCAAAAGTCACGAAACTATCGTATTTCTTTGACATATAAGAGCAAGAAAGTTCTTCTTGTTGTAATATCGACTGTTTGGTATGGTCACTCAATGATTGAAAGATATTTAAAATTTTCCCTATAGAAAAAAAATTTTTAATTAAATTAAAATAAAAAATTTTTAACATCTGCTAATAATAATATTTTTTTTTACTTGTAGCCGTGTTGAAAGTGTAGTGTATTCTGTTGTAAAATGAATACCAAGCTGAAGAAATTGCACTGAGAAATGGTCGTTTCGTAAAATTAGCCATATCGTTTGAGCTATTGTGACAAACGCCATTCTCTTTATTTTCATTATCCATCCCACGCTGAAAATTTTTTGATTCAGTCTTCTTTGGTCCAAAAATGTACTGAACAATAATCATTACATAATGCACTGCAAATAATAATAATAATAATTATTAATGCACTTATTAATTATCTATATAATAATCATTTTTCCATTAATACATAAATGGAGAAAATAATAGAAAATATTTATCTTACTCATTGTAATTAGAATAATGAGAGCAGTAATTGAAAAGAAATCTAGAGACGCTTCCATTCCATGTTTCAAATAAGCGGTCAAATTTAAGGGAATTATTCCCATTATCGTCACTCTCATTAAAAATGGTGCTTGTAAAAATCCGGCAACAATCATGGCAGTCAATATGTAAATTATATGCAAAAATGTACGGTAAACTTTTTGCATTTGTAAACCTTGAAAGAAATTAATTTATAATAAATTAGAAGATAATTTAATTTTTTAAAAAAGATAAAAAATTTTACCTACAAAGATTATTAGCAATAAAATACAAAATTTTGTAATATATTTACCTGTACTACTAATATAATCAGTAATCCAGCCTAATTTCTCATCCACTTGCGTATGCATCATATTAGTTAGATTCCAAACAAAATTAACTGTTTTATTAATCTGCTCGAGTTGTTCTAATGTTCGTATATATTGATTCGCGGCTTCTTGATTTTGTTGTAAAATATTATTTGTACTACTCTCCAATCTTTCCCAAAGTTTTTGAGCACGATCTTGTATAGCCAATAAATCATCCATCACTTCTTGATGATTAATTTTACGATCAGATTCTTGTTTTAATATATCGTCATTTGCTTTCACTGAAAATTAATAAACTATTATCAACAATAATCTTTCTCATGAAGTCAAACAATTTAAATTAAGAAAATTATTTTTAAAAACCTAATTTATCTTTAATATCTTCAGTCATTGTAACGAGTTTCGCATGTCCCAAACGAATTAAAGCCTTTTCCATTGTCAATTCACGAAGATTAGACGCCACAAGATTATGTTGATCGAGTAATTTTTTATTTCCACTTTCAATTAATGATAATGCGTCCATTGTTTCTTTTTCCAATTTTTCTTGATTTTCCTATTACAGAAAATTTCTTTCAAATTATTAATAAAAATATAATACAGTTAAATTTATTAAAAAATTATAACTATAGAAATAAAAATGTAATCTTATAATTATAAAATAAAATACCTGTAAATTTTCCAGAGCTTTGATTTGCGAATGAGTTGTTTGCACTAATTTATTAACAGTTAATTCAGTTAATGCACGAAATTGTAAGTTCCTTGCGGAATAACAAACTGCTCTTGCTCGATTACTCATTAAATGGTAAGCGTTCCACATATCGGCGTCCATCTCCGTAGTACATTGTTTCAAAGACTAAAAAAAAAATTCAAAATAATATTAATCACTTTTTTTTAAAAATAAATTATTGTTCTTTTAATAATATTTGAATTTAATTTTTGTATTTGATGGAAATAAATTAATATTACAATATGTTACAAGACTGACTGTATTCGGAAAGGGATAAAAAAAGGGAATAAAGGTAAAAAAAGAGGGGGGAAGTTTGCAAGTCTAAACTTGCTACGAAATTTTTATAGTAGTAGTAGTGGAAGTATATGTGTATATAAATCTATAATAGAGTAAACGGTATACAGTGACACAAAATTGTTAATTTCTAACTTATAATTCATATAAATAAGATTTTAATTTAATTATATAAAATTAAAAATTTTTAAATAAATTATTTCTTTTAATCTCACCATGTCTTGAGTACAAGGATAAATTTTTCTCCCTTCAACTAATGATTGACAATTAAGCAAATTAACACTTAATTTGGCCAAATCTTCTTCAGACATTTCATTGCAAGATGATCTTATTTTCATGACTACTTTATGATAACATGTTTCGAGTGGTGAAGAAACTTGCATTTCTGTAAATTTAGCGGCTTCCTGGAGAAATTTTTCATCATCTGTCAATGATTCATAAGGAATTGAAATTAAAGGTACACCATCTGAAACTAAAGTTGTTGATTCCTTTTGTCCTCTGTCCCATATCCAACTAAGAATCGCTGATTCCACATGACATGTTGAAAATGTTAAAAATATTAAAAGTAATGAATAATACATTTTCATTACATATATTTTCTTCTAAAATTCTGAAAAAAAATTGAATTATATAATTATTTGTAATATTGAAAAACAGTTGTTTACATATACTCCGAAATGAAAGAGAGGTTATAAATGTTTCTTTTTCTATAAATAAATATAACGAATATAATTTACTAAAAACATTTTTAAGAGGAAAATTGAATTATAACTATTCTCTGCACTTTGAAATAGCGTTGTTATGTCAGAAAAACGAGTAAAAAAAATTATTTAAATCAGATTCAATCGATTCCATGTCAATAAGACACAAGGTCAAGATATTATAACTTTATAATAAAATAATATAATAATAATAATAGAATATTATGAATAAACTTACCAGAACTTTATAGAATTAGTCAAATTCCTTTAAAATTTCAGATAATTAATGAATTTGTTGAAAAAAAACTACGAGAATGACAAATGTGTTTATGTTTTGTTCAACCGTCATTCAATACATGTGTACCAACACCTGTAAAATTCAGAGCAACCAATGGATGAATACAGATTCAAAATAACCGTCTCTTATTGGTCCAGTACTGGTCACGTGATGAAATCTAACCTCGAAATAAATTTGAATCTCTGAAAAGACAAATTTGTTTTATTAAAAAAATAAAGTTAAATAAAATATAAATAAATAATAAATATTTATCAAATAAATATATTATACTATAAAATAATTAATACTAATTACTAAATACTTGTTTTATCTGAATTGTTTATGAAAAAATATAACAAATTTTTAATTTTGTTTATCAAATATAATAATTAATTTAAAAACATTAAATTATAAAATTTTGAATTTAAGAAAATAAAAAATCACTTTTATTAATTAAAAGTGAATTAAATTTAATGAAAAAATAAAAAATATATATTCACTTTCTTTTAGAAGAACCAATACGTTGAGGCAAGAAATTTTTTCTCGAAAAATATTTGTTTTCTGTTATATAATTAATTTGTATTTACAAAATTAAATACATTCTTCTCCAGGTAGATTATATAATAACTTTTTAGAAAAAAAAAGTTATTTTTTTTCTACAACAACCTCGCTGATTCCATACATTCCGGCTAATAATCGCCCATGACTTATTGGTACAGGTTCTTTTGGTGCTAAATAAGGTCCATTTTCTCCCATATAAACGTAACTATTTTTAAAAAAAATTAAGAAATAATATTTTTTTCAAATCCGTAAATTATTATTAATTAATTTATATTTTTTGAAAATGGTATTTAAAATTTTGCAAAAAGGATACGGCAGTCTCAAAACCCAGTAAGCACTTTGTGAAAGTTTTATTGGTTCCTCGCATCCTGTGACAAAAATAGGACACGGCGAAGGACCTGGTTGAACTCTTGGATTTAGAGTAACGTGCACTGGTGCCTTTGGTGTCACAACATGTATTCTCATAAGTTGTGCAATTAATGGTTTTACTAGTCTAAAAATTTCAATGAATTAATATATTTCATTTCATTCCATAAATTTTTGTAATTAATTTTTGCACAATATACCTGCATGGACATGGAAAATAAAGTGGCATATCCGCTGTACTCGATGTTACTTTATTTCCACTGTCTTTGACAATTCCATTTCCAGTTGCTTTTAAAACTTTATCAGGCGCTGAAGCCATAAATCTATGTCCACGTGGACATTCATATTCAACGCCAACAAAAATTTTCACCACAAACTCCTTTCCTCCTTTTGATTTTCGTCCTCGTATTGTATTTAAATTTTGAAAATTTTTTCCCCTTGGACAATATCCATGTTGTCCATGATCATTCACCATTGGCCAGAGTGATCCTTTATCCTTTTGATGTTCTAGTCTTTAAATTCAAAATTTTTTTCAATTAATATTGAAATAAATTTTATTTTTCTATTTACTATATTTTCTTACCTAACAGTCACATCCCAGGGCAAGAGAAAAGCTGAATTTGACAAAATTCCTGCCTGATGTTGCAAGCCCAAATTATGAGAATAAAGACTACTGGGACCAAGACATACGAGTGACCAACTGGAAAATTGAGGCAAAAGTCCTGCTGGTGATTCAGCGTGTAACATTCCAGGTAAATATTCCGTTGTAGATGGTTGTCTGACCAGCGATTTTTCTGCAAAATTTTTAATAAATTTTAAATAAATTTACAAATTATCTGTAACATTTAAATATTTACCTTTTGCACTTTCAGAATCTTCAGACACTTCAATAACGACTTTGTGACTTTCGTTTGGAGTCAAACTTGTTTTATTACTGAGTCTTTGTGTTTCATCAGCAATTTGATCACTTGTCGGTGGTGATTGACCTCCACTTCCATAGGCAGTTATATTATCTATTTTAATTATAATTTTAAAATTGAAAAAATTCTTAAACGATAATTCAACAAATTTTTTATTGTTATAAATTACCATTCATTGTCTCTACTCCAAGACTGCAAACTTGAGTGTGACCTTGAGGTGTTGATAATTCGACACGTGATATAGAATCTTTTCTATTTGTAGCTGAAAATAGTTGTGCCGCTCTAGCAAAACAAAAAAAAAAATATTTTCAAAAATTTTAATTACAACAAAATTGAAATATTAATTATTACCTGAAGTTATGTGTACTTGGTTGAAAAACGGGAAATTGGATGCTTTCGAGTTGCGAGCATCCACATTGTTTTGTCAACATTTGAAAAAAATCGTAATTTGCTTGTCGCAAATTAAAAGGATCTTCTCTCGAACCCTGACAACGGCCACAATTACAAGCGCAAACATAACGAACACCAGTGCAGTGCTCCATTATCGGCAATTCACTATATCATTATGATAATTATGAAAATTAATTAAATTATAATTATAAAAAATATAATAAATTAATTTTATTTTTATTTTTACCTATCATCTCGAGATTCAGATAATTCACCACCACCGGCGCCTTCACTTCCACCTTTATGAATTGGATTTGTACAAGGATTGCCCGTTAACGATAGAACTTCGCACATTTGTCGACCAGCTTTCCAATATTTTTCACATTCTTCCTGCAATTTTTCACTAAATTCCTCGAATAAAGGACCACGTGCGTGCATTTCAAAAACAGCAATTGCATGAGCCAATTTCGTTTCGTGATAAGTTCTATTAAAAATTTATATTTTTAATTTCAAATAAAAATAGAAATAAATATTTAATTTTACATTTTATTAATTATTAAGTTTATTACCTGGTGTAATGTTGGGGAAGATTTTCCTGATATGTTTGTAAAGCTCTGGGTAAAACTTTGTTACATCTACTTTTACTGAATTTCACATCAGTATCTAATAAATTATACAAAAGTGTCAATTCCTTGCTTGTCCCTCGTATAAAAAAATTATAAACTTTATTCGCTATTTCAAAAAATGTGCGAATACTCGGAATCTGTAATAAAAATTTTTTTAAAAATATTTTTTTTAGAAATTATTTTAAATATGTACCTCAAAATGTGCAGGAGTCGAATGTCGTCCAACATTATCGTCAAAACCTTTGGCAAATGCGAGGCTAATGTGTTGCTTCAAAAATTGGTTAAATGTGTGAGATTCTAGAAAAATTTATAAAAATCAATAAAAAAAATTAACAAAAATTAAATTCCTGTAACAATAACAATAATTTACCAGATTCTGACTCAGTGGTAATCAAATTTGAATCAAGACTAGCAAGACTTCTCGAAGTGGTGCCACCTGAACTTATTTTACAACTTTGAATAAGTTTTTTAGCCATATAACCCAAAATATCACGAGATTCAGTGGGACCCGTGTGAATAAATACAAATTCCTGATTTGCCGGAATTGCAAACAATGAATTTGAACTGAAAAAGAAAAATTACTAATTTTTAAATCCATAAACAAAAATTCTATTTTTCTACTTTTAATTACCTGATATTTGTGACAATGCGATTTTTTCTCAAAATTAAATAAATTTGATCCTCCAATGCATGCTCCATTTCTTTAATATTCGCTCCACTATCAGGTTCGCGAAAAACACTTGGACATGTCTCAAAATAAAATAAAACACGTGGTGAGCAAGGCCTCACATTGGCAATCCAATCTTTCGATAAACCAGGAATGGTATTTAAAATATCCGACAGTGGTATTGATATTTTTTGTCTATCAAATAATTTAACAAAATTTTTAATTTAATGATTTAGAAATGCAATTAATTATAAAAAAAAGTGCTTGTACAATCTTACCTGATTATATCTAGTGCTCTAAATAAATGAATGTAACTAGTGTCAAAAATAGGTGTCGGATGACTTAGAACCAAAACATGAGATAAATGAAAGAGTACCAGTAAACCTCTTGCATATTTATCTCTCATATGTGCCCAAGCACTGAGGAAATCTTTACGTTCCTGTGTCTCAATAAATTTATCAAACTCGTGAATTAATGTTGACGTATCTAATAATCCTCTAAGATGTAAATAAATAGTTTTTTCCTTCTCATCATGATAACCTTCTATTTGACACTAAAAATTATATTGTTTTTTAATAATATTATACATTTTATTTTTTTAATATCAAGAAAATAGATATAAAAATAGTGTTAAAATAAAAACAATTTACCAATGAAGATTCATCAACAGTTGGTTCATCCAAAAGATCCATCTGGAGAACGGAACTTAACATTCCTGTTTTGCATCCTTTTGCTCGATATTGAGATTTTCCAAAGACAGCAACAATCATTACTTTTTTGTCTGGATTTACAAAACTAAAATAAAAATTACATTATGCAAAAATGGAAAAATTTGTCAATCTTTTCTCTGATGGAATTTTATACTTGAAAAATACAAAACTTAAATTCTATAATTTATAAACAATATATTTTTATTATTAAATAAATAAATACCTCTCCACACCGCATGGTAATATAAATTTTTGTGGCCGCATGACACATTATTTATTTGCAAACAATTTTTAAAGGGACATTTTGAGGTTATGTTTATTAAACAAACGTCATCTTGAAGTCCTTTCACAATATACCGCTAGAGGTCTCACTAAAAACAAAAAAAAAAAGCGGGAAGTTTTTAAAAAAATTATTTTTTTAAAATAAAACAAATTTTTGTAATTAAATTATTTATTATCACAAACTATTAATTAAATCGTACACAATTAAATGAAAACTTATCAATAATTGTTTGACAAAGAAAATTTTTAAATATTATGCAAGAATTCAAATACATTCTTACATAAAATTATTTTTTTAAATTCTTTACGTTTACAATAAAATTGTTAAACTAAAATTCATCACGATAATTGATATAATAAAAAAAAAAGTATTCAAGAGAATTCAATTAAAGAAATTATATAAAATTATAGTCACTCTTTTAATTGTTTTTATGCAAAATAAAAATTGAGTAGTATTACGCAGTAAAACGCTTAAAAAGGCACCTCTCAAAGTCTTAAAAATAGGTAAAAATTACATTATTATAAAATAGTACTAGATATTTATATATACAATTAAAATATAATATTAATTGACAGATACATGATTTTTTTTTTTTCAATTCTCGATATAACGAGAAAGAATCTTTCTAAAAACGTTGTGTAAAATATATATCTATATATATATAATTATTATGTATTTATTACGTATTTGTTTATAAAATAATTTTCTCTTTCAATTAACGAAACTATGGTTTCTTGTGTATATTTTCTAGTTATATACAAGTCATAACACTATTTACAAATTGAAAGTGTGTGTTTCCTTGTAAAAAAAAATTTTAATATCATTTTTTGATTTTTTTTTAAAAAAATAACAATTTAAGTTAAAATTTTCATTAAAATATTTATCAAAATCCTATATTAAAATTATTTCTTTTTTTTTCATTTAAAATCAGATCTTTTTCGAGTTTTTCTAAACATTAATACCCGTGATTAGACCATAGTTTCATGATTTATCAAAAACGTGTTGAAATTACGAAAAAAATTTTTAAATATTATAATTAAAGAATGTTTTTTTTGTCAATCATAAGAAAAAATAATTTCTTATGAGTGATTTAAAATACATTCATCATTGTGTATTTATATATATTTAATTAAAACAATTTTTCTAACGATGAAAAACGATTCTTAAACAATAACAAAAAAAAAAATATTATATATACCACACGTTGATCAAAATCACAATTATTGTCGACGATCAAGAAACATTCGCTTGTTCTTGTCGCGTTACCGGCGACAATATTCGACTATTTTTCGGTAAAATAAGAAATTTCAAATAATCTCATTGCGAATCGAAATTGATAGAAAATTAATATTGTTCTTTTATGATAAATTTGGAGAGAAAAAATGATCTGAAATTGTTATTAGATAAAAATATTACCGTTTTAAAAAAAAGTAAGTGCACATTGGTAATGTCTTTGTTCCCTCTAGTATTTTTATATTCTCTGTTTCTTTCAGTGCATAATTACGTTCTGAACGTTCATTTTTTTTTTTTTAGGTAAAATATCATTTATATAAAAATTCCTCGTATTCAATTATAAAATTGCCATGTTCCCGCTAGTTTTAAAAAAGATTTTCAGTTTCTTTTTCTTTATACTCATTTCAATCGAGTTGTATGACAATAAAATTTTGAAACACAACGATTGAACATTGTTTCGTTTTTTGCTTTCGTGATAGCTGAATTTTATATTAGTCTCTTTCGCTATCACGATTTAGATAAAGTACATCACACTCCCATCAAACGGTACTTGTGAACTCCATAAATTTGATAAATAAATTTTAATCGACATGAATCGCAATTGTAAAATGCATCACATGTGAATTGTTGCGACAGTATAGCGTGCTTCGCCTCTTCTCCAACTCCATTGACTTGGTCGATACTAAACAAGAAAAATTAATTTTATTTATAATTTATTAATTCACTATAACTCATTTAGAAATAGATAAAAGAAATATTTTTTCAATTTTTTGAGGAAAATAAAAAAAAAAAAAACTCACTCGAATGAGTATTTGTCCTGATGCACTGTGAGGATTACGATACGCATATACAGCCCAACCGGCTAAACCAGCAACAAGGGAAATAATTATCAGAATACCGATGATACCAGAAACGCTCATGTTCATATTTTCGCGAGCTGTAGAAAAAAAATTTAAATATTATTAAAAAAAGAATTGTATAGACAGAAACAAAAAGAAAAAATAGGTACAATTATTGATTTCAAAAAAAAAATAATACCATGTTCCAAGGAACCAGCCGCTGGACTAGAATGTTGACTAGGTTTCACGCTAGCCGACAATACTTCGTCTCTGGTGATGTGTTCCTCGTGTCCTTGGGCATCAATGTGATCTTTATAGGATGTTGCTTTTGCTGAACAACTTGCTGCATCTTTGACATTTTTTCTATCGCATCCTTTTTGCAACCAATCTTGTTTAGTTCGCGAAACTCCTGTACTACATTGTTGCAATTCAGAACACCATTTACAAATGAATCCTGGCACTTTTGTGAGACAATCATTGCAATTATCCATTTGCAAACATGTTGGCAATGCCGTCAAATATATCACTGTGAAATTCTTTATATCCTCGCGGTTAAAGTGTACTCGATGATATTCGTAAATTGTCTTCTTGCGATTAACTAAATAAAAAATAATTTAATTTATTAATAGTAATTATTTTCCAATTATTAATTTATTAAAAAGAATTTATAAAAATAATAAATCTCTTTAAATAATCATCAATAGTGAATATTATTTTTTAATTGACAAACTATTAATTTAAATGAATTTTTAAAATAATTAATTCTAAATTAGTCTAACTTTAGTTTAGTTTGTCTAATTTTCTCTTTATAATATTTTTTTGAATTAACTTACAGAATACAGTTCTGTCCATAATGTAAGCGTCACTCAATCCAACTTTGACTGGATGATTAGTGTCTTCAATATTTTCGACAACAAGTGGAATTGCAGTGTAAACGAATACAATGTCGCCGTTTAGATGTAAAGTCACTTGGAATGTGAAAGCCCCATCCTCTGGTTTATCGTGAAGTACAACATTTTCCCACTCGACTGTAAATGATGTTGCTGAAACATTGATTTGAATTTTAATTAAATTCTCATATTTTTTAAAAAAATTCACCAGTTTTTCAATAGTCATTAAAAAAAAATAATGGTATTTTACTTTTTTTTTTTTTTACTTTCACATGATATTCATAAAGTCTATAAATAGCTATCAACAAATCCGATTACAAATTCATAATCAAAATAAAAGACGACAGTAACAAAGAAATGAGATTGGCAGAATGATATGTGATTACAAAAGATAAGTAGATATAAATAATTTTATAATTTTTGTAAAGCTATGAAAAGTATTTTCTTCTTTTAAACCACATATTTGATTTAAATTTATCAACTTTCTTTTGAATATTAGTAAAAAATATTATTTTTTTTATCAAATTCTTATATTTGTTTATTTATATATTAAATTTGAATTTTCAAATAAAAAAAAAATCTAGATAAATGAATTACTAACAATTGTCTGCATATTTCACGAAACTACGATTGGACAATTGCAAGTCAAAGTTCGCCATTAACGGTGCAATGTACTGTGTCGCAGCAAGCCAACTGTGTACGTATTCTCCTGTATATAAAAATCCACCTGTGGCAATTGTGATATTCCGTACTTTGTGTCCATAAAATGGAAAATCGAACTTTAGTTTTATTGTCTGTAAAAGAAAATAAAAATTAAAAACTCGCAAAATTATAAAACAAAAAAAAAAAATTAAAATTTGCATTTTTTTCACAGGGCTTAAAAAGATAGACTATTATTCGTACAATCCATCGATATATATATATGTAAAGAATGGAGATTTTAATGAACAAAAGAACAAACCGCAGCTTTCCTGTGACTCTCGCTTAGAACTTCATTGACTTGAAGATTCGGATGTATAGCCATATTCACCCAATATTTTTCCCATGCGGCTTTATCAACCATAAATGTACTATTATAATATTGATGTGTATCATTTACGGTTTTTGTTATATTATTCTGTAGCAGTGTAGAATTTGATACTTCAGAAAGAGTGTCTGGAATGTCGCCAATTTCAGTCTCAGAATTCTCATTGGTAGGTTTAACATTGTGTGTAATTTTAGTCCACCTTGTTTGATTTGCCCAAACAACTGGTTTAGACTGAAAAATAAATTAAAATTTAATTATGTACATTTTTTTACTCCTCTCATTTAAATTTCTATTTTTATTTCCATAGAATGTAAAATTTGAGGGAAAAATTATTTTACTGTATACGTTAAGGGGCGAAACTTACCAAATGTGAAGTGGACGTTTCAACAGTTGGTGTGGTAGCTGTGGTATAATTTTTTTTTGACTTGAGAACATCCGGTTTATATTTTTTCGAAGGTAATTCGCCATGCACTGGATTTTCCGTGGAAATAGTTTCCGTTGAATAAGAAACATTTGCTGAATTATGAGTATTTATGCTAATAACCGGTTGTTGTGGCAGTGTTGTAGGTTGCACTTTTGGTTGTTGTTGTTGTTGCATATCCTGAACTTCGCTAAGTTCATGTTGAGGCTTCGCCGTCCCTTTCGGTGGTTCAAGAACCGATCTTACAAATCGATTTTGCGAATTTTCATCAAACGGCGAAAAATCTATTCTATCATCCAAAAAACTGTGTGTCCTCGATATTTCATACTTATGATAAGACAAATCTGTAAAAAGAAAAAACAGGTCTATTAAAAAAAAAAATACATATATTATTTAAATTAATAAATAATTTTACTAAATATTCATTAATTTAAACTTATTTTTATATTTTCTTTATTTTTTACACATATAGAGAAGCTAAAAGTGTTTTTTGGAGCAACGATTTGGCTATCGCGAAAGACTAAATTTATTCAGGCACATCTGATGTAAGCCTTTCTTTTTTGCTTGGCATTAAAAGAAGATTATTAATTTGAATATTTTTTCGTCAAATTAATTAATATTATGCAAATTTTCTTCCCAAGTGAATACTTTTTTAATATATCTATATATAAATTTTCGAGATACCAAAAATAGCAATAAACGCGTTCATGATGTCAGAATGTGACGTTTCAACGTATGTGTCAACGTCGACGTTCTCAACTTCTTGTTTCTATATTGAGAGGGCAATGTCCTTGTGCAGAATATAATTCATCCACAAATTTAGTCTCATCAATTCTCTAATTTTTGCATCAAAATTTATGCACTCAACTTGTATTTGACCTATGTATAATATTGTCAATTGAATCAAATTTTCACAGAAAAACTTGATAAAAATGTTTTAAAAAAGAATTCACGTAGAAAAAAATTAAAAATAAAATGAGAAAATAAATAAATGATCAGAAATATTATTACAAGAATATTTTTTTCATCAAATGACAATTTTTCCTTCTATTAAATATGATGAATAAAATACTTCAAACTCCAATGGAATATTTATGCGGGATGATGATGAATACAAAACTGGTTTCTTTTATAAAAATCCCGATACTTAATACTACTATGTATATAAGATAGGGTCGTAGGCCAATTTTCATCTCAAATCTTCTTTTACAATACCAGACTGGTTACATTACTTTAATTAGCTTAAAATTTTATTTTTCCATTTTAAAATAAGATTCAGAATCTGACACTGCAGTTTAGTTCAAGGGCAGACGGGATATTTATACATAAATAGAATCGCATAAATATAAACCATGAATAAGACTCCAAGTTAATACAGTATAAAGATTCTGTTTCCCATCAAAATTTTACTCTTTATTATTGAATAATATTAAAAAAAAAAAAAATTATAATAAAAATTTTACTGCCAATACCAAGAAATGACGTAATTGTATTTTATTTCCTTCAATCGAAACGATATTGAGGAATAAAAAGAATTTATTTATTAATTTACCTATAGTCAAATAGTATCAAAAATTAAGATTTAAGTCCGTATATTGAAATTAAAGAATTGATATCACGGAAGTTCCCAGATCAATTTTACATATTGTAAAAATATTTGTAGGTATTAAATACTTTCAATTCTGTGGTTCTTGTTCTCTTTCTCTCTCTCCACAACTATCGAATTCAAGCGGTCGCTTTAAACACTAGAATGTCAAGAAAGAATGATTTTTCCCAAGTATAAGACTCGGTAACCGCCTTTCAATTTAATTCCCGTATATATGTACAACTTTAACATTCACCGTTATAGAAAAGATTGAAATTTTCATTAAAACCTGTATATATCGTTTCTGAAAAAGAAAAAATGGAAAATTATTAAAAAATCCAAACATAACAAAAATAAAATAAAAAACCAAAAAATAAATTAAAAACTTCCAAATTTCGAATTTTCATTCACTATCGTCAATTTTATATTATGTGTTACATAAAAAAAAACATTGAAACTAAAGGGAAAAAGTAATTAACGTTTACGAGGGAATTAGATAAAAGCCCAGTTGGTAATTATGCAAACAATGCAAACCTATACTTATTTCCTGGAACGTGAATACGTTAACTAGAAAATGTTGCGCATTTATTATTATATTATATATACAGACTCATTGACAACCGACTAGACTAAAATTAATGTTACTCATTTGAATTTTCAATTTTTTTTTTGTCTAGAACAATTAATCAAAAAATTTTTTTTTAGTTGTAAAAAATTACTACAAACTGGAATTCTTTATTAATGTGGAGAAAAAAAAGAAAAGATAAAAAAAAAAAATTTGTCATTTGCGTTCTTTTTCAACATAATATGTACAATGAGTCATATATAATAAAATAATAAGATATTAAAACCTGAACGTCATTCCTCAAGAAAATTCATCAAGATTTTTTCTATTTAATATATGCAAGTACGTACACAAATAATATATTCACGAGCGTTAAGAAAACGTTATGTGAATTTTAAAATACAAGTTCATTGTTCCAAGATGTTTTTCACACATATTATAACAATATTGTCTTAAGGAAAAGTGGTTTAGTCTCAATATCTGTTTTAGAAAAATTATTTTCAAAAAATGTTGTTTAATAAAAATATACCTATTTGAATAAAAATAAATTCTGAAAACTAGACTTTTCGTCAAGCAGAGCCAATGGACAGAAATTAAAATTTTTTTACGACAGAGGAAACTAATTGACATTTTTAATCGAGCAATAAAGTTCAATGTGAGAGCAATTATTAGCGAAACAATAAAAATAATAAGGGACGCGTAATAAAAAGTCGGAAAGGTCAATGGTGCAAATAAGGTGACTGAGGATTTTCAGGCCAGTGAGCGCACCGGTATCATGGGCAACAGACTGTTGCCAGTTTGAATTGAAAGATAAAAGAATAGGACTCGGTGAATAAAGGAGAGAAAGCTATAAAACAAAATAAGGTCGAAGACCTCATCTTTCTCCATCCATAAAAAAAAAAATCAAAAAATCGATTAGAAATCCTCATTTTTTACGATTCTTTGATAAAAATAATATTAAATCGATATCAATTTATTTCCGATTAAATTGTATACTGTGTCGTGTGACCTGAAGATGATAATATTCCTTCCCTGTTCTTTACAACCACCACTTCCTTTCCTTTCTCTTCCTGTCATAGTTTTTTTTTTTTTTTTTATTATTGCTCCTAAAAAAGGACAAACTTTAATAATAACTCGTGTGTCGTTAGAAATTTCATATTTTTTCTTTAATATTGAAAATAAAAAACCAATTATTATTTTGATCATAAAAGTCATATTTTTCTAAATGAAAATATTATCTCTCATTTATAGTAAGAATACCTATACAACGGATATACAAATAAAAAAAATAAAAATTATATGAAGAAACTAGTTTTCCATGAAGAAACTTACAAAACAGATGTAAAAGAAAAATAGACAGAAAGATGTGGAATTTTTTAAATTGATGAATGGAAATTGACGTCGTTTATTCTTTATACACATATATAGTTTCCAAGTGAAGTCTTCCTATCGTCCCACGTATACCATACATGTAAGTATCGCAATAGCACGTTGACTTCCATTTGAAGAAAAGAAAAAAATCATTTTATTCCTTTTCACAAAAAAAAAAAGAAACAGAAAACCAAGTCTTAAAATGCGATTATTATATATCTACCCATATGAATTTTGTTCCAGCTATTTGAACTTACATAAAGACAAGGACACTTCTTCCTGAACAAAAATACGACAATAATAACAATATTCTTTTTTTTTTCTTTGTGTCAACTTTTATAATAACACCTGGCATTATTCAATAATGACTAAAAAGAAAACTTTGTAACAAGAAGCAACATATACCGAATATCTGTTGAAACACCTTTTAAATATTTTGACACATTTTTTTTCCTCTCATTCTTCAATAATTGCAACATCCTTGGAATACATTTACGATCAAAATTTATTTTTAAACTCAATCGAAAAGGTGAATTGAATTTAAAATTCAAATTTTATTAAATTAAATCTTTGCAAATAATTTCAAAATACCTTTTTAATACCTTTTTTTTAGAAAATATTGATCAATTTTTCGAAACTAATTAAATAAATAATTTTGTCGATAAATATTTCCGGAGAGTAGAAGAAAAATTGACAAAGAATTTTTCCATGATCTTTTCGAAAGTATTGTAAATTTTTTTTTTTTTTTCAAAGAACAACAGCGGATAGCAGCTCTTGAAAGGGACCCTATACCCTGACCTTCCGGTTTGGGATCGGTTTTGAGTGCAACGAACACACATGGTGACTATATGTTCGGGGAGGTTTTTTTTTTTTTTGTCTTCAAAAACAGATGAACTCCCACGCATTACATTCATTATACACGAGATCTCAAACAAGGAGTTTTCTTCACACCATATGCGAGAAGTATATATAAATAATATTGAAGATCAAGTGAAAAAAATAATTTCTTATTTTTTCCTTATAATAAAATTAGGCTTTTATTACCAGTTCTGAAACAAAAATACAAAATTTTTTCAATAATATAATTTCTTTTTATAGTAAAATTAAATGGATTTTTAATTGTTAATGAGAATTGTTTTCTGGTATTTTTTTTTCTTTCCATGATGAGTGAAAAATGAATAATATTCGCTCATCCGATCAGAAGCCCTAGATGTGATGCGAGAGCCCACACAAATACTGTTACGCTTCTACGTTTGTTTTCGATTGGATTCAGTTTCTACAGAGCAAGATCTTTCGCTGAGAAAACTAACGGTATATATACTATATTGTAGTCTACTTAAAAAGATAGATACCAATCTCAAATATAAGAAAAAAAAAAGAGTTGACCGAACATAAGTTTGGCTGTTCCAAATAAAAATATATCTTGACAATAGAGTATTGTTGGCACCGAAAAACTGTTTTGAACTTTTGACACATTTCACGAACAATGGAAATAAATTTCAAAATTTCTTTTCTTTTACTTAAAGTCAAAAAATTAATTATTCAAAAAAAAAAATTAAAAAATAACATTTTAATTCAAATTTTATAAAATTATCAAAAAAGAATTTATAGATAAGACATTTTTTTTTAATGTCATATAAAAATTTGCTCTATTCTTTCAACATACTTAACTTCTGCTACTGGGTTTATTTAAATATTACAATACGTCTATAGTACTTTGAAAGGTTTCAGGTTCTTCCTCCCTATCTGTTTATAAAGATAAGTCTTCTAGGTCGATAATGGCTTCTAGTAATTTAAAATTCTATATACTTGCAACTCTCAAGTGCAATGAACCTCTTTTTTTTCCTCGAGAAAATATTCCACTTTTTTTTTTTTTACAAATTACAGGTAAATTGAGACATTAATAATTATGCTTTATATTAAAAGAGACTAAAATACAAAAGGAAATTGTAAATATTACGAGATAATACAAAAAAAAAAAGTTTACAATTTAATGACCATTGTCAGTCAAACAAAACATTGTCTTTTAGCAGCAAACGCTAATTGATGTGCGATAAAGTAATTTCATCTTTTGATAGCATTTTAAACAATGATATTTACAGTTACAACAATAAACAAACGTAAATATCATGCGAAAAAGAGATTTCTATCTTACTTTTCAAATAATTTATTTTTTCCGATTATTAAAAAAAAAATAATTATTATAAATTAAATATTAATATAATAAATTAATTACTAAAATTTAATAAATAAAAAAACATTTCTGAAATTAAGAGTTGAAAGTATGAATTTCATTAACTGATAAACTAGTTAAAACATATAGATTGGAGCAAGAGGTTTATAAGTTAATAAGTTGTGCTCTTCAAGTCAATAAATTGCCATTTAACCAAAGTGATCCATACAATCCGCCGTGGTGACGCCATAGATCGTTATAGATATTCATAAAATGTAAACAAGTGACAAAATTATGTGATTTTTTTTTCATTTATTTTTGCAAATCTCGCAATTCAATTAAAATTGATTAAAAAAAAAATTAATATCACAATTTATCGCGAAAGAGATTTCAATTAAAACTGATTTATTCGAAAATACAAACGTCTTTTGTATTAAAAAAAAGGCATATCTTTACTATATTCGTCCCAAAGAACTTCTTATAATGATAATATAATCGTTATTAAGATATTTTTACCCCGCAACTATACGCGAACTTAATATTTCCGTTTTTCTTATATATTTATTTATTTATTCCTTCATTATTATTTTATATAATAAAAGTTTAACTGTACATTCAATCCAATAAGTTTATGTTCAATTTCGTAAGTGAAGCTTGTAAATCACTAAATGCTCTGGTTGGAGAAATAATTACAAAAATTTTTTTCTTTCGTTGAATGGTTTTTCTCGTCACGAATGGCCTTCGACTACTTGTACAGTAAATATATATATATACAAGATCTACTTAATACGGCAATAAGTCAGGTTTTACTCAGTACGGTATTCCTTGAAACAAGTGATTCAAGTAAACCACTTTAGAATTAAACAGCAATTTATATATTTACATAAATAGCTCGAAAGTAATTAAAATATTCGTCGCGATAAACTCGCAAAAAAAGTCATTAAAAATATGTCATTGAAAATCCAGTAGCAAAGAGTTAATGAATGAAGCAATCCTTAAATGCCATTAAAGAAGATGTCTACTTAAAAAAAAATATCTGTTTGCTAAAAATATTTAAAAATTTTCTTTCAAAATATTTTATTAAATATTTTTAATAGAATACAATAATTATCTCAAATTTTGTAATTTATAAAATAAACATTATTGAAACAAAATAAATTATAATTAAAAAAAAAAACAGTGGAATAAACAATGTTTGTTAAAATATGCCAGAATTCTGTTCTTTTATTTATAAGTTTAACAGTTCCTCAACTTCTTATTTCTTTTTATTTCCTATCACACCTGTTTTTAATGAATCTATTATTAATCCTCACGAAAGCCTGAAAAACTGCGACTATCGACTCGACAAACATATTCCTCAACCAAATACAGACACTATACCTGTTGAATACATCTCAACGTTTCGTAGTCCTCGGCAGGTAAATCATTCACAAATAAAAAGAAATACATTTCTAAATGGAAAAACAGCAGAACGTCATCTCATTTATTACCTTTTTTTTTGCATCAATAAATTAAATTCTGACATATGAAGAAGGAAAAAAAAACCCATAAAATACAAACAATATTGAAGAATATTTAAATAATATTTTTCAATAATATCAAGATGAGTTTAAATGATTTTCAAATTGACACAAATGATTTAGAAGATTGCAATTTCCTATAATCAATAAATTTTTCTTTTTTTCAAAGAGAATGCCTTTGAATAAAACTGACCTGTCTCTGCCAATGTTGTATAAAATCCAAATGCGAAAAATATTTGTATTATCATCATTTTTCTTAGAGTAACACTTCCATGAATAAACCACCACTGATCACACGCCATATTTAAAAAGCTAAGGAAAATTTGTCCTTAAAAACAAATCAAGTATCACATTAACAAAAGTTTCGGAACATGCGCGTCCGCGGACTTGCTTGTCGCCAAGTCCGCGAGATTAAAAAATAATTACTGAAGAAAATTGAAATTGAAATTATTTGTTTTGTTTTTCTTTTTTTGAAAATAAAGCAACAGGCGCCTACACTGCGCGTTACAAGACGACGACAAATGGAAGGACTTTCTTCCACGAAATACGGAATACAAGATAGGACTTTGGGAGACTCTCTGCTGTTAAACCGGTACTTGGGAACTTAAACATCGACCTGCAGCGCGCTCAGACACACGACAACTGACCAGAATAAATATACAAAACGTCTCCGCCGAGAACTTCTTTTTTTTCTCTCTCTCTCTCTCTCTCTCTCTCTCTCTCTCTCTCTCTCTCTTTCTCTCTCCTTCTCTCCACTAATGTCACACAATTAAAAATAAATCTAATTATATTTTTTATCACTATACCTGCATTTGATTTTTCTTACGAACTTTTTTCCATTTTCAAAAATTTCTTCCAATTGTCCCCTTTTTTGTTTTAATATTTGCATTAATTTTCCAAATTAATATTGTCTATAAATTTCTTGTTTAAAAATGGTTCCGACTTGTTGAAATCCTTCAAAATTCGATGATCAAGACAATAACAATAAATCGTATTAATAATTATATACAAAAACTTAAATTTGGTTTGATAAATAAATTTCATAATAAATAATAATATAAAAAATATAATAATAATAAGTACTAATAAAAAACAAAATTGAAAATTTAATAAGAAAAACTTACCATAAAATTGTGATTCATCTTATGACGTAAAAATTTATAACGCTGGAGGCTATTGTTTGTTTTTATAATTATTATCCGTTATTCGTTGAATAAGATTAATTATTCTTGAAATTCCATTTAATTGTAATTTGCAAAATTTTTTCAAATCCATTTAATGTTGTCGAGAAATACATGACAAAATAAATCGCACTTCATTTCAATTTTCTTCTCAATATGTCAAATTAATTATTGATATTCTTCAACAATGCATAATGTAGTTAAATAACAATGCAAAAATAAATTGTAAAGAAATGTTTAAAATTCCATTTAATAAACAAATGCCAATATTTTTCTTGATTAACCTCAAATACTGACACATGTTGACATTTGTTAACACCGTTAACACTCATTGTAGACTGCACATTTGACACTTTTTCACTAAACAAATACCATAGTAACTATAATAGTACCAAGCACTACTATTAAATATTATTTAAACCATCACACAATTTATAAATATTGTCAAATAATGATAAAATCAAATGCAATAAAAAGTTGTTATGATTTAAACTTTTTGACAGTTAGCGCCATTTTATTTGGAGACAGCGTCATCTGTCAGTTATAATAGAAACTTCTTAACTGTTTGACCATCCGTAAAATCTGAAAAAAGATATCACAATTAATACAAAATTCAAAAGAATTATATAAATTTTCTTAAAATTTTCAAAGAAATTTATTGTAGAATAAAAAATATAAGAAATAAACAATAAAATCAGTTTTCTGGACAAGTTTTGAATTTTCAAATTTTACCGCCATTATTTGAACACTTGATAACTGGACAATCTACTATTTTCATTGTCGGTTAAAAAGATTTTCATTGTAGGTATAAACAACAAAACTTGTTTGTACCGCAACCACCATGTCAAGAAGCAAGTTCCCGTCAAAAGGATGTAGAAAGAAACTTGATGTTGAAGAGAGTAGACCTTGTCATCCGGGTTACTTATTTTAAAAAAAGGTGAATTTACTAATAATAATAGTGGTACCTGTGATTATTTAAGAACAAGTGCAATAAGTTGACAATAAGGAAAAATCTTGATAATGTGACGTTTTTTTGAAAAAGAGCGGTGAATGACCCCGTTGAATGGCATCTTCTTCTTCAAGTATTAGTGTGAGTACTATATACCTTTTATATATATTCCATACGCACTTGCATACCTGTGCTTTCCCACGGGAAAAAGTAATTTATTAATAAGAGCATCACTGTTTAATGACCTCTTGTATATGCGTAAAGAATTAACTCTAATTTACTAAAAGAGGATGTATCATCCCTTATTTTCATACGATTGAATCTGAAACAAAACGTTCAAGTCCTTTTTATTTTCTTACGGTATAGAATAAATATTATATGTTTAAAATTGATTTGTTTAATTTCAATTGATAATAATGTTTCATATTTATAAGTATACAGATTTTTAATGGAAATGATATTTAATTATGAATTATATATTACGAGATTGGAATTTGAATTATAAATTGCTTTTCTATTATTAATTATTTATATTTTTTAAAATATTTTAACTGAATTACTAATCGTTTTTTCGTAATTAACATATTAATTTATATCAAAATATAATTCGATTGAACATGTTTAATCAAGGGGAAATAATTTCAATTTCATCCCTAAACAATTTGAATCGCATTAAAATAACATCATGTTTAATGAATATTTATATTTAATTTAAATTTTTCTCCCCCTATAAATTTAAATATTTCCAATTAAAATATTAATTTTTTTTTTATTATTAAAGCGTTGTAAAAATGTACGATGAAACAATTATTGATTATATAATAATATTTTGTTCCCTAAAAAATAGAACTAATAATAGAATGTGTTTTTAGTAAAAAGAACTTGACCAGTCAATGTGTGCTTGGGGTTAAAAAAGTTTCGACGAAGGACAAGGACCGCCACGCGCTAGACAAATCAATATTTGAAGGGTAGCGACGGGCGTCGTATATAGTCACGATACATGACTCACCCCCATGAAGATGAGGTCTCTCACTTGTACCTCTCGCTTGTTATCATGTCTCTACAACCACTCAAGTGCTTCTTTCTAATTAAGCCGCACTTTTCACTTGGAAAGAAGCAGCTCACATTTTCGATATTGATCCCCATAATATATATATATATGACAACGAACAATGCACAAAGAAGCCACGTGCTTCGTCATATAATCCCCAAAAGATTACATCGAAATTCCCTCTTTTTTCTCGTAAATTCCATGTACAATTGATTTTTTTTCGAGATTTATTTTCATTTAGGGCGTTGATGTTTGCCCAACGAAACTCTCATTTAAATTCACTCCAATTCACTATTCTCAAAACTTGTTCTTATTCAATAATTTTTTAAAAAAATTATTTTCAATTTTTACTTTATTTTAATTATTACAAATTAATTTTTTTAATTAAAATATTTTTTATTATATTTAATTCAAATTTGCATTTATTTAAAAGTAAAATTATTGAATTGAAACAATTTTGTTTAAATAAAGAAAACTTTTGACGATTTTCTTTTTTTTTTGTTCTTTACCTAATTGAGATATCTGAAAGAATTCGAGAAATCTTTTTTTTTATAAAGTCATCGACAAAATGCTAATTTGAAATGTTTTCTTCAAGGTGTAAAATTGTAGGCACCTTCGGTCCCATTTGAAAACGATAGGAACAGGTTCTATAAAATTCTTCCATGAAACGCTACAACACGCTTTTATCGTGAGTACGCATCAGACGCGATATTATAACTCACACTGGGCCGCCAAATTTTATTTGAATACAAAACTTCTTTTTATATCAATATTATCTCTCTCTCGTGTGTGTTGTAATAATTTAAAAATATTTCCTTTTCACACACCAATTTGGTTGTTCTGGTTCAGTGATGAAAAAATTATTTTTTTTCCGCCTGTTTTGCACACAGGAAAAGGATGAACCCTCGCAAAAATCACCCTCTATATAAACCGACTCACATTCTCCTCTCACTCTCTTGTCTATATCCTGATTGAAAAGACCTTGAGAGAAAGAGAGTGAGTTAAAGAAGGGATGCTTTAGGTTCACACGTGCGGTTATTATAATAGTCTCGGTTCCCTTTTTACAAAGGTTTACTGACTTATTTTTTGAAGAGGAAAAAAATGTTCTACAATTTCTTCGAATTTTTATTTTATTTAAATTTGTCTTATGACAATTTTTTCTATTTTTCTAAAATTGAAAATTCCTTTTATGGAAAAAATATTTCTTAAATGGAAATTAATTTGACTTTAGAAAAATTTGTTTATTTTAATTTTTTCTATTTTTCTAAAATTGAAAATTTCTCTTATGGAAAAAATATTTCTTAAATGGAAATTAATTTGACTTTAGAAAAATTTGTCTATTTTGTATTCGGAAAAAAATAGCTATCGATTTCAACTATTATTAGGTCTAATTTTCGATTTTGAAACAACTTTTGAAAAACGATCCAGATTCCAATACAAGGGCTTATAATTAATAGTTCCCGGGGCATCTTTTTTTTCCTCCAAATCCCCCTCGCTATTCCCCCGCTGATTTAGTGTTTGGAGCGAGCCGTTAAAAAATAATACACCTATCCTCATCCTTCTGTATATCGTATAGCCTGAAGCGTTTTCTGGTCGTCTGCACGCCAGAACCATGATCACCCGTCTAAATGAAAGTTCTTTTGCAAAACCGGCCCACCTTTATTTCTTTTTAATCCTCGTTTTTTTTTTTTTTTTTTTTCTTTCTTTTATCCTTCCTCTGTTCTTCGTTTCTTCTCGCATACACTTGCGAGTTGTGGCGCGGAGTGCAAAATTCGGTCTTGCAATTGGACGCATATTTTTGCCGGGTGTACGTATGTCGTCCAACGTCGTTTTACAATTGGTAATATAGCCTTGAGCGTAAAACGAGAACGCGAGAGGATCGCGTTTCTTATGGTCACTCATGGTATTATACGATAAGAACAAGACTCGAAGGTATAAAAGAAGGGAATGAACGAGGAAACGATTCTCATAATGCGTACGTTGAATGCATACCAATATCTCGTGATCTTTTTAATCTTTTCATCTTTTCTAGCAGAGATAGAGAGAAACGCGAATCCGTTTATATAAATAAATTCTTGTTAAACCCATCTGAGTTTTCAACATATTTCTTTAAATTAAAAATTTCTTTCAATAATTCTTTTTTCAAAATCCATTTTATTTTTAATTTCAAGAAATTTAATATTGATATTTATTTTTCAGGAATTTTTAATTTTAATTTAATTAATTTAATTTTTTTAATCCTATTTATTTTTATTTTATTTTTCAAATTTGAAAACTATATTTTTATTAAAAAATAAATTTTTTACACACAAAATAATTGAAAAAAAATTAATATTGTTATTTATTTATCAGGAATTTTTAATTCTTTTTTTTTAAATCCTATTTATTTTTATTTTATTTTTCAAATTTGAAAATTATATTTTTATTACAAAATATTAAAAAAAAAAATTTCTAGACACAAAATAATTGAAAAAAAATTAATATTGTTATTTATTTATCAGGAATTTTTAATTCTTTTTTTTAAATCCTATTTATTTTTATTTTATTTTTCAAATTTGAAAATTATATTTTTATTACAAAATATTAAAAAAAAAAATTTCTAGACACAAAATAATTGAAAAAAAATTAATATTGTTATTTATTTATCAGGAATTTTTAATTCTTTTTTTTAAATCCTATTTATTTTTATTTTATAATTCAAATTTGAAAATTAGGTATATTTTTATTAAAAAATAAATTTTTTACACACAAAATAATTGAAAAAAATTAATATTGTTATTTATTTATCAGGAATTTTTAATTCTTTTTTTTAAATCCTATTTATTTTTATTTTATTTTTCAAATTTGAAAATTATATTTTTATTAAAAAAAAAATTTCTAGACACAAAATAATTTCAAGAAAATTAATATTGATCTTAATTTTTCAGAAATTTTTAATTCTAATTTAATTTAATTTTTTTTAATTCTTTCTTTAAAAATCCTATTTATTTTTATTTTTCAAATTTGAAAATTATTTTTTTATTTAAATATATCGAAAAAAAATTTCTCAAATAATTTCAAGAAAATTAATATTGGTATTTATTTTTCAGGAGGAAAATGTTATCAACATCATCATCACTAAAAAAATTTGACTGAGAGAATGGAGAGAAAAAGCACAAAATATGAAAATCTGTAAAATTGTGACATGACAAGAACAATATGGATTGTTCTCTGCCTAACAGGCTTTTGCACAACATTGGCCGAATGCTACCTGGCTGTTTTATCATCCGATTTACGTCCAGGAAGCATTGTTTTCGAAGCCGGTGTACCACAATTGGGAGGAAAACGAAAATACGAAGTATCAACCGATCGAACAGCATGGTTCGCAAGAAAATTACTAAAAGTACATTCGCACACAGGACGCGTTACACTAGCGAGAAATTTAAATTGTGATGGTCTACAGTATCCACGTTTATTTACATTCTATGTGGATTCCACCAGTTCAAGACTCGGTAGACCAATGATAGATTACTATAGTCTACCGTTGAGAGTTTTAATAACAGGATGCGGTGGTGAAAATCAAGATCTCGCAGCAACTACCGGTTGGATGGCAGAAACCCTTGCATCCTATGCAATGCCAAGTACAGATAAATTCACCGAGGTCTGTTTAAGAACATCACAATTAATAGCGGCGTTGAGTGATTTTTTACCACACACGGCAATAAAGGAATGTCAAACAAAATGGGTAGGTGTGACTGATCCAAGATTTTTAATCGAAAGTGGAACTGGTGATTTAGTATCAGCAACGGAACAATGTTTAAAAGATCCATTGTGGAAAATATCAGTGTCAATGTCATTGAAATGTGAATCACCACATTTGTCCGACGCTGAACATAGATTGAAAATTGTTTTTCATCATCAACAATTAGATGATTCCGATTTGGGTAGAAGAGTGCGTCGGGAATTACGTAATCAATCACCATTTTTTGAGCAACCACTTTATGTTGCCACAGTTGAGGAGGAGAAAGAACCTGGTGAATCGGTGACTGTTGTTCGTGCAAAAGATCCCGAAGGTGGATTGGTTAGATATTCGATGACTTCGCTTATAAATGAAAGATCAACGTCACTTTTTCTTTTGGATCCAGTGACGGGTAGAGTGACCACTCGTGCACGATTGGATCGTGAAAGTTTGGAAGTTCACTATTTTCGTGTATCGGCTGTTGATGATTCATTTCCACCGAGAACTGGTACAACAATGATGCAAATCAATGTTTTGGATGTGAATGATCATGAACCAAATTTTGAATGGCCGGAATATGAGGCTTCAGTACGCGAAAGTGTACCAGTTGGATCGACTGTTGTTGTTGTTAAAGCGACTGATAAAGATACGGGAAGAAACGCTGAAGTTGAATACGCAATTGTTTCAACAGCCGGTGGTGGAATTACTTCAATCTCGGAAGATTCGTCAACATTTCGAATTGACGCCAGGTGAGTTTATTTATCACAATTTTGAAGAAATTATAAATTAATTATTAATTGCTGTAATATTTTTCAGATCTGGAGTTGTTTCAACACGATCAGCACTCGATCGAGAGAAAACAGAGGTCTATACAGTAATTTTAAGAGCCTCGGATCTTGCCACACCGCCCTCGGCAAGAAAATCAGCAACAACAACCCTTGTTGTACGTGTTTCAGACGTCAATGATAATTATCCACAATTTTCCGAGAGAACTTATTCGGTAACTGTACCCGAAGATCTTGATTATACAAATGATCCAATTATTGCTAGAATACGTGCCACTGATGATGATAGTGGAAATAATGCTGCTGTACGTTACAATATTATTGGTGGAAATTTACAAAATACATTCTCAATAGATTCGCAGAGTGGTGATGTTAGTTTAGTGAAAAATTTGGATTATGAGAATGCAAAAAATTATCGTATTGTTGTTAGAGCACAGGATGGTGGAATGCCAGCGAGATCAAATACAACACAATTATTGATTCATGTTAAGGATATTAATGATAATCCACCGAGATTTTATACGAGTCTTTTTCAAGAAGCTGTTTCCGAGGGCGAACCAGTTGGTTATAATATTGTTCGTGTACAAGCATACGATGCTGATGAGGGTGTAAATGCTCAAATTAGATATGTTATTGGATCGAGAGATTTTTCTGGTGCATCAACGGAGAATTTTCCAATTGCCGTTAATGCTGAGACAGGATGGATTTATACTGTCAAACAATTGGATCGAGAATTGTGTTCAAAATATCAATTTTCGGTGATTGCCAGCGATTCCGGTGAGCCACCACAATCGGCGAGTGCTTCTGTGATACTAACTGTCACCGATGTCAATGATAACGATCCTTATTTTGATCCGAAAAATTATGAGGTTGTTGTTTCCGAAGATGTACCGGCGGGTACACCGTTAACTTCAGTCACTGCTACTGATCCCGATGAGGATTCACGAATTCATTATGAAATCACAGTTGGAAATACAAGAGGTGAATATTAATATTTTTTTATTTATCAAAATCAAATTTCGAAATATTACAATAATTTTTTCATTGTAGGTCGTTTTTCAATTACTTCACAAAATGGTCGTGGATTGATAACAGTTGCTCAAATGCTTGACTATAAGCAGGAGAAAAGATTTGTTCTGACTGTGACGGCAACTGATACAGGTGGAAGAAGTGACACTGCTCTTGTTTATGTGAACGTGTCGGATGCAAATAATTTTGCACCTGTTTTTGAAAGAGCTCCATATTCAATATCAGTGTTTGAGGATGCACCAATTGGAACGACTGTTTTAATTGTTGGAGCCACTGATTCAGACGTTGGACAAAATGCTCAAATCACGTATAGTTTGGGAAGTGATGGCGGTGATCAGGAACCAGCTGAATTTATTATAAATCCACAAACAGGAGCAATTACAACAACACGACTTTTAGATCGTGAACAAGTTTCTGGATATTTATTGACTGTCACTGCTCGCGATGGTGGTGTACCACCATTGTCCGATACGACTGATGTTGAAATTTCCATCACCGATGTCAATGACAATGCTCCTTCATTCGAGTCCTCACAATATCATGGTTCTGTTATTGAAGATGTTTTGGTTGGTACCAGCGTGCTGAAAGTTACAGCAATTGACAATGATATTGGACTGAATGGAAAAGTGAGTAATTTATTAATTTTGTTATTCTTTATCATTAATCAATTCTTTTTTTAGGTACGTTATAGTTTGGAAGACAACCTGGACGGTGCATTTGTAATTGATCCTGTAACCGGAGTGATACGAACAGCAAAAACACTGGATCGAGAATCAGTGGAACGGTACAATATAAAAGCAGTTGCTGTCGATAGAGGTTCACCATGTTTGTCATCATCTGTACCTGTGATAATAAAAGTCGAGGACATCAATGATTCACCACCAGCTTTCGAGAGTGATAAAATAATACTTTACATTGCTGAAAATTCACCAATTGGTTCAATAGTTGGTGAAATTTATGCTCATGATCCAGATGAAGGACCAAATGCAGTTGTACAATATTCAATTATTGGCGGAGAGGATGCAAATAGTTTTCAATTACATACAAGACCGGGAGCTGATCGTGCCGAATTAATGACACTCGACGAATTAGATTACGAATCATCGAAGAAAAAATACGAATTAGTTATACGTGCCGCTTCGCCTCCATTAAGATCCGATGCACTTGTACAAATACTCGTGACTGATGTCAATGATAATGCACCAGTTTTAAAAGATTTTCAAATAATTTTCAACAATTTCAAGGATTTTTTCCCAAAGACTGCGATTGGTAAAATACCCGCTATTGATGCGGACGTTACTGATAAATTGATATACAATATTCTTGCTGGTAATAATGCGAATATGATTTCATTGAATAAGACAACGGGGGAAATTACACTCTCACCACAATTGAATACAAATGTACCGAGAATTGCAACAATGGAAGTTTCTGTGACAGATGGTGTTAATGAAGTAAAAGCAATGATGACACTTTCGGTTAGATTAATTACAGATAAAATGTTATTTAATTCAATTACTGTGCGTTTGGACGATATGACTGTGGAGGCATTTTTAAGTCCACTTTTTGGATATTTTCTAGATGGTCTAGCAGCAATTATACCGTGTCCAATTGAAAATATATTTATATTTAGTCTGCAAGAGGATACGGATGTTCATGGAAAAATTTTGAATGTCAGCTTTTCGGCCCGTAGAGTTGAACCGGGTGCCGTTGATGAATTTTATAGTCCACAATTTTTACAGGAACGTGTTTATCTAAATAGAGGAATATTGGCAAGATTGGCACGAGTTATTGTGATGCCATTTGATGATAATTTGTGTGTTCGAGAACCATGTTTAAATTTCGAGGAATGTATAACTGTATTAAAATTTGGTAATGCTTCCGGTTTTGCAAGTAGTGATACTGTTTTGTTTCGTCCTATTTATCCAGTGACGACATTTTCATGCCAATGCGGAAAAGGATTTACCGGTAGTCGTGAATCGTATCTTTGCGATACGGAAGTTAATCTTTGTTATTCGAATCCTTGCAAGAATGGTGGTACGTGTCAACGAAAAGAAGGTGGATACAGTTGCACCTGTCCTGTGAATTATATTGGCGACAATTGTGAAATTTCTCTAGAGAACGATGCATGTTTACCCGATCATTGCAAAGGAGGTTCGCAATGTCAAATAAAGACGAATGGTGGATTTATTTGCGAAGCGTGTCCAATAGTTCCTTTGGAAAATGTGACACCTCTTTGTGAATTGCGAGCTAGAAGTTTTAATCCAACGACGTTTTTAACATTTCCTTCTTTGAAGCAAAGACATCGATTTCATATAACATTGAAATTTGCCACTGAAAATGTAAATGGACTTTTATTGTACAATGGACGGTATAATGAGAAACATGATTTTGTTGCTTTGGAGATTGTTGAATCGCAAATTGAATTTAGCTTCTCGTTGGGCGATGAAGTGACAAGAGCAACGGCGAGGATTCCTGGTGGTGTATCCGATGGTGAATGGCATCGGGTGGAAATATCCTACATCAATCGAACGGTTATTGTATCTTTGGATAATTGTGATGTAGCTTTGGCATTGAAATACGGCGAGAAATTGGGAGCAAAATGGAATTGTGCGGGTAGAAGTGAACAAATGTTGGAAGCAAGATGTAATATTGTCACCGAGACTTGTCATCGTTTTCTCGATTTGACGGGTCCTTTACAATTGGGCGGCTTACCGGCAATTCCATCGAGTTTTCAGGTTCGAAATAAGGATTACACGGGATGTATCAGTGATTTTTATATTGATCATCAGTTAATTGATTTGAATTCCTATGTTGCTGATAATGGAACAATGATCGGGTGTCCTGAGAAGAGGGCTTTTTGTGAATCAACACCTTGCTATCACGGTGGTAAATGTCGTGAAATTTATTCCGGATATGTTTGCGAATGTGAGGAAGGATTCAGCGGTCCTCAATGCAGTGATTCGGTTATAAAACCCTGGCGATTTCAAGGCGATGGTCTATTGAATTTCAATCCTCTTTTGAGATTGATTCAACTTCCTTGGGTGACTGGATTCAGTATTCGAACAAGAGAACAGAATACATTTTTAATGAGTGTACAAATCGGACAGAATAGTTCAACTGTTTTTGAGATTAAAGACGGTAAGGTTATTGTCACTCTCGATGGAATGGAAATTATAAGTACTTGGATAAAAATTGCCGATGGTGAATGGCATCGAATTGAAGTTATCTGGCAAAGTGGACAAGTGTCACTTGATATTGATTTTCGTAATCGACCGATTATTGCATCTTTGCTTGCTAAATTACATGGATTGTATATTGGAAAAATTCTCATCGGTGGTGTTGATGAGACAATATCGACAGATCAGCCATTTTTCAGTGGATGTATTCAGGATGTGCGAATTGGAACAAATCAAACGATTCTCCAGGAACCGACTATAGAGCGAAATGTCTACAATGATTGTATAAGTCACGAAGAATGTCGATCGGATTGTCCAGAGACGGCAATTTGTGTGAAAAAATGGGAAGCAAGTGAATGCGAATGTGGCAAAGGACACGTGGGTCAAAATTGCGAACGTGTCTGTGATGTAAATCCTTGTAGTGATTCTGGAAGTTGTGTGGAAGATTTTTATCTAGAAAGAGGATATAAATGTGAATGTAATTCAGCGGAATATTCCGGTGAATATTGCGAAGTGAAAGCTGATCAACCATGTCCGTCGAATTGGTGGGGTTCGCCAGTTTGTGGTCCGTGTGATTGTGACGAATCAAGGGGTTATGATCCCTCTTGCAATAAAACAACTGGCGAATGTTATTGTAAGGAGAATCATTATCAATTACCAGGTCAAGATGAATGCATTCCCTGTGATTGTTATTTGACCGGAAGTTTTAGTCCTCGTTGTGATGCGGAAAATGGACAATGTCCCTGTAGACCAGGCGTCAGTGGAAGATCGTGTACAGCTTGTCCAACAGCTTTGGCTGAAGTGACACTCGAAGGTTGTCAAGTTGTTTACACAGGTTGTCCAAGATCCTATGCACAGGGACTCTGGTGGAATCGAACCGATTTTGGATCAATGGCTTTGGCTCTTTGTCCAGGCAAGGCTATTGGTAAAGCATCGCGTTCCTGTGATGATGAACTCACTAGTTGGCAACCACCTGATTTATTCAATTGTACTTCTGAAGCTTTTATTAAATTGCGAGAAAAATTGGCAGATCTGGAGATTAAATTGAAAATATTGAATACCTATGAGGCTATACAAACGGCGAATGATTTACATTATGCAATGAGTATTACGAAAAATATGTATGGAGCCGATGTATTGGTTGCTGAATCATTATTGACAATGTTATTGCATTATGAAGAAAGTTTACATGGTTTAAATTTAACTCACAGTCAAGATAAGGATTATGTTTTTCATTTAATCAGCATTGCCGGTGAAGTATTGAGAGCGAAACATCTTGATAGTTGGAGTAGAATTGAATCTCTTACAGAAAATGGACCAGAGACTATTTTAGAAGCAATGGACAATTATTTGAAAACTTTAACAGCTTCACAGCAAGATACATTCACGAGTCCTTTTGAAGTTGTCAATCCTAACGTTGGTAAGAAAATATTTTTAATAAATATAAATATTTTTATATAATAGAAATTTTTTTTTAATTAATTGTTTAAAATTATTTCAGTTCTTGGTTTGGATGTTATTACATCGGAAAGTTTGTACGGTTTTGAGGCAATGGAATACAAGGAAGATCCAACGATTTCAACATCGAGACCATTTGATGCTGATAAAAGAGTTGTTCTTCCAGATACATCAGCATTTTTAACAACACCAAATCATCTCGGTCAATCAGTTGGTTTTCCAAAGTACAACAATTATATGGCTGATCCAAAAAAATTTGATCCATACTCCAAAGTTCATGTACCAGTAAAACTTTTGGGAATCAAGACCGTTGATCATGGTGATCTTAATGTAAAAAATAGTTTGAATGGAGGAAAAGCAATTTTGAGTTATGTTCAATATCGAGAATTGGGAGCATTATTGCCTCGCAGGTAAATTTTAAATATTTTTATTTAAATTAAAAAATTGTAATTTTAGTGGAAATATTAATTAATTAATTATTTCTAGATTTGATGACTCAGTGACTGTTAGATGGGGCGTTGAAGTAGCAGTTGGTTCTCCAATTATAACCGTATCAGTTTTAATTCCATCGGAAAATGGATATAAATCTCTGAGTGGCGTTCCCCTTCAATCGCCAGTTCAAGTTCGTTTATGGCTCAGCGAAGATGATGGTTCGAAAACACGAACAAATCCTCAATGTGTACATTGGAGTACAGCAAGAGGGTAATTATTATTAAATTATTCCTTATTTCCACTTTCTTAGTTTTTATTTATTAAATAAAATTTTTTGCTTCAGATTTGGCGAATGGAGTCGAATGGGCTGCACAACAGAGATTGATGATGACACAAATATCAAGGAAGGACGAATGGTGAATTGTTCATGTGTAACATTATCGACATTTGCCGTTTTAACTGATGTTTTAGATCTTGAATATGTGCCAGAACCATCGTTACTTGAGGATGTGACGAGTTATAGTGCTTTTATGCTCGCTTTACCATTATTATTGTCAGCTTTACTTATTTTGGCATTGATCCGTGGAACTGCAACCAATTCAAATAGTATTCACAAGAATTTAGTATTCTGTGTATTTATTGCTGAATTATTATATTTAATTGCATTAAAAGCAAGAAATCCACTTGTTGCAAATGAATTTCCCTGCAAGCTTATTGCCATTGGATTACATTACACTTGGCTTAGTGCATTTGCTTGGACTTTAGTCGATTCTATTCATTTGTATAGAATGTTGACTGAAATGAGAGACGTGAATCATGGTCAAATGAGATTTTATTATACAATGGGCTATGGATTCCCGGCAATTATTGTTGGCTTAAGCATTGGTGTTCGAGCTGATCAATATGGAAACTTTTACTTGTAAGTTGAGTAAAAAAAATTGTTTTTTAATTTTTGCATTAAATTAAAAATTTCTCTTTTTTAGTTGCTGGCTGTCAATTTATGAAACAGTGATTTGGGCAATGATTGGTCCAATATGCATTGCGATTTTCTTTAATTTTTGCATATTGATAATGTCCGTTCGCGCGGCATTTACACTAAAGGAACATGTCTTAGGTTTTGGAAATCTAAGAACTCTTTTGTGGTTGTCGGTTGCTTCATTGCCATTGCTAGGTGCCACATGGACCCTGGCTGTTCTCAGTGCCTCGGAAAATTCGCCTACATTATCTTATGTATTTAGCGTTGCCATTGTCATTCACGCTGCCTTTAGTCTAATTGGCTATTGTTTTATCAACAGTCGTGTTAGGAGAAATTTGTATCTAAGTATATTGAGATGTCTTGGAAAAAAGACTCCACTTTTGGAGGGTAGCGTGGGAAATGCAAGTAGCAATCAGAATATAAATAGCCATTCGGTAAGAATTTTTTTTTTGGTAAAATTTTTTTATTGTCTGTAAGATAAAATTTTTAATTTGGTAATTTTTTTTTAGCGATCTGCATTGGCATATTCCTCAGCGTACAGCGGAACGGAATCCGTGTGTAGGAGAGTTCACGTTGGAATTTCAACAAGTAGTACAACTTCAAGAAGTACAAATAAGACTGGTTCGAGTCCTTATCGAAGTGACGCGCATCTTCGTCATACATCAACATCCACGAGCAATTATAATAGTGATCGCGATCCGTATACGTCGTCCAGGGGTCAACATTCAAATTTACATTCTCGACAAGGTTTGTGTAAAAAAAATTTATTTTACACAGAAATTATTCTTGATTTGCAAATTAATTATTTACAGAAGGCGGTGATCAACGTAGAGACTCGGAATCCGATTCGGATGGCTCGCAAGCCGATGGAGGAGGCGGTAGAAGTTTAGATTTAGCAAGTTCACACAGTTCGGATGATGAAGATGTCACTTCAAAATCGCACAAAAATATAGGCGTCTCAACGCAACAACCAGTAACGCACAGCTATCTTCCGAATATTCACAGTACTGCCACTGAACATTTGAACATTATTTGTTCAAATACAGAACTATTTCCGAATATCAAGCCAATTTATGCTCCAAGGTGGAGTTCACAGCTACCTGAAGCATATCTGCCATCAAATGGTAATTTATTTTTTTTTTCTTTGGTAATAATTATTTTTATTTTCAAACTATATATTTTTTTTTTAAACAGTAGATATTCGTGGAAGTCAATGGTCGGGCGGTACAATTTCGGACAATGAAATAGCCTCAAATAAAACGTCAAGTCCAAATCCGTTGCCTTATCCTGATATAAATTCGCCTATGAAGATGAATCAGATGGATGAAAATTGTTCCGAGGTGGAGGAGAAATTACATCATGTCGGTGAAAAATATCTTTTTCCTTATACAGCTGAAGAAGATCATACAGTGTCACCAACGCCATATTTATTGTCAATGTCATCGAGAATATTAAATTCAAGTATGAGTCATCATTCACAAAATTCAAATCATGAAAATATAAGTGGTGGTTCTGAGAGATATGGTAGTTTAAAGAGAGGACAAAGTTTACATGGTTCGCAACATGATAATTTGAATGGTAATAATACAGATAGATATGGAAGTTTAAAACGTGGAAAAATAACACCGACAGTATTGGAGGGTAAACCCGAATATATTTTGCCAATGAGCGATAGAATATTAGCTAGTTCACTTACTCATGATTTGCAATATAGCAATGAATTAGCTGCACTCAGAGAACAACAACAACCAGAATATAAACAAACTATCGCCGAGGCAGAGTGAGTAACCTTTTTAAAAAAAATAATAATAATTATAGCAATAATATCATAATAGTAATAATTAGAAATTCATAAAAGTTAAAAATTAATAATTTGATTAATTAATTAAATTAATAATTAATGCTTTGATTAAATTTAATAAAATAAATTAACTTTTTGGCATATCAAAAATTCCAGAAATGATAACATTTTAATTATTTTGTAATACCTTGATAATAATTTGGTTTTGGATGTAATATTGGTCTGACATTAGATGGTGTTGGAACGTTCTTAACTAACTGTATTGTCTTTTCTGTATTCTGCTTTCCTCAACGAATGATGCGATACTTCAGTGAAGAGGTACGAATGTTTTTAAATTATAATTCACCTGCAACAATTATTTTTGTCGAAAATTAATACTCTCATGCTAAGAAAGAACTTACATAAGCAATGATGATTCTATTATTCCTTACGTAAGTTCTCTATCAGAATAAAGTTACAAAAAAAATTCATGTTTTAATTTTGTTTTGAGTCAGAAATTTTTTTAAAGAAACAAACTAAAATTACGAATAATTAAATATCGAAAAAATAAATAACACTGTTTTTCTCATTTCAGGAAGGATATTAATGCTGAAACGTCCGTCTGACAATCTTCACTTACAAAAAAAAAAAGAAAAAAAAATCGTACAAAGAAATATTTTAGAGTATCCATTTTACAAAAAAAAGTATAAAAAAAAGTTTTAGCATTATAATAATATATTTTAGGCAGTGGCCATGACTGTGCTTTAATGCGTAGCCATATAATGATTAGCAAAGTATGTGTGAGTGCCTATTTGTATTAACTTCGCAAAAAGAAAAGCTTAAATATTTCTACTTTGATATTAATTAATAATTATAAGTAAACATGAATTTTCTTTTTGATAAAGCTCATTTTTAGAAATCCGGATTCGTCGTTGACAATTGTCTGCACACTGTAGGTAAAAAAAAGTATGTATGATGATGAATGTATGTATGTAAGTAAATTGATAAGACTGGATTCTTTTATATTAAAAAAAACAAAACAAAGAAATTCAGTTTTGATCAACTATATAAGTATTAATTGCAATCAAATTCTCGACTGAAAGACAATTGTATTTAAACGAATTCCGGTGTAAACTCATGATCTCTAGCTCATTTTGTCTTGTGTATGTACTTAATATTTGTAAAACTTTGTACCTTACTTTTTGTAATTCAGTACTGTGCAATGTATACATTCCCAGTGATTTTTTTTATATAATTATTTAAAGTTTTTCCATTTCTCTTTTTACATGCCAAGCAAATTCGTAAAAAAGAAAGGGAGAAAAAAAACGAAACTTATAATAAGTGTCATATAATACTCAAAAAAAAACTTTTTGTATATATTTATATACGAAGAAATTCGAAAAAATACAAATAATTTATATATACCTTGAAAATGGGCTTTTTTTTAATATAAAATACCTGACTTTCTTTATATATATATATGGCTTATTTTTCAAATTATGACTTTCATTTTTTTATGTCAGTTAATTGGCGCTAATTCTCCGATTTTACACATAGTTATTAAAAATGACTTTTTATTCTTATTTGAAAATATAAATAAATTACAATAGGATTAATACTCGGAAGAGTGTCGTCATTAAAAAGTAAACGATTTCAAAATGGAAACGCGTTAAAATGAAAAGTGATTACTAAAATAGATAAGATATACAATGATTTGAAGGGTAAATGATTCGATTTTTTCATTATTAGAGAATATTTGTGTGAAATTTCAAATTTGATGGAACGCGCAAAAATTATTGACTTTTAATATATAATAATATTTATATATATAAATTTATATTTCATCAAAACTAATTTGATTGCGCTTTGGCTGTAGACTTTTTTTTTTTTTACCAAAAACATTTTTCTCTTTGTTATAATAAACAATTCGATGCTTTTTGTGCTAATTGACTAAACAATCGCAATCAAAAAAGATTCAATGCCTATATATTTGACGTTTACATACATACGACGACTATCAACTAATTGTAAAAGACTAGGAGGTACATTGCTATACGGTACTTTCCGTATCTGATGCCACTGAGAGTGTTTGTAATTTTGGCACCGAATAATTTTCCACATGACTTGAATTCGATGTTCGATTGGAAACCCTTTCCAATGTTGTGGGCGCTGAGGGAACGTCTTGATTTGCTTTCGGGGGTATAGGTGGAGGACTCACCTGTGAAAAAAAAATCAAATCATGATTTAACGAATTCTTTAATTATTTTTTATTAGGAATGAAAATTACCTCTTCATCGGGAAGAATTTGTGAACCATGGAATGTACCACTAGGAAAATTGTTACTTGTACAGGTAGTATTTAAAGCGTTTATCACAGAAGGTGGTGAAATATTCATTATCTCGTTGCATTTGGTTCGTGGTACAAAGTCTTCATAACTGAGATTATTTAAATGTGTTAATTGTGGATTAAAATCCAAGAGACTTGCGGTTGATATTCCACTGTCTCTTAAGTCATTAGTTTCGCATTGTTGATCGGAATCATCATCAACACTCCATTCTGTGCTACGTTTTTGTAATGGTCGTTTTGGCGGCGCTGGCGGTCCAATTGAACTAGCTATTGAATCTCTCTTATCCAAAGCTGTTAATCACAAATATATTTAATATTTTTATCGAAAATCAATTAAAAAAAAAATTTTTTTTTTCTTACTGCAGCTTCTAGGAGGAAGTGGCGGCGCTGGCTCTGATCCTGATTCACTCCAAGAGGTTCTGACATTTGTCTGATCAACACTATCGGTAGGTGTTGGTAGCGAGTGCCTCAATGGTAATTTTGGACTCAATGGTTTACTGTGAGTTCTCTGATGCGTTGGCCTTGGTGGAGTTGTTCCATAACCCACCGATCGAGGTCGAACTTCCCTCTGTGGAATTGGTGGCGGTGTTTGATTTGGACCAAAAACATCAACTTTAGAATAAAATCCTTCATCGTCGAGTATTCCATCAATTTCCGTGTGTGATATTCGACATCCCACTGTTTCCAAAGTAATTGGATGCTTATCGCCGATTGGAAGTGGAGGCAAAGGAGAACTAAAAAATTAGTCATTTATGAATTCTTCATTTTTTTTTTTTTTTTAAATTAAAGAAGAAAAATTAACTCACTTTATAATGCTGTCTTGATGCAACAATCGTTGTCTAGTCAACGGTCCCAAACTTCGTTTCAATTGTGTAAATCTCTCAATTAATCTTTTATGTAATGGTTGTACACCAGACGGTGCAATTTCACCATGAAGTTGTAAACCAGATTCCAAAACGCTCATTTGATCGAGAATTAAATTTTTCAATTTATTAACATGCGGCACCATATCAGGATTTTGTCTTGCAAATTCTGTTGTTAAAAATGCCTCCTGATATTTTGTTATACCACCCATTACATTGGCATCAATTATTCCCTGTAATCGCATACTAAATGGATTAATATTCTTTTTCGGTTCGGCTGTATATTGTACAATTAATCGTCTTAATTCACGTTCAACACTTTGCATTGTCTCACATGCATATTGTACGGGTGCCAAAAGTTCCGAACGTTTGTCAATTACTTCAAACCATGGTAGAATACCGGGTAATTTAGCTTCAGTTGTAAGTGTTGTACGTTCAATCCAAAGTGATTTAAATTCATTTTCACGATCAACTTGACCACGATGCATGGGTCTGTCAAATGTAAATTTCCTTACATCATTTACGAGATAAAATGCAATTACACGATCAGGAACGTCAATTGCACCCGAACCTAGACTTCCTTCCTCTGGAATTGGCTTCACATTGCAAATTTGTATATCTTTAGGGGAAAAAAAAATTTATTCATTAAAAGTATCGAAATTGCTTTAATTTCAAATATTAATTCTAAATCTCTGAAAACAAAAGAAACTTACATTGTCCTTCGGAAGTAAGAATACTTTCGTCGGGCGGTGAATTTTTCATTAAAATTTGTGCACTGGGAAATTCAGTTTGAAGTCGTTGCGTGAAGGCTCCTATTCTTTCATATTCCAAACCTCGATAAATAAATAATTTGTTCTGGGAAAAAAAATTTCAATAAAATTTAATTAAATTAAAAAAGATTTTTACAAAGATCTATTTTTTGTATTAAATAAAATACAGTCAACTTACCCGAACGAAAAGAGGAAAACTCAATCCATAGAAACCAACACGAAAATATTCCGGTTCAGGTCGTAGTTGCGTGAGTATATTATCCAAAAATAGTGCTTGCATCTTCAAAATTTTACTTAATTGTGCGTAATCATAGAGTACAGTCTCATATAAAATTGCCAATTCCTTGCAAAGTGGTATTCCTTTTTCCCAACATTTACCACGATCGAAATGACGAATAATTTGATGATAGAGAAGTTCCTTTCGTTGCCATTCTGGTTGTTGTGAATGTGCAAGATCAGATGGTAATACTGTTGATCCCCATCCCAATTGATCGGCATACAATTTCATCGTAAATCCTGCCTCAGTATAATTTTCCGCCTCCAAATGCATTTGATGAAGTTTATAAATGTAACGTAAATACATTTCTTTTCGATTAAATTCATTTTTGTAAAAGTTCTGCAAAAAAAATATGAAAATACCCATTTTAAAAAAAAAACGTTCCTTCTTTAAAGTATCTTTTAACAAGAGTGAATGATAAACATTTTCCGCATGCGACACGTGTCTTAATGAAATTAATTTCAGGCAATTAACACAATAGTTAACGTACGTTTGAGAAACATACAAGTGTGAATCATTTATTTTCGTAACAAATACTTTTTTACTTTTAAAAATAAATTAAAATTTTTTTTTCATTAGGTATTGAAAAAAAAGTGCTGAAAAGTAATTATTACCAATAAATTGACGGTGCAAGACATTCGTTTATCTCGATTTTCATCTCCCTGAATGACACTACGGTAATCAAGTAATCGCTCTAATAATCGCGTTACTGATGTAATGAAAACAATTCCACTGTCTTTCCATGCTGGATCTTCGGATTGTACTTTGTTCAGCAACCTGCGATAAAAAAAAATTTTTAATCTCGAAATTGGAAAATCTTAAAAAAATTTTTTTTGCCCTAAGCAATAACTTACACTGCACTCAAGTGTTCCCTAAAGCGGCATGAAAAAGCGAAAAATTAATTGAATTAGAAAAATACATGCAAATCTCTCAAGGAAACATAAATTACAAAAAATAAATTAATTTGATAAAAAAAATCAACTCACATGGTATTAAACAGTTGTCGATATTCATCGTCTCCTTTATTCTCACTAATTAAAATGTCTAATTTATCTATCAATTCAGACTCGACAGATTTGAAACTTCCTCGTGCTTGTTGTTCACATTCCATCATATCAAAAAAAATGTGTAGAGTCGCTTTTCGCAATTCACTTTCTGGCACTAGTGTTACTTCCAAAAATGGTCCCACCATACCGGGAATAAATTCCAATTTTCTTTCACCTAAACGTGACCACATTGATAAAATTTGAAATCCCATGAGTACTCTCATATCACCGTATTTTTCAATAATCTTCTCTCGTTTCACCTCAGAAAATTGTTCCAATTGTAATGATGGTTGTGTGAGATAAGCCACGGCTAAATTAAAATAAGTCGACCACAATTGAAAATCAAAATTATTGTGTAAAAAACGAAATGCCAATGGTTGTGCAAGCTCTTGTAATGATTTTAAAATAACATTATTTGCTTGCATTCTTATAACAAGCCAGTCAGTTGCAAATATCGATTGTCTCACTAAATCACGTAGTACAAGAAAAACTCTCAATAAAAATTCCTTAAGTGCTTTACGATCACCACCCAATGTTAATTCCTCCCAAAGTCTTGAATAATGATATTCATCTAGAAGTTGAAGTAAACTAATTAAACACGCCACTAAATTACCCAAAACTGGTCCATTTGCATTAACAATAATCAATATTGTTTGTATTAAAACATCAAGAATAGAAAGAACTAATGTTTCAATGTCATGATGAATGCAATTATTAACTTTGTTCGTGTCTCTTGCTCTCTTGTATAAAAAGTTTAAAATATCACCAAGAATATCAGTACAGGATCTCAATTCCTCTCTTCGTGCTAAATGAATTCTCAAATGTTTACAAATTGTAATCAACAATAAATTACGACTCTCGTCATCTTCAAACAATTCCGACGTCACGAGACTTTTAATAGCTTGTAATTTTGTTTGTATTAATTGAGGAGGTGGTTCCCTTGGTATTGAATCCAACATTGTACATGTCAATTTAACAACCTCCAAAACAGGTAAAACTGCAATTAATTGTTCAAAAACAGTTGGAATCGACATTAACAATGCCACTTGTGATTGTAAAACCAAATCATATGGTAATGTAAGCATTTTATTCAATGCCGTAAATAAACAATAAAGATCTCTCTTGAAACTATCTTCAAATTGTCCAGCCGTTGCCCTCGCAAATAATAATCGACTTTGTATAATAAATTTAAATATATATTCCAATGATCGAAAACATTTCATTATTGGCTCTTGTCTATCCGAAGTTGTCACCCAATCAGCACAATGTTGTATACTACTTAATAATCCTTTATAAACAAGTGCAGCCGCAAAATGACCCGAAATATATGCATTCATCATTGGTTTAAAATGTTCAAATTTCGAATCCTCCAATAAACTAAATATTGAAACTAACACTTGAAATACCAATCCCGAATAGACAGTTGAATTTCCATCCTCCGTGTGAAACATTGAAAATAATGCATCCAAAATATCTTGTAAAAATTTCACCGTCTCCTCGCCATCCAATCGTAAAACTTTCGTCAACGAATCAGATATCCTCTCTGGATGTGCTTTCCATTGCAATAAACTTAATATATCGACATTTTGCGTCAATTTTGTACTACAAAGTAACGTTGTTATAAAAACTGCTTCTTTCGGCGATCTCGAAAATGGCGGAATACCTGAATAAAAAATGTAATTAGTTTTTTTTTTAATTTTAGAAATTTAAGATTTTAAATCTTTTCTTTTCATACCTGGATAATTTGGATCTCGTGGTGTACTAGGAAGAGATAAATAATTCGAAGATTCAAGTTTACTTTTCTCTTCACATTTGTATATAAAAAGTTCGTGTTGCCCATCTTGTAATGTTGCACCACCGGCTTCCATTAAATGAACGAAGGCAAAAGCAAACAGCTTCTTGTCATTTTTATCCCGTGCTAAAATAAATAAAAAATAATTTTTTTTTAGTATTTTTAATTAAAAACAAAAACAAAATTTTTTTTCCACTTACTGGAGCAATGTCTGAATTCAAAACGAACATGACTTCCATAAAATTTATCAATTGGTATAGCGAGTCTCACAGTTTCAGCCCAAGTCGGACTATTGTGATGATAAATAACCAAACTTTGGTATTCGGAACTTCCTTCAGTTCCTGCTGCTCCAAACAAAGAACCTTCTAATGGTTGACCTTCCGCATCCAAAACAAGTATAGTCACCTGTATGGATAACAAAAGAAATTTTTACCCAACGTTCCTATTTAAATGAATCCTTATTTTATCTTTTGCAAAAAAAAAAAAAAAAAAAAATCTCTTACCTCAATATTTTTTCCAGTTGATTTGCCACCACGTTCAAATTCACCTCGTTCTAACCTCAGGTACAAATCATTTCTAACATCACCCGGCATTATGACGTCAGAAAATCCAAGTTTTTTAGTCAAACAAATATTCTTGAACAGCAATGGATTCTCCTCACGCACCTGGCATAATTCACCGTGAAGAACACGAAACGAGACAACTATGCCGTAATTCGGTTGACCTGGAAGCGGCGAACATTTGTTGTTACGAATTATCTGCTCGTGCAACTGGTGAAATTCCTTTTCATCTCCCTGATAAACCTGTAAAATTTAATATTAATTAAAATCTTTATCTCTTTAACGTTTCAATAAATTTGTTTCTTAAAAATATTTTTATTATATTTATTACCTAATTAATTTCAAATTTTATTTACTTAATTTAAAAATATTTAAAATTTTTTAACTTTAATTTAAAATTTTTTAATTTTTCAAAGAAAAAGTAATGATTGTAACTACTTTGAAATAACATAAGAAAAACGATTGTCCCAACATTGGCAAATGACTCGACTTGTTAAATTTACATTCAAGTCACGTGTGTGGACACAAAAGACAAGGTGTGAGAAATTCTCACAAGTGAATCGTATAAAAGTTTAGCAGTAAAACACATGGACAATGAGATTCCGTACATTAGAAACAATTCCACGTGGGAAAATAATTATCTCTCAAGAGTCAAATTTAAATATTTACCATAAACCATTTTCTACCTTTTACCTTACAAATTTGTCTGAATTATTTCTTTTGAGTTACAATTTTGTCATCAATATTTTTATCGAATCTTTAAACTCATAAATTCAAATTTTCCATTTTTTCATTAATTTACCTTAAAAGTGAGTTCGGACTCTTCGGTGTGACTTTGTGAGGCATCAGCGAGTGAAAGTACAGCAACCCCATGTGGTCTTCTATAAGTTGTAGCTCCTGCTTTATTTTTTCCCGAATCTGAATAGAGCATTCTACCACAACGCATAACATGTGCAACCATATATAAATCGCGACCAAGATCAGCGTTTCCTAAATCCGTGAATATTGTACAATTGCTGTGCATTTTTTCCACATAATTTGAAAATCCTTCTTTCGATATTTTCACCAAAAAACGTTCACTAATATATTGACTTCGTCTACCGTCGTATAGTGAAAAATAAATTTCCGTATCCTCACCAACTGAATGTCCAAAGTCTCTCATACAAAAGTACAAATGATGAGTTAAAACTTTCTTTTGAACTTTACGCTTCAATGTACCAATTGCCGATGAACCCTGTGAATTTTCCGCACTCTGCACATGCTGAAATTTAAAAAAAAAATCTGTTAAATATAAAATAAATAAAAAATAGAGAAAAAAAATATATTTCTAGAATTATTTTTATATAAATAACACGTAAAAATATTTACCACGTGATAAAGTTCCACTACTGACATATCATCCGGATCCACCATGTGAGCACCTTGTCTTGGCACCAAATCGAGGCCTAATTTTCTGAAAATAAAAATTAACTATCAGTTAAATTATGTTAAATTTATAGTAGATGCTGACAAAAAAATAAAAGTACTTGTAAATAAAAAAATTAAAATAGAAATTCTGCCAAATGAAAATTAATTCAACTGGAGAATCTGACATAAATAATTCGATTAATTAAAAATTCTGTTAAATAAAATTTCACTTAATTAAAAATTCTTTGATTTGAAAATTCATTTTAATAAAAATTCCATATAAAATTCGACAGAATAGAAATTCAGTCTTTTAAAATTATATTCAATGGAATATTCTTGTGTCTCGAAATTTTTCGAAATAATATACTAAAAGAATTATTTTTCCAAAAACTGATCAAATTTCCAGCTCATCATATATTAAAAATAAAAATGAATTTCTCTATCTAATGAAGAATTAAATAAAAATAAATCCTAATTTCAAATGAGGAATAACAATATATTTTCCTCAATTATTTCGAAAACAAAATCGATTTTCACAAAGAAAATAATATACGTCAATCATATAAGATCATTGTGTCGAGAGAAAGATTCCTTCTAATATGTCGAGAAATGATTAATTACGCAAGAGGAAGAATCATTATCAACATCGGGAGCTAAATATATAAAGCTAATATAAAAAGTATTGCCAGAAAGTCTTCATCAAGACATCATCTTTAGTAATAAAAAAAAGGAGGATAAAGAAAAAAAAAAAAAAGATGAACCTAAAGGAACGTGTTTTAGAATGACTGTATAGTACATACTATTATCTCTTCAACTATTTACATTTTTAATGGAGCTCACAATTCGCAGAATGAGAGAGTCGAAGAGTATAAGGCTGTGTGTGGTGACTCATCAACAGGGCACTATAGAAAGTTTGTTCGAACCTGAAGTCCCGAAAGGGGACCCCTTCCACCTTCCCACGCCTTGATGGAATGCAGGTGAGCCTGGAGACTTCAATGCGTGGAGACAGGTTCAGGCAATGTCTTGTGGGACCTACACTCCATTCCAAAGATATCGGATGTATTCATCCTCGGGAGAGGTCTTTACTTTATCCTCTACTATGGACGATGCGAAAGTATAGCGAAACTGGGCCCTACCGAACAAGTTTCAAATCCCTCACACACTCACACACATACAAAATCGTTGAGAATTTTTTTAATCGAGTCATTTTTATAAATTTCCCTTTGTTCACGATTTTTCGCTAAAAATTTCATTTATTATCGTTTTTTCCTAATCTGTGGCAAATTCTATAGCAAAGTCGAGAAAGATCTCATAATATCAGTAAAAATTCTACTTCAATGACTTCTTACGATTTTAATTAAATTTATTGAAAATCAGTTAAAAATGACTTGTCTTTTTTGACTGACTATTAATTTACTAACTGAAATCGTGATGAGTCATATTACAAATTAGTAAATTTTTTATTTCAATTTTATAAAATTGGCTCTTATTTTAAAAAAATATAATAATTCTTTTTATTCTTATATAATTCTTGCATAATAATATAATTAAGAATAATATTTCTAAAAAAATATTTATTTTAAAAATTGTAAGAATAAAATTAATTTTTCAATATTTTTTTCTATAAAAAGAAAATCCGACTCTAAAATATACCAAAAGAATTAGAATTCTGTTTTACGAATGTGATTCTTACAGGAAATTCCGCAGATCCTGTTTCAGGCATTATTCACGCCTACTCAACATGGTTCTATACAATACGATTTCGAATTTATTGGTTATAACAATAAGTTCTTTGTTGCTTTACAAAATATGTATATGTAAAAAGAAAATCCCATTTGAAGACAAAAAATATTTTTTACATCTATTAAATTTAATTAAGCAATTTTTTTTTATACTAAATCTGAATTACGAGAACGAAATTTAAAATTCAAGAAAAAAAAAGAAGAAAACTATTTGCAAGTAGATAACATATTGATTCACATTTATGAAGCAATTGCGTTGTAGGAAATGAAAACGTATGAGGACTATCAGCATGGAATATATCAGTAAACGATGTTGGAGAGGAAATTTATCATATATATGAAACAGAGGAACTGAACACGTTTCAAGTCTCTGTGAAAATAGAGCACCTTCTGCGTTTTACAATGGGATTCCAGTAATAAAGTGTGTGTGTGTGTGGTTTATACTAACAGCCAATTTTGTACTCAAAGTAAACACAAGTGATATTTCATTTTAAAGTTAAATCTTTCAATTTATCTATTTTTAGTGTTCTAATATTCAAGGTATGTTTCATAAAAAAATTTTATAACTAAAATTTTATCAGTCTTTTTCCTCTGAATTAATAAAAATTAACTAATTAAAAATTAAATAATTTGTCAAATTTAATTAATACCTAATAAAAAAAAAACTTAAAATTGACTAATTACTAGAATAATAAAATTCTTTAAAGAAAAAGCAAATTAAATTCGAGATTCATAAAGAAAACTATCATGAACAATTAATAATAAAAAAAAAAAAGAAACATCCGTACATTGAAATCCGACTGAAGGAACTTTGCTGAAAAGTTCAGGTGCCCTTTAAGTACAATGACCTTTACATTCCCTTTCCCATGAACGTATATACTTTTATACAGTATATATATATGTGTGTGGGTAGAAGGGAAAAGTATTAACCTGATCAGAACCGCAAACTAACATCAAGAAAGCTGAACGACTTATCTTTCTCTCTCTTTTTACGGAGAAAAGACAGATATTTTATCTTCCGTCTTCCCCTCAAGGTAAATAGAGCACAGGACTTAGTTCTACATCATTAGATAAGGTGAAAGCCAATTTTTCCTCCGGGACGTCGTTAAAGAAAATTTTTTTTTTTTCCAAACCACTCATAGAATCCTAAAACAAAAATTCTAAACACACATGAATTTTTAAACGAAAAAAAAATGTTCCAAAACAATATTCGAATTGAAAATTGTGAAAAAAATTCCAATTATCAGAATTTAAATCATCAAACTTGAATGTTGAGAAGATAATAAAATCTGGATTTTACAGTCAATTATCAGCAACACCAATTTTCTTTTTTCTATTGATTGAAATAAACTTAACAGGAAACCCAATTGCCAAAGGGCACACAGAGAGAGAATTCGAAAAAATTTTCCCGTGGGAACTGGGAATCGAACAATTTTTCCACAGCCTCTAGGCACTTTTATACGTATAGTCACAAAGACGCAAAAGGAGTTTTGTTACCGTTCAGTAGCAGCAAAAGCTATAATTACATATTGCCCATAAGCTTCAATTTCTCTTTCTTTTATAAATAAATATAGAGTTTTGCAATACCAATTTTATTTTCAGCGTCTCTAAAATATATTCTATATTGGTGCAAAATTATTCGATTCTAACGAGAGACAAACATATATATTTGTATATATTATTGCTCTGAAGAAATACGAAAATGGTTTCAAATGATTAACGAGTAAGAGGATGATCTTATGCAAATCTTATGGAATATTCATGACCGTCTATGAGAACACACGACACGACGGAGTCAAGGTATTCTGATGTCCATGTATATTATGAGTCTCTTTCTTTCTCTCTCTCTATATTAAACATTCCTGCCACGTTCTACTATAAAATTGCCGTTAATCGAGAATATATTCCATTTTTTCATTTTGCTAAAAAAAAGAAAGAAAAAGCCAAAAATTAGACAAAGCACAAATTATTTAAAAATACAATTTTATATTTTAAAAAGCGAATCATTTTATTTTTTTATAAAATTTATATTATAAAAAATAGAATTTTGAAAAAAAAATTGTAATTCGAAATTCCATAGAGAATCGAATTTTATTAAAATGTAAATTTTCAAATCAAACAATTTTTATTTATTCTGTTAAATGAAAATTCGGTTTTTAAAAAAAATCATTTAAAATTCTTTTCAACAAAATTTGGATTATATAAAAATTGAATGAAAATTCGATTTAATTAAAATTCTCAAAAAAAAAGAGTAGACAACGCAAAAAAAACTGAATTTATGGACATCTGCACTTAATCATGAGCCATTTGAACTAATTGAGACTGTGGGGCTCAGGATTTGACCCTGACATCTATTACCAGTATATACCTTTTACCGCTCGTTGCAACGCGAGAGCATACCGAACGGGTAGTGCATTTTCACTGAATGCAGCCAATCCCTGCTGCCGATAGTGCAGAAGCGAATTATCTATTTTATATACTATTGAGAAGAAAACTATTATCGATAATCTATATTGAAAAATATTAATTCTCTCTCTCCTTTTTTTTGTGAAATTAAAAAATTCTCCCTTCAAAAAATTATTTGTCCATTTGGAAAAGAAAATAAATTCATATGATTTTTCTTAATAATCGCGCCATTTATCAAGAGTTATTAAAATAAACGTTAATCATAATCCGATTATCAAGTTGAAAGTTTGCTAGATATAATTCGAGGTCTATTAGGCTCGAGAGACGTGGCTTCCATTCATTAATTTCTTTAGAAGAAGAGAGAAAACGATGATAGCCTCTTCAGTAGTCAGAAAGCATCAACCCTCTTGGCTTTGGTACAGCGCGAAAACGAAGCAGCTGTAGGCCGCCGTGAGGCTTTATTTTAACACCGTGCTACGCCGACACAAAGAACAGAGGTAGGCGAGGTTTACGATGAATAAAAGGCACTCTGGCTCCTATCCGCATACTCCTTGGAGTTCCGCCTCGTACCCTCAACTTTTATATATCTACACATACAAAAACACTAAATGTACTTTGGATCTCTCTCTCTCTCTCTCTCTCTCTGTCTCCCTAAGGATGTTGAACCGAGAAAGAAGCTAATAAGAAAGAAAGAGAGCAAAGAATCGAGAAAGATGCAAAAAAAAAATTGAGAGAGAGAGAAAGAGAAAGAAGGACGGCAAACTTGCAATATGTTGAGGGCGGTGTCTATATATGTATGAGAAATCCTGCATTACGTCTGGACCTCTGGAAAACTGAAGCTATATGGATCCGAGCAAGAGGAAGCGAGAGGGCAAATCTTTAAAGAGCCGCAACGGGGGGAACAGGTTCCCGACTTGGTTACTGCGTATTCACCGAGCTGAAAACCTTGGTCCGAAAGTCAAGAGATGCATCTTGACTGTCCCGGGTGTGCTCTCTTGTGAGAAAGAAGAAAAAAAAGAAGAAACCATGTGGTTCGAATCTCAATATTCAAAATCAATCCCTAAAATGCAAAAACCCAGTGTTTCTTTATTAAAAAAGAAATAATAAAAACCTACGAATTTTCTTTTAAGAGAAAGAGTCTTATTTTAAGATAATTTTATCTTTTTTCTATAAGCAATTTTTTTTTCGATTTTCAAAGCTAAATTTAAAATAGGACTTGATTTTAATCTGGATTTTTTAACATTTTAATTTAAATTACAAAAGCTAAATTTATAAAATAATTTACTTTACTTATTTTCTTTCAGTACAGTCATTTAATTTGAAAAGCGTTTTAAAATAATTTTTTCTGACATTGATCGATTAGAAGAGATTTGCTTAACGCAACTACAAGAGTAGATTATTGTAAACGAGAAGCAAGCTTCAATAAGTCCAAGGTAATATTTAAACGCTAGTTACAATGTCTATATTGCTATTTTAAAATTATTGCCACGTTACAAATCCTTCCTTCTTATGGAAAAAAAATTAAATTAATATTTCTCTGTATAATTAAAATTACTTTCAATAATTGACAATTTAGCATTGCAATTTCGAGGAAAATTATTTCAACAAAAAAATCTCATATTAAAATATAAATTTCAAAATTTTTATAAATAATAAATATGATCTAACTAAATCTAAATTTACAAAACGTATAAATTAAATTTTATTTCCTATTCTGTCTTAAAATTACTTTCTTCTTCTGCATTTTTTCAATTTCTAATTAACAAATTTATTAAAATCTATTAACAACTTAAAATAAGACTCATTTCGATTCTTAAAATAAAATTTCATTTTTTGTGCAATAAATTTTTGAAATTATATGAAACTAGTCGCACACTTTAGAGAATTCGGCGACTTTATAGGAAAAAAAAAAAAAAATGTAAATCATTATACCCAGTTCGAGATAGCGAGAAAATGAATGATTTCTTTGAAAACCCCCGTTACGTTGTTACTGCGAAGTGCTACCGATTTACGTTGGCGCACGCGGGTTCGATGCCATTTCGTGAATGGCAACGTAAGACAAGCATCGGCTGGAAATTGTACGTGTACATACTAGCTAGAGTACATGCCATCTTTTTGGTCCAGCAGCCTCAGGATTTTAGAACTCGACTGTACACCTGGTAACTTCCACAAGATATATTCAATGGCGTAATCAACTTATTTTTGCTCCGTCAACATAATTTATTCATACTCTGAAAAATTTTCAATTTTTTAATTATTCAAATATTTATTATTCTTATTATTATTATTATTACCTAGTTATTTTATTTATTATATTCAAAATTTGATCAAAAAAATACATTCTCTATCCAATTTTTTACAATTTAAATTTATTCCTAAATTAAGATTATTTTCAAATAATATTTTCTAAATTTAAGAATAAATTAACTTGAAATATATTTCAAGTTTATTTATATTTATAACAAAAAAAAATACAATTCGAGAAGAATAAAATATTGTTTGAAATAATTCAAAATAATTTGATATTTTTTTAAATCAAAGTCAATCCAGAAAAGGAGTTAGAAAAGTCAAAAATGACAAAAGAAATTGTCCACAGATTGGACGATATTGTTTCCTAAAAAAAAAACAAAAGAGAAAATAAATTTTCTGCAATTGAAAAATTGAACTAAAAAAGAGGAAAACAAATTTTTTTATTCTTGAAGAATTTTTTAAAAATAAAAATTTTGATTCAAAGAATTATTTGGAATATATGGGAAATATAACTGAAAGTATATGAGTAATTACGCCACTGGCGACGTGGAACAAGCCAATGGAGAGGCCCTGAGTCCCTTGGCTATGTCAGTCGCAGTCCGGGCCCCGTTGGCGCGATACGCGCCTCATAAAACGAATTCAGCTGCCTTTGAAAAATCAGTGACTACAACAGCTTAACGGAAATTAGTGCGAGAAATTTTTCTTTTTCGCCACTGTAGCCAACAGTGTGCGGTGAAAATTTAATTTAAAAAAAAAAAAGGAAAAAGGTATCTAAAAAAAATAATTTTTCTCTTCTCTCTTTTTCTCTCACAAAAAAATAAAAATAATAATAAAAAAAAGAAAAGTAAGAGGACGCCTGTAAAAGTGTTGGATCATTTTTGAAACCGTCTCGGTGAGAATACATAACACAAAAGACGCGCTTCTTCATCAGAGTGACAAAAATGTGCTTCTTACGAAGATTATAATCTTCATTACAAAAAAAAAATTTATTTTTTATTATGAAAAGTGTAAAATAATAAAAATGAAAAGTTTCATGATGTGATTTATAAAATATTGGTTTGAGAAAAAAAAACCTTTTTTTACAATTATTGGTGAAAATTAAAAAGTGAAATTACATTATTTTGGAATAACTTGGAAGATAACGGTAATCCTTTGTTAGAGAACAAGCTGTAATTCCACGAGTGTGAAATAATTTTTCAGCAGTATCTAGTTCGTGATATATGTAAAAAAAAACCACACACACACACTTTTGCGGATCGAAAAAAATCTTTTATGTTCGGATCATTGTTAAGAATACCCTATACAATATATTTTAAAGACTATATTCTCAATACATATTTTAAATAAAAAGAAATTTTTTATAAAAAAAAAATTCATATTTGCTCTGAACTCTAAAATTTACAATTCTGGTAAAAAAAAATTGACATGACTGATAAGCGTGAATCACTAAATTATGACCTAATCCTTCTTCTCAGAAACAATGAAGAATTTTCAACTCTACCTGTTATTTAATTGCAAACGATACTTTATAAATGAAAAATAAAGATAAAGTGAATCTTTTCATTCTTCTCCATCTTATTTTCACTCATAAATTATTTATGTTCCATTTTTTTATTTTTATTCGACTTTTCATGAATATTTATGAACAATAATAAAGATTAATTAATATAATAATTAAACTTTATTTCAAACTCAAAAAAATATAGATAACAATGAAACATTCATAATGATTTGATAATAAAATTATTTATTTCACAGAAATAATATATTTGATATACTAAACTCAACTTTCACTTCCTTTAGATTGTAATTTATCTAGAAAAATGTAAAATACAAGTTTATTTGAAAAAAAACTATCAGTGTCAAACATAAAATTTTTTTTTTTGACATTTTCTTGGAAATAAGTTAATTATTTAAATTATTTTGTTTTTTTTTAATTAACCATAAAAAATAAACGTAAATTCAAATTTTCGATTAAAAAACAAGATAAAATAACATTCCCACGTGCTTTCTAATATATATACTTGAAACAAAAAAAGCCTTGGATTTTGCGATTCACGCATTGAGAATGCATTGTATTGAGAAAATAATCTCGGCTTATTGTAATTTTTTTTTTTTTTTTAAACGTATACTATTTCCTTCCAAGAAAGTAATCCTTACTTATCTATATATAGCGATAAATTTACTGCCTATAACTAATCGTGCAATAAAATGAGATACACACACAAGTTGCAAAACACTCGCGTTTTAATTCAAAATCAAGTTGACTGGAAAATAATATCTTTCAATCGAAAAATTTTGTCTCGAGCGTTAAGTGACAAGGAAATATTATCCCTTCATCAAGAATGGAGAGAGAGAAAAAGAATAAAAAAAAAAAACCTAATATAAAAATCCACCGGTAAATTAGAAACGCCAGAAGCGTCTCCTGTCCTTTCACTCGGACCTTTACGATATTGTATATATATACATATAAGTTCATATGAATGCAAATTATTCACTTGCAAACTCCTACAAGCATGATACACATATTTTATATAAACATATATGAAAATATGATTTACGCCCCAGGGGAGTAATTATTAATAATTACCGATTAGAATCATTCAAGTTTATATATAATTCTGATTCACTTCACTGTAACTGCAAACATATATTATTTAATTAGTAAAAAAAAAATAGCTGAGCACATAAAATAAAAAATAATAGAAATAAATAAATTAATAATAATAAATCATTGTTTTAGAGAATGACATAAAAGTCAAAGAACCAATTTTGAGAATCTCATTATAGAAGAAGAGCAATTCACATAATGCTTAATCTCGATAATCATAAGCAGAGCTATTTGAAACTTGTTGCTTCCGGAGAACCGATTAAATAAACGACTCAACTAGACCAATCATTAATTGAGAGCACAGTGTAAAAGACACAAAAGCCTCCCTGTATAAATAATAATAGACTCTATAGATTTTTGAAGAACCATTAACACATATTATGAAGATTTATCTGGAAAAAAAATAATATTTCTATCACAAAAGCATGAAAATAATTGATTCAAGGAGAATATTTATTCATAACTCTAGAATTTTTAAGAAATAAATTTTAAAAAATATTTAATTATTATTTGAACTAATTTTAGTAATTGAACCAATATTGGAATATTTTTTGTAGTAAACAAATTTTAATCGAACGCAATAAAAGTTATTTGAAAAAATACTTTTTCCATTTGAAAAACATAATTAATTGATTAATTAAATTATTATAAAAATTAAGAAAGATTTTAATTGAATTTATTTTTTACAAATTAAATATTTATAGGATAAAATATTTATTTGAAAAGTCAATTTTTTGAAATATTAAAAATTCAAAAAGAAAATAATTTTCTCTCTATCGATTTGAGCGATATATTTTATTTTGTTGTAAGTGAAAATGGTATGGAATTTCATACGTGGGACTCAATGAGGAATCTCTCCCATTAAAGCCTTGAATTACGAAATACAACTCGTTCAAGTTTCGTTTCATTAAATGCCTTATATGTCCCTGATGCCGATTAGTGATCGCGCATGCAATATAGAATATATACCGGGAAAAAAAAAATAGCTTCTCTATACAAGTCGCAGAAGAGAATTTGTGTTCATTGAGCATATCGCGGTTAATGCCTGTATATTTATACACAAATGAAACAAACGATGACAACCGATGACTACATATAACAATACAAACTGACACCAATTACCATATAAATATAATTATTATAGATATTGCAAAATTTCATATTTTTGATAACACTATAAATTTATCGAATTTTTGTCATTAAAATCTGATTGAACAAAATCGAGGATTTTTTATATTATTATTTTAACGTTAATGATTTTTTTTCATCATATTGCAAAATGATAAAATATAACTACTGTACAATTATTTTTATAATTTAAAATTTTCAATTCTATTGAATTTTTAATATTGTAATTAGTTTCAATTGCAAATGTATAATTGGCTTCAATTACAAATGTATATAATAATTTACTTTAATTATAAAATCATTGTCTTTCGTTCTAGAAAGATAATATATTTTTAAATAGATAAAAAAAATTAAAATTTCAATTATAGATTTATAAATAAATATTTAAATTCTTCAACTATAAATATTTATAGCTTCAACTACAAAAATTATAATTTCAATTATATTTTTAAAAAAAGTTCACTTCAATTTATTGAAATCGTAAAAAAAAATTCGATTTTTTCTGTAAAAAATATATCCGAGAAAATCCAACTGAGGCTGGTTTTTAATTAAAAACAAAGAAAATTATCACAATTGCATGATGTACTAAAAGTTTAAATGTACATATTTTGAGATGCTGTAGCTGGAGATTGACCTCGTGGATCAGCACGCGCTCCGCCTGCTTTCAATTAATCAATTAATAAAACTAGCCACTCACGAGTCATACATATATGTATATTATTGCTGTACGCATGTATCATATACTCCAGACAGTATATTTCATCACTTGGGACATAAGTTTTATTGAGATAATTAAATAGGAATGTTCAATATATAACTGTATATAATAAAAAGAGAACAAATTTCTAAAATCGAGACACTGACATTTTAGAGAAAATGATGAACAAAATTCTCATCGAGAAAAACACCTATACGAAAATTTGGTTTTTATTAGTTTAAAAAAAAATTTATCGAGAAAATTAGAAAACAAAAGAAGATAAAAATTATTCCTGGTAATAATTATTTATTTTTGACTCCTAATTTTACCATCACAAGATGTAATAAGACTATCAAGAGTGAAGATAAATAAAAAGATCCTCGTTGTTTTAAAATAAAACTCGCGTCCTCTTTAAGAATAATTAATACAATTAAAAACAAAATAATATATTAAATAATTTTTTTTTTAAAGTGAAATTGAAAATAAATTGATTTTCTAATAAAATTTTTTTTCTGTTTTAGAAAATAAGAAAAAATGGCAGTTTTTGGAATGGTGTCAGCTGTTGCTGGCTTCGTCAAAGTACGATACTTAGTAGACAAAGCAGTAATTGACAATATGATATTTAGATTTCATTACCGAGTTACTTCGGCGATATTTTTCACATGTTGCATCATTGTCACTGCCAATAATTTAATAGGTAAGACTCATTTTACTACAAATTTTACTTTAATATTTTTTTACTTATTATTTATTATTAACTAATATAAATAATTAAATTAAACTCTAATTTTTTTAGTCACGAATAATGAATTTTTTTTTTGATCATTTTTACTCTTCCTCACTCCGTCAAGATAAAAAATTTCAAGAACAAGAAAAATATTCATCGCCCTAGCAAAATAGTTTTAATAATTTTTTTTACAGGCGATCCTATAAATTGTATCACCGAAGGATCTATACCAACTCATGTAATAAATACATTTTGCTGGATTACGCACACATTTAGTATGCCACAAAATTTGAATAAACCAATAGATGAAGTAGGACATCCTGGATTAGGAAATGATGATGGACCAAGACGTTATCACTCTTATTATCAATGGGTTCCATTTATGTTATTTTTCCAAGGTGTTCTCTTCTATGTTCCACATTGGATGTGGAAACAATGGGAAGAGGGTAAAGTAAGAATGATTTCCGATGGAATGAGAGGTAGCATGATTGACACTAAAGAAGAACGTCAAGCAAGATCACAACGTCTCGTTCAATATGTCATTGACACATTACATTTACACAATAGCTATGCGGCTGGATATTTTTTCTGCGAGGTTCTAAATTTCCTCAATGTCGTAAGTATTGTCCAATAACTATAAAATACAAAATAAATATTAAAACAAATAATTTTTGAAAATTATTTTTTTTTAAAGATCTGCAACATGTTCGTGATGGACAGTTTTCTTGGCAATTCGTTTTTCACATATGGAACTGAAGTCTGGGACTTTAGTAATATGAATCAGGAGAGTCGTCACGATCCAATGATCGAAATATTCCCACGAGTTGCCAAGTGTACATTCCACAAATTTGGAGCATCAGGAACATTGCAAAAAATTGATACTTTATGTATTTTGGCATTGAATATTCTCAATGAAAAGATTTACATTTTCCTGTGGTTCTGGCTTATTATTTTAGCTGTTCTATCAGGCTTTGCTCTTGTTTACAGTACATCAATCATTCTTATGCCAAGTACTCGAGGATTTATTCTCAAGAGGCGATTTAAATTTCACACATCATCTGGTGTTAAATCCCTCGTGCGAAAAACTCAGGTAAAGTATCCATTTTTTTAAAAAAATTAAAATCAAAAGAATATTTATCTAATTTTTCTCTCAATTTTCCAGGTGGGAGATTTTTTGCTTTTGCATCTCCTAGGTCAAAATATGAACATGATGATGTTCAATGAAGTATTGGATGAGTTGTGCAATAATTTGCATATGGGATCAAGTAGTGGTGCATCGCCAACTTCAGTGCCATCAGCGCCAAGTACTCTAGAGATGAATCCAATTTATCCAGAAATCGAGAAATACGCAAAGGATACCGAGATCTAATTTTTTTTCCCCCTCATCTTTGTGATACTACAGAAGCTGCCTCGTGATTGTCGTGAGGTCAAATGGAAAGTTTCCCGCCTGATTAAAATACGAACGGAAAGCTAGTCCTTCGCCTGATTTCAATAATATGGAAATGAATTGATTTGCCAGTCAAACGAATGAAAAGGAAACAAAAAACTAATGAGATTACGATTATGAGAAAAGCAATCAAATGTAAATAAATTGAATCACCCAAATAATCAGGATTACAAGGATTTCTTTAAAGAAAAAAAAAATAAAAGCATCAAACACATGATTTTCTATAAATGAAAAAATAGATACTGGTCCATTTGTAGAAATCATTGAAACTGGTGTATTGTTTTTTTTTTTTTTTTTTTTTTCGTAATAACGCTCAGCAATATAATAACAAAGAAGCCAATGGAGGTTTAAGTTAGAAAAATTTCGATGGATTCGGCTACATTTAAAAATGCGTACAAAGTAGCAATTTAGATGAATGTCGGCTCGCTTTGGAGCAATGGGCTGTGACTTGATAATTGTGTATGCAACGAGAAATCCAATTTTCTTTTTTCTAGGCTTCATTTAAATCAACAACAAGAAAAAACGAAAACCTAGACAATAAATCTTCGACAATTATTTACCTCACAGAATATAATATACCTTCTATCGCTCGCGTGACAATATTAGACAATTTCGAATCTTGCTATTAATTATTAACTCTGGAAAATATTTAAACTGCAAATTTAATTAAATTTGCAAATTTTGGATATTTAATTATTTTTTTTTTTTTTGTTACCAGCGCCCTGGTGAAAAGAGACAAAAGGAATATTTTTTTTAAACTATAAATTTAGTTTTAGCCTGAATGGATTACGAACTATAACATTTGTTTATATGATCTATTTCTCATAGTTTAAAGATATTTAGTTTCAATTGCCGAATAGCTTGTGTTTAGTCATTGAAAGAAAAAAAAATGACACAATAATGCAACGATCTTTCTTTTGTAGTTGATAGTTCTCTTTTTTTTTTTAAATAAACGATCCCGTCCGCAGTGATATGTTAAGTTAGTCTTTCGAGAAAGAGAACGACACGGATCAAATTAAGAAAATAATAATTTTTATGATGTGCCTTTTATAAAAAAAAATATATATAAATATATATATATAAAATAAGTTTTTAGTTAAATAAGTTTAGAAATGAAAATATATACTCGCTTGTAATTATTTTAAAGCGAGAAGAAATATATTCTTGCTTGTATAATTATTTTATGTCAAGTGAGAAGACTGCCATTTTGTGCAACGTCATAAATAATTGTGAACGTAGATCAAAAAATAAAAAAAAAACTTTCTTGTAAATATGTTCAAAGTGTTGTTTTCTAGTACTTTAATACAGCATTTGATTATTCTTTTTTTAAATTTAAATTTAATTATTATTTATCAGAATCGATTTTTTTTTTTGAAATTCTTAAAAAAATTTTCATTTAACAGAATTTTTGATGTTCTTTCCATTTTATAATGGATTCTATCTGATGCAATGGATTATATAAATAATAAATTGACTTACCGATTTCCCCAATCCACCTTGTTAATCACTTGCAATTTCAATTCACGTGTTTGATCAGTCGTTAGAGTTCCAGCCAAAAGTTGTCTTCTCCATTCCAGTAAATCTTGCATGACTTTTCTTAGAGTATTGAATTTGTAAATTTCCCGCTCCTGTGAAATTTATTGACATATAAGTAACATAATAAAAATTGAGCAATAAAAAACAGTATTAAAATGACAACAAAATAACTAATAGTTATGCCATGAGAATTAATGAATATTAAATTTGCTATCAACTTAACAGAAAGTGAATTTATCGACAGTAAAAAAGTGGTGAAAAAAAAGAAATAAATTTTAATAATAAAAATAAAAGATTTAATTTAATAATCAGAAGTTTAAAATTTAATTGATTTTATCAAAAATATAAAATTAAAATTAATTTATAAATTAATTAAATTTTGATTATTTTAAATATTATCTAAATAATTTTTTAAATCTCAAAAATTGTATTTTTCTTTTTCTAAAACTCACCACATATAATCTTTTCCAAATTCCACCCCATTCTCGAAGTACAAGAGTGACTTCTCGTACAACAGGGTCTTCAAGGGGTATAACTGATTCATAGAGACCTTCATTATCAATTTTACAAGGTTTTAGATGAACATATGAACTTGGAAAAATTCCCTTTACTGCACGATTTTTCGTTGAGAAGCCTCTAAACCAACCTGTACCAAAAAAGAAAATATAAAACTTTCTGGTGGTTCATGTAAAAATATTCTACTTCCAGACTGAATAAACAATATTAAAAAGAAGTAATCAAAAACGACTACAGAACATTATTTTTTAACAAAAAGAGAATATTAAATAAAATCAAGATAAATACCTGCACATTCTTCAAGAATTTGAACTGTTTCGCCTATCTCTAGTGGCAAACCATAACGAGTGTCACCTTTCCAATTGTAGACGGCTGAAAATGACAATAATATTTAGTAAAAGATAAAAAAAAATTTTAAGTTTACAAAATTCATTTTCAAATTTAATAAAATTGAAATCAAATTTCAAATTTGATATAAAAATTAATTTTGAAAATTTAATTTCAAACTTTATCTAAAAATCAATTTCAAAATAAATTTATTCTAATGAGAGAAAAAAAATACAGATATCAATCCTCAATGTCATAATATTTAAAAAAAATATATAAATAACAGCTCGTAAATTTACGTTTCCTTTTCAAAAATCATAAAAAAATTTTATTATCAATTAAAAATTTAAATATACAAAACAAAAATAAGGTAAAATAAATTATTACTTTTTATTTATTTTTTAACACCTTGACTAGGATTGATACATTTTACCAAGTGATAAAATTTTATTATTATATTTAAATATCAAGTAATTGACTAAAATAATAATTATTTCATGCAAATATTATCTATTTGATAAAAGATTATTAAAATTAAGTTTTTTCCAGTCTACAATAAAATTTCTGTACAAAACGTAAATAAAACAAAACTAAAATTTAGTTTTAAATTGAATTTCAATTTGAAAAAAAATCAAATTGTAAAATTAAGTTCAAATTGAAACAAATTAAATTAAATATACTTGAAGATTAAAACAGAAAAATAAATGATATAAAAGAAAGATTAGAAACAACTAAATGTAAAATTTTCGAAAACTTTTGTTTAGGTGGTGGTAGTGACAGGAATTTCCGGCAGACAAGTTTACGCGAGAGACACGAGATACATCTTAATGAGCACAGTAGCATATATATATGTATATACATATATGAATGAAGATGAATAAATGTATTCGCATGTAAGCTGAAAAGAGAGATAGAGAGAGACAAGAGTCAGTTAGTAGACTACACAACATCCTGCCTTAATATTCTCAACAATTCTGAGCGCTTCTCGTGTCTCGACACTACAGAACCTATCAGAAATGATCAGAAACAACACTAGTAGTCGTATCAGTACGGCTTCACCATCATCATCATCATCATATGTCCTACAACTCCAACACATGTGCAACAAGCGATCCGCACGATTTCACCCAACCAAAAGAGTTTATATATATACTTAAAAGGAAGTTTCGCACTACTCTCAAAACAATAAACCCACTTCCCATTTTTTTTAATTAATACTTCCTACTTATCAAACTTTTACCACTCCAATTTATTACATTTATTTATTATTTTCTTTCTATATTATTTTTTTTTTTTTTTACTTTTTTTTTGCAAAAAAACAATTTGTCAAATTTTGCCAATTGCAATACAAATGAATAATTTTATACTTAAATTATGAATCATTGGTGGTAACTTTGTCATTTTCCGATAGTTTTCTGAGTCATCTCATTATATTAATTATATGTACATATAGTTCAAAGTCCTCGAAATATTAAATTGCAATTAATTAAAGAGAAAAATAATTATCGAAAGTTCAAAATTTGAGATAATATAGTAAAATAGCTTTCTATCGTTCATGTTAAAAAAAAATTTTAATTAATATTTTAAGGCTGTTGTTCTAATAATACATAAGTGTTACGATTTATAAAAATATCTCAAAAACATCGCCCTGGGAGGTAAAAAAATTTCAACGAGAGATGGGCTCAAGTCGCTGATGTATAGGGCTAAAAGTCGTCCCTACAATTCTGAATTGTACCAAGAGACCCCACAGCTTTCCCAGCTTTTCCCGGGAATTAAATCAATATCTCCCTTTCAGTATAAAACACATTCGCGAAGGGGACCTGAAGCTTGGGTGAGAGTTATCGTACATAAGAGAAGGGTCTCCACATCTGTGACATGCCATATACGAAAATATACTCTTTTAAGCGACCAACCTTAATGTGTTACAGAGAAGATATTAATTTTTATCTACTCGCAAATATACATCTATTTAAAAATAAATAAAAAAAAAATCTCTTTAAAACCAATAATAATATTCAAAATAAAATAATTTCCTCCTTATTTTTACTATTAGAAAATTTAATATAGAATATAAAAGTAATAAAAAAAAAATTCCTAATTGAATAAAATATTTTGCAATTATAAAATTTACAATATTATGCTTTCTATTTTCCAAAAATACATATTAACGATAGATGTCATTTTGACATTTGGATAAACAGAAGAACGAGCCAAAGAAAAATAAACTTTTCTAAAATATATTCAATTAAATGGATCATTTTTTAAATGTGAATAAAAATTGCAAAATAAGTTAATAATAAAAAAACGAATTTCTTTATTAAGAAAAGATTTTAAAAAAACTACTCCAAAAAGTGTCACGAAATTAATAAATAGAAAAAGCAAGTAGAAAAAGAAGAATTAAGTAGATACGGAAGTTATAGTGAGACTGTCAACATTAATAAGCTATAAATTAACCTCAAAATTAACTGATAAATAACAAAAATTACATGAAAACTAACATTACTTTAAAAAATGTTTTATCCAACATAACACAAAATTCAAACACTCAAAATTAAAAATTTATAAAATATTTATCCCCATAGAAATATAATAGAATTGAAAATTTTTCAATTTAACATTTCTTTTCTCCAAAATGATTAAATTTACAAATAAAAAAAGAAAAAAATATAACCTTTGTTACTCGAGAAAAATGCGCAAAAATATATCACACGATTGAAACCTGTTTGTTTTCTATCAGCCTGCAATTTTTCATTGTTAAATAAGTCCCGTCAATACAATCAAGACTTCTTTGCTACGCTCGTATACGATCAATGCATGAATGAGTACGCGCAGTCACATATACATACTTATTCAAAAAAACGACATTGAAGTATAATATACTCACACACACACACACACGTGCACATACTCATAAATACATCAACAATTTTATATGTATACAACATATCGTGAATATTCTCATATCTCTCTTTTTTTTCCCAAGTTCTGATGATGCAGAACAATTTTTTCTTTTATCAAAAACGGATACACAAACTTTCACAAAGCGTGTATTGAACTCATGAAAAACCGGCTAACTTCCCTTATGATTCAGTTACAATCAACATTCATGATATTATTTTAATAATTTTCATCAAGAATCAATATTTAAAACAAACAAAAATAAATGAGTCAAATTGAATTCAAGTTTATGCGATTTGACAGCTCTCGCTCTTTCTCTCTCTGTCTTGGAAAATGATGACGATGCTCGCGGTTAAAAAAAAACGCTAAAAAAAAAAAAATAATAAACACTCACCAACGCCGTATTTGGTTGTCTTTGTGGTGGTCCACATCTTAAGTATTTTCTTTCACAGGTACTACATTCTTCATTAAATGATAACAATCCACCTGTGTATCACGAAATTTTCAAAAACACAAACATTGGGTGTTGGTTTCACGTGTGTATTCTGCTGTGCACAATAGTGCCACACTCAAGTTTTCTTCTTCTGCAATTTTGGCAGTGTTGTCGTTTACTCCTTGTGATAACCGCTGGATGGCAACATTGTCGCTTTTATCACGTGACCATTGACTGAAAAAAAGGCGGCAATATTAGAATTTTATAAATTTCAAACAATATTTTAATTGTTTTCTATAGAAAAATGGAAAACAATTAAAATTGGAAAAGTATACTAAAAAAAAAGAATACCTTGTTAGCATGCTAATACTGAAACAAAGAAACTGAAATTAAATGCAAAAATAAATAATAAAATATTTTTCAACAAGAACTATTATAATAAAAACTATTTAAAGAAGAGAATTTTTGATAAAAAAGAAAAGGATACATCGTAGATAAGTCTGAAACAAACAAAAGCTAATTAGTGCCTGAAATAATAACGAAAAATTATTCCTTGAAAAAGAAAGTGTAAATTAAACAATTATAATATTTAAAACAATAAAAGTAGAAAAGGAAACATGTCATTCCTGAAATGAATATAAAAACAAATACCTTTTTATCAGATAAATACTGAAACAAAGAAACTGAAATTAAATGCAAAAATAAATAATAAAATATTTTTCAACAAGAACTATTATAATAAAAACTATTTAAAAAAGAAAATTTTTGATAAAAAAGAAAAGGATACATCGTAGATAAGTCTGAAACAAACAAAAATATATAAATTCCTGCAACAAATAAATTCAAATTAAACACGCATGATAAATCCAAAAAATTTATAACATAAAGCAATTAAATTATTTGTAAGTAAAAGTAAAAAGAAATTAAATTTCCTGAAACAAATAAATACAAATTAAATAGGAAAATGGAAGAGAAATATTTTCAAATTTGAAATGTAAAACTTAATGTAAAGTAAAAACATATGTAAATAAATACCTCTTAAAAAATTAAATTTCCTGAAACAGAAAACTTTTAATTAATGCAAATAAAATGAAATATTTTTCAATCATGTAATTGATGCACAAATACTTATCTTTTATCAAATCTATTTGTCTTGAAACTTTAATCACTAAAATTGCACTAAAAGAACTGAATTTAAAAAAAAAACCGATATATAAAATCAGCGAAAAAAATGCAAATTATAATAATTGGATTTTAGTGTTGAAATAAAAATTTTCCAACACATATGTTTATCACAGGACAAGGTTTTACGCGATTTTTAAAAATGATGGGCAAAATATTAAAAAATTCTAATATATAAATATAGAAATGTTAATTATAAAATATATTAATAAATAAAATAAATATATCAAAAAGTATAAAAAATATTCTCTTTTTATACTTTTTGATTATGTATATTATACAAAACACAAAAATGTAAAATAATCATCTGAAAAATAAAGTGATTATAGTAAAATAGTAAAAATTATTTTCTCACCACGATGATTCAACTGAAAAAGAACTTAAATTAAATTTGAACATAAAAGACATGAAAATACAAAATTCAAAAATCATATTCATAGACAAGATAGTGACACAAAAATTGCATACATACAACATAATAATAATTCATTATTCTTACCAGAATAATATTCCTCCCTAGCTATATTTAAAAGAAAAATTATCTCTCTCACACCACCTTTTCTTCCAGAATTCACAAAAAAAACTCACATTCTCACACTGAGATTATTTCGATGAACTAAATTTACACTACACTAAAGAAATTACTTGCATTTTTATGCAAAAACGAATAAAGAATTACGAATTGTATTAACAAAATTATTGACCTTCAGAATAAAAACAAAGACCTCGTACACTGAAGCATTCAATATGGCAGCCAATTTGTCTTCCCATCTTTCTTCAAGTTTCATCGAAAAAATAAATCCTATAGCACAATATTATTTATTACTACAATGTAAAGAAATATTAATACATTATCTTAAGATTGTAACAGTAGATGCTACAATGCTTAATATGGATCTGAAATGTTGGGAACATTGTTGTAAAAATGTATTGCGGTGTAGGAGAAGAGAATATAAAATGGCTACCACAATGATTTCAGATAACTTTGACAAAAATTCAACACATCAGTAGATTTTGTTTTTCATCAGATAAAATTCGCGTAATTAGAAACAATGTAATTGCAAAAATAAACTTGTATTTTGCAAATCAACTGCAAAAACGACAACACGCGCACCACGAGGCATGCCAAATGCCCGGTTTCACACACATCACTTTTATCATTTAATCGGTAATAAATTCGACTTATATGATTTAATTTAACACTGAAAATCACAATTGGATTTTAAAAAGACTCTTTAAAGAAACTATTCTTATTTTTTAATCGAAAAACACCCAACAAAAGTAACAAGAGACACGCACAACATGCACAAACTTGTACAAACGACGCCATTTTGACAAATAAGTGGCGACCAATCACATTCACGGTTTAATTTACGAGATAGAAGGGAAACTTTATGTTCAAATTAATAATTTAATTTAGATAACTTTAATTATTTGTTATTAATTTTTAACAAAAAATATAAAGTAAACTTAATTTTATTCGATCGTAGCGCTACACTTTTCGAAAACAGAGTTTACATGAAAATCAGTGACGGCAAACAGGGAGCGGAAACAAGGAAACGTGAGAAACGATTTCTGATTGGTCGAAATGGGCGCGCTGATTTCAAAAACATTAATTTTAAACTAAATTTAAAATAAGCGCGCGTATTTTAATTAAGGTTATAGTTTTTTATTTTAGCCGCAACAGCGCTGTGTCTGCTTGTCATTAAAAAATTGAGAATTGTTTGGGTCCACGTGTTTTTAATTATTTATTGAATTTATTTTAAAAGAAGGATAAAAAGGTAAATTAATATAATTAATTTTGTACAATCAAAATGTTATTAATATAGTTTATGAACTATATTCTCAAAAAACATAAAAAAAATAATTGTTCTCGACAAATCTTTGTTTTACATACCAGAAACAAGGAAACATTTTTTCTAATTTTGTAATTTTATAATTAATTGATTTGATAAATTTAGAAACATTTTAGAAACTTTTTGTTTAAAATATTTAAATCTCTTTGAATTATAATTTATATAGAATACTGTAAATGCATCACAATTTTTCATTTAGAGGTTATGTTTCTTTTTTGTTTTCATTTACATTATTAGCATATTTAATATTGTTTTTTATTTTGTTTATAATTATTTCTCCATTGTTTTATTTATTAACTTGTTAATTTTTTTTTTCTTTATTTTGTAAATTTTAAACGTAAATGAGAAAAATCCATGTTAGAAAGGGACAATTCACATTTACTGAAACAATTTTAAATATTTTACAGAATTATTGACAATGAAGCGAAAAGATGCAGAATTAACGAGTTCTGAATTAGACTCAAAGAAATCCAAGAAGTCAGTAAATTTTGCCTCTCAAGTTCATGTCAGAGAAATACCAAGAAAGGATGAGAAACCAGAAAAATTTTCTAAACAAGACAAAAAGAAAAAGAAGGGAAAATTCGAGAAGCAGACAATTGTAAAGAAACTGGAAAAAATAACATTAAAAAAGGAGAAAATTATAGCAGCAAAAACACCAGAGAACAAATCGATATTAAAGAAACCACAAAAATCCCAATCACCAAATGTCGATAAACCGTCAGTAATAAAAAATTCCGAGAATCCAAAATCAAAGAAAAAATTCGAAAGTCCTAAATCACAGAAAAATAATGATAAATCAAATAAGGTATTTCAAAAGAACAAATATCCTCAAAATGACGAATCAAGTGAAAAAGTTGATTGGTTAGATTTTAAAAAGAAGAAAAAGGCACTCAAGGCTCAACGAAAAATTAAAAAACTGACAACCTTGTATGATATTTCTGTACAAGCCAAGAAAATTGGGGAAAAATTACGAGTGATCGAAGCCGACAATGAAAATCGTCAAAAATTATCAACAGAATTACATGAATTATTAAAAGGAAATTATACAAAATTCATTTTAACACACGATATGTCACGTGTTATACAATGGCTAATTAAATATTCCAACACGGAAATTCGTCAATCAATTAAAGATGAATTAGAATCTTTATTGATTGAAATGTTTCAATCGAAATATGCAAAAAATTGTATCAAAGCATTTTTTCAATATGGTTCCGATAAATTGAGAAAAGAAATTTTCACCGCTTGCAATGGTCACATTATTAAATTATCAAGTCACACAGTATCAGCACCAATTTTTGAATTTGCTATCTCTGAACATGCAACAGATGCGGATAAAATTCGTTTTAAACAAGAATTTTACGGTGACATGTATAAACATGCAAAAGACGAGAATATCAAGACACTTGAAGATGTTTTTAAAACTGCCACCGATATGAAAAAAGCAACACTTTCAGCAGTCAAGACAAATTTAAATCGAATTTTGAATAAAAAACTCGCATCATCACCAATTGTTCATACGGTTTTAAGTGAGTTTTTGTCAATTTGTACTGATGAAGATCGAGATGAATTGATACCACTGCTTAGAAGTTTAATAGTCGATTTAACGAAAACCAAGGACGGCACAACAGTTGGAATGTTAACAATTCGTCATGGATCAAATAAGGATAAGAAAATAATCATGAAATCACTCAAGGAGCATGTAAAGGAAATTTCTATCTCTGAACATGGACATTTATTGATTTTTGCACTTGTTGATAGTGTGGACGATACGGTTCTTTTGAAAAAAATCATTCTCACAGAAATAATTAACAATGTCAATGAAATTATTCTCAATGAATATGGAAGAAAGGTAATTTTATATCTTGTTGCGCATCGAGATTCACATTATTTTCATCCAGCAATGGTGGAATCGTTGAAGAAGGAAAATGAAAATACAGCCAGCAAGAAGCCAATTGAATTAAAAGAGAAAGAAATTTTAGATGGAGTTATTGAAAAATTACTGGAAAATATTGTAGCAGAAACTAAAATATGGCTATCAAATTCATCAATTCAAATGGTTACACTAGCAATTATTAATTCGAATCATGAAATTAATTTAGAATCAACATTTCAAGCGATTGCTGACTTTTTAATTAATGAAGATTCAAAAATTATCGAAGATGACAAAGAATATAGTGCGATTGAACACACGGGTCTTCATTTAATTCTCAAAAAACTTTTTCAAAAAAGTACAATTTTTCTGGAAAAAAATAAAACATCCCTTGGTGATATTATGTTAAAACTTTTAGATTCTCAAATTTTAGAAAAATTCATACAAATAAATAGAGGATGTTTTTTGTTAATTTTTTGTTTAGAAAATTCATCATCAAACGTTGTATCAAGTTTATTGACATTGTTACAACCATTGAAAAAGAAATTGACGTCATTAGAAAGTCCTGGTGCTAAAATTTTGTTGAAAAAACTCAAGGATTGTAAATAATGTTATTTTTTTTACTTAATTATTATAAATAATTATTAATAATCAATTAAAAATCATTTTAATACTTGATTAATCAAGTAACTGTATATTCAGGAATTAATAAACATTTTTAATGTTATCTAAGTTCACTGTAATGCCGCTTTATTTTTTTTTCCTTACTAAGGTTACATAAATAATTATACTATAAATATTCGTCTATACAGGTAACAAATATAAGTTTTATAAAAAAAAAAAAAAAATTATCAATTGCCAATTATTTTCTATCTTGAATTAATGGAAGATATATATTAATTAAAAAGTATATTGATTTTTATGTTGCCAACATTTAATTAAAAAAAAAAAAAAATGAATGACTACGTGATTTAAAATTGATTATTCATATATACGTTTAAAAATTCAATCGTAGTTTACTATGACATTGAAAAATGGAAATAATGTTTTATGAAGAAATTTTACCTTCATTTGAGATATTGTTGATTAAATTTTAAGCATTGTTTTAATATCAACAACTCTAGTGCGAATTTCCGGTTGATTGTCTTTAGACAATTCAGGAAGAAATTCCTTAAAAAGAGCTGTTATTTTTTCCAATTGTTTGCTATTATTTGTTTCAGCCATTTTTCGTGCAAGTGATAAAATTATATTTAGCGCTTCTTTTCTTATTCTCGTGTATTTTGAGATATCTGTAAATTTTTCATAATTAAAATTTTAATATACTACTTTAAAAAAAAAATATTATTTTATTCCTATAATATTTTCCTACTTACTTATGGATTGTGTTAAAATTTTTTCCAATGTCTCATAAACGGTGTCCAACATTTCTTGATTACTCTCTGAAGCCGGAATTTTAAATAAAATAAGTTTATCAACAAAAAGATTTAAAGTCGTCAAAATTGCAACTTGAACGACTCGAGTACTATTTGGTAGCATTTCATTACAGTGTGTAACAAATTGCAAACAGTATTTATCTAAAATGAAAAATTAGTTTTATAAAAAGAAACTCATTACGTTCGTGATAATAATAAAATATTTAAAAAATAAATAAATTTATTACCTTGAGTTTCTTTACAAGAAGGCCAAGCTTTCCCTAAAGATTCATAAATAGTTTCTTGTAATTTCATTTTATCTTCAACTTTTTTTGAATTTTCACTTCTTGAAACGTCATTATCATCGTCATCATCATCAGTTTTACTTGATAACTAAAAAATTATTATTAATTAATTTCTTATATAAAGAAAATATTCATAATATTAATTCAATAATTTTACCTTCGGTAAAACTTCTTGTGCTATATCATAGATTTGAGTAAATCTATTAATATCCAACTCGTGTAAAACTTCTGAATAAGCTTTTAAAGCAAATCTACGATATTCCAAAGATTCTTTCTTACTCTCTTTATATAAAATTCCCAAAACTTCTTCAGTTAACTTACTATCTTTTTTCAATGCTTCCCTGTAAAAAGAGAATTTTTTTTAAAAATAATTTTTAATTCATAAATTAATATAAATAAAATGCAATAAATTTTAACTTACTTGCTGTTACAAGCAAGTAAAGAAAGAGCATTAAGAAGACGCTCTTTTCCATTCCATGTTCTCCCCTGTAGACCATTTGTCAAAATATTTAATAATATTTCTCTGGAACTATCATCGATACTTGATCCTAATTTTGTTGCAACAGTTGAAACAGCATTTGCAGCTTGTGCTTTTGTTGTCCATGAGGCAGATTCCAAAGCTGTTTTCAAAATATCTAAAATGGCACTTAAATTTTGTCGAATACCAGTTTCCGTACCAGGTGAAATTTCAGACCACAAATCACTCCAAATTTCAATTGTCGCTTCATTTCCTTTTTAAAAAAAATAAGTATAAAGAAAATTAAATATTTTTTTATAATTTAAAATAATATTTCCAAATTTTTTTTTTACCTTGTACTTTTTCAGCATGCATAGCGAAAAATGTTAAAGGTAAAACTATTTTTATGTGTGTTTTAATAATCTCTTGATTATTATTGTTTATCGATTGAAGAGTTTGTCCAATTGCAAGTCGAATAGAGTCATCTGAAAAATTAAATATATTTTTTTAAAAATGTATTGCAAAAAATAATACTTTAAGAACAATTTGAAAATATTAATATAAATACCTTCTCTTTCCATGTACCATTTATTTAAAGTATTTAATAATTTCTCTACGCTAGAATCTTTAGCACAACCCACCACATGACCAATTGTATTTGCATTATTTTTTCTTATCGATATATTACGATCAGTAAGACCGTTCAGAAGTGTTGTTAATATTTTACCTAAAACAGCAAATTTAATTCAATTATAATTAAAAATTAATCGCAAGTTAAAAAATTAAAATAATTTTAAAATAAAATTTTTTTTTTTATTACGAACCAGCATATTGTTGTAATTCCATTTTTAAATGTGAAGTCATAAGAATAATGAAATGAGAACATGCAACCTTAACTCCAAGTCCTATACTTGATTTCATAATATCAGTTACTTTCGGCATTAATTCTTTGAGAATTGGTGCATCGATGAAAGGAATACACTGTAAATAATTTAAAAATATAATTAATTCAATTTAATAGAATTTTTAATTTTAAGACAAATAATTAAAATTACTTTTGTAATTGTCTCTGTTGAATAATGACTTTTAGCCTCGCTTGCTCTTTTAGTATCGAAAATCTCTTGGGTTTCTTGTGAGGTACAATATGCATTTCGAAAATAATTGAGACCAGGACTGTCCAATTCTTCAGCTGCATTTAATAATGCAGGTATTAAATTGACTAGAGAAGGTTTCAATAAAATACCAGCCGCTGTCACAAGTTGTGATACTGTTTGCAATGAAATTGTTCGAATTGCACTTAAATTATGCGATATTCCAATATCTATTAAAACTGGCAGTACGGCTTGTAACACTTCTTCGCCTGATTTTCCATATGATGAATCACATCGACGAATACAGTACTGTAAAAAGATTAAATAATTAATAAAAAGAAAAGAATTTATTTTAGAAAAAGAAAAATTACTAAAAACTTACGTGACTGAATATTTTGGCAGTGTTTGCAGCCGCTAATCTAGTAGCCTCGTGAATATCGTCCATTACACGGAATAATTGTTTCCATAATTCCGGTGCTTTGTCAGTTAAATTAATCGGTGCACTCGAACGAAGTAATTCAGTCAAGGCGTGACAACAACTTTTACGTACTCGCCACTGACCATCAGTTAAATTAATAGTCAAATCTTCCAAAATTTCCTTATGATACTCCTCAATCTGAAAAGAAATTTAATTTGAAATAAATTTTTGCATTAATTAATTAAATTTTCGACTTACAGCTTTATTAGTAGATGGCACAATTGCACGCCAAATGCTCGCCATACTTTGTTGAGTTTTTGGAGTGGGATCAAATTGATATCTAAACAATTTAGGTACAATAGCTGGTAAATATTTTTTCAATTCAACAGTATCAATAGCAGCGAATGCCGAAAAACCATAAGCAGCACCTTTCTTTGAATTCCAAACTGCATTATGATTCGCTAAATGTAAAAATTGATACATAAATTTGGGATTATTTAAATCTGAAGCGAGTGAACATATCTCACGATACGTTGATAAATTTCCTCTGCAAAAAAAAAAATTTCAAAATTAAAAAAAAAACTATAAATAGTAAAATTAATTTTACTTGTTTTTATTCGAATTAAAAACTCACCCCAATGGACTTTTGCCCATTTCATTATTTTCGAATAACACTGTATCGGATGTTACTTTTATTCCTTCTCTTCGTCCATGAACAAATTGTTCTAATAAATTGGAAACTAAAGATTCACGATTATTTTCACCACTTGAATTATAAACCAAATAGAGACCTTTCGAAGCAGCATCTTGTACAAATTCTGTAAGTAAATAAAAAGTATTGCTTTTTTGTTTTATTAACGTAAAAAAAAAATATATAAATCACATACCATTATTTTCTGAAAGTAAATCCATAAATGAATTCTGAAGAATTGCAAAATTTTCCTTTATACAACTTCGTTCTGAATTGTATTTTACTAATGAGAGCAAACATATGCATACAGCCTAGAAAAAAATTGTAAATTTTTACAATTAGTTTTATCGATGAGAAAAGAATGAAATATTTAAAAATCTACAAACCTGTCTCAAATTTGGATGAGGTTCTTTTACAATTTGGAACATTTTTGTCAAAACAAAAGCAAGAAGCTCATCGCTGGTTTTACTATATGAAACCTTATATTCAGTAGAAGGTATTTTCCAAATATTTCTCGCATTTATAGAACCTGGTCCTTGAACGCAACATATTAAAGCTTCACTTAGAGTGAGATGAATTTCAATATCTTTAGTGTCTTTAGCGAAAGTGAGAATTTTTTCAGCAATAAATTTAGTATGAGGAAATTCTTCTCCAATGCATAAAAATCCAAGTGCAAGTACTGCTGTGTCTTTTATTTTATTATTCAATTTCGAATTTGTGAAAATAGAAAATAATTTCTCAACAATGTTCATTTTACTAAAACCTTTATCACTATTATCTGGTAATGGTAAACCAAATGTTTTTCCCATTATTCCAATTCCTTGCGCGGCAGCATTAATTAATAACGAATTATTATCACTTAAAAATGGACCTGTAAAAAAGATTTTCATGAAAATATATTTTACTTTTGTATTTTTTTAATTTCATTGAAAAAAAAATAAACTTACAAATTGTTTCAACTGCTACACTGTAGACTTTTAAATTAGAAATCTCTTCAATATTTGTCTGCTTTAAAGACAATAATTTTTGCTCGATCATAAAAGAAAGTGCTAATAATGCTCCATGTTGAATTTCAAGTACTTTATTTTTTGTGCAATTCACAATCTCCGACACTTGACTTTCAAATTCATTTAAAGGCAAATTGGCGACAATACAGGCATAAATTTTGGCACTTAATTCTCGATAATTCTCCTTTGTTGATCCTTGTAATTTTTTCAACCATGGCAAATCTTTTTCATAGCGTTTTGATATTTCAGGTGACATTGTTCCAAGTATTTCCAATAATGCGTTTAATGAAACTTCATCTAAAGAATTAAAATTGTTTTGTGATTAAATATTAGTAAATTATGAATAAAGATTTATTTAAATAAATGTGATCAGTATTTACCAGCTTCCTTTGAATGACCAATTTTAATATTGAGAAAACTGAGATAATTGTTAAAAATCTCCGGCTGTTCTTTTACCAAATTTTCAAGATAACGTCCAATCAATGGACTGTGTTCGCAAGGATGTTGAATTTGTTCACCTTGCGCTGAAATATTGGCACTTTTAGCTAGAGATAAACGCAAGTAGAGAACAATCTGTAAGAAAAATGTATTATTTATTTTATTACACTTTTTATTATAAAAAAATTTATTTTATAAAATATTTTTAAAGCCAAATACCTCAGTAAATGCTGCATTGTTATATGGTAAACTTTTAATGATAGAATCCTTTTTTCCAGAATTTGAAGTATTAATTTTTGCTTGAGCTTTTAAATGAACGTACGAAATAAGTTTTGTGAATTCCGGTAGAGGAATTTCTTTTAGATTTTGTTTATCACGCTCATTTTTGTAAGCCGTACCATATAAAGCTTTGAGAGCTTCCAAGCTCACCTCCTGCATTGTATCGCCACTAGCAAGAAGAAGTAAATAGCGAGATGGAGCATCATCATTTGGAAAAACAGTTGCCGCATAATGGACTGCAACAAATCTGCGAAAAAAAATTTTAATTAATAATAATGTCAATTAATATATTAAATATAACATTTATGTAGAATTTAATTTTTTTTTAAATTTGTTTAAGTACCTAACATGAGATTCTGGCGATTCAATGTGAACGGACAATAATGCGTTCATTAATGCAATACTTTGTTCATCTTCTTTATTAAGAATAAATGCAGAAGACATGCTGATTAAAGCATTTCGAACTGTGTGTCTTAAATCGCCATCAGTCTGAAAATAAATTATTATTATTATAGAATATTTGTTTTTGAAAAATAATTTTCTCGAAATTCAAAATTCCACTTACAGCTGCAAGAGTATCAAAGAATTTTTCCAATAAGCTGAAATCTTTATTAATTAAAGCAGGAATTTTTTGTCCAAGTTGCCCGACAATTGTGTATGCTTTTGGTTTATGCATGGGATCACCTTCGGAAATTAATTTCATTATTCCATTTAAAATAACACCAGCTACTCTAACCAGTGATGTAGGATTACAACTGTAAAGTTAAAATAATTTTTTAAAAAATATTTAAAATTTATCAAATACATTAAAGTTCCTTTAAACTTTTAAATACTCACTGTTGAACGATATTAGATGTAAATTGTAATGCCAATGTTTTGAGTTTTGGATTAGTATTGCTTCCATAGAGAGAATCAAAGACAACTTGAATGCAGGGAGGAATAATAAAACCCGCGTTAGTTACACGACAAAGATAATATAAAAGTTTAAGACGAATTCGTGTACCGGCTGGTAATCTCTTCATATCTGGTTTTACTTCCTTTTGCGTTGCTAAAGCATCCGTTCCCAAAAATAGGGAATATAGAGGAGCAGCAAGTTGCATTGATGACCAATCGAGTGTTCTATAATTATTAAATGTAAATTCTTTTTTAAATGTAGAACATTTTTTATTAATTAAAAAAAGTAGTTGAAATAAAAACAAACCCAATTATTTTCTTCAGCTCTAAATCAGCCATATTCGCAACGCTAAATCTTGTGTCAGCTGCAGCGACAATTAAATGAATGAATATATCCGAATCGGAGAAAACTCCACCCGAAATAAATTTCACAATTCCCAATTTAGTTTGCTCAAGTTGCTCGGCAGTTGGAGGAGTTTCTCCAATAACTCTTTTAAAAGCATATGTACTTAATCCTGGTGGTACTGGAAATTGTGACCAATCAATTGGTTGACCAGCCTGTTGATTCTCCACATTTCCCACAGTTCTATTTTACAAATAAAAGAATGATCAATTTTTCATTCATTCGATAATAATTTATAGTTTTAGAAATATTTACCCATATGGCAGTAATAACATATCGAGCATAAAATTTATAAGCTGTTTAGCGACGTTCGGTTTGTCATGTAAGCCAAGAAGAGCTCCACGCTTATCCGGATCCATTGGAACTTTAATATGAGCCAAAGCTGGCATTATAATAAGCAGCAAACTACAAAAACATCAAATAAATAATTTTTCATGATTTATATTATTAGATTTAATAATTAAAATATTCTACCAATTGGTAGCAAATGTTTTAAAAAATGATTAAATCTACCTGAACTTAAATTTTTCAATTTAGAAATAAGTAATTAAATTATAAAAATGATATACCTGTCTTGATGAGATAAGGGCTTTCCTTCAATAGCATTTAAAATACATGGAACCAATTCTGCTTGTTTGTTGATATTCATTCGAGGATATCCTAACTTGATGTATATAATCGTAAAATTCTGGAAATAAAAATAAAATTTTACCTTATCTCAATTTTATATATGAATAATAGAAAAAAAATTAACTTACAATTACAAACGAACTAGCCGCTGGATCTTGATATTGGAGTAAAAGTGCTTCCACAGGAAGTTGAACCAAAGGACGACTTTTCACTCTTTTATTAATGTGAATTAAAAGCTCCATTACTTTTAATCGCACACCTTCTTGAGTACTTGAGAGCTTCAATAAAACAGGAGGTAAAAATTTACATACTGAAGCTTGAAGTTGTTCGTCTGTTTCTGCAGATCCAAGGCGGAGAAAAACCCGCTCCAAAAGAACTTAAAAACCAAAAAAAATACATTTCAAAAAAAATTCTATTAAACCCTTTAAGTAAAATACAATTTTCATTGATTCAAACCTTTTATTTCTCTTTTTAACAAATTTCTTTTCTCATATCCATATTATGGAGGTCGAAAACTAACTAATTTTTTAATTAATCCTCTCATATTAAACTTACAATGAAAAGGAAATTCGATATTAATTTTGTCAAATTAAAATACTTATTTAAATTGAAATTAAATCCTAAAAAACATTCTAACCTACTTTGACAGATGAAACCACGTGCTGAATCTAAAATTATATATGTGTGCGTTAACACAAACACAACCCACTTAAGACACGACGGCGTGATATTTAACTTTTCCTTTTCACTCGAAAAACATCTTTTCTTTCATTTTTCATGCAAAAAAGAGAAATAACTGTAATCTACAATTCCTTATCTATGAAATAATAACCATTCTAAATTGATTACTAAACTATTCACGAGTGTAAAACAATTTTTTTCTACAGTGTACTTACTGAGTTCATCCGTCGCTCCTGCCATTTTGGAATTGTTTGTGTTGGTGTGCGAAACGAATGACACGATAAAATTGGCTAATTATAAAAACTTCACCATAAAACATTAAATCTTCAGTATTAATTAATGAAAATATTAATTCAAAACATGCTACCTCTGCACTTTAACAACAATGTGTTGCAATGATATACCCTTTAATTTGTGTTTTATTATACACATTAAAATGAGAAACACTGTTCGAAATTTGAGAAAAACAAAAATTGTTGAGAACCATAACCTGACTTTTAAAAAGTTATTATAATGATCCAGAAATTTTTAATTTAAACAACGATTAGAGATCAAAGAAATATAAATTTTTAATTTAATATTGAATTATCTATAGATATAATTTATTATTCAAGGTTCTTATTTATTTTTAATAAAATACTAAAAAAAAAACAAATTCAAATAATTATTTAAAAATAATATTCCCTTCTGACGTCAACAAACAGTAGCTTTTGATTGGTTTGTCTTTATTGGACAAATTCCATTTTTCTCAAACATTATTTATAATTGGTCATTAATTGTTCTATACTGACCAATTACAGCACAAAACAAACTAAATTATCCAATCACGGTTTATCTTTTATTTTGTTTATTACTTAAGGTAAAACAACGTAAGTGATCAGCAGGTATTAAAACCCGCAACACGTTTTTTTGATTTCTCCTTAAATATTATAACTCATTAATAAATATTCTTTGTTTATAAATGATTGTTCAGTGTTTTAGATAAAATTTCCAAAAATAAACAGTGCAATAATAGTGATTAATTTTGTAATCCCCATTTTGTATGAATTCATACATGTTTTAAGGTTATGTTCACCAACATTGTTGAAATTTTCTGCGTAAACGAAAACATTCTCAGTACAGCCAATGGAATCATTTGAAATAAAGCTTGATGAGTAATACCAACGAGTGACCTCGCGTCGCGACAGTCTTTTTGCTTCCCAATTTGTACCGTGTGGAACGTTTGAGAAAATTACTGACGTTTCGTAGTGGTTGTGTGCTTTGCTATTCGCATGGCCGACGTGTGCATTCCTTAAGTTTCTGTTCGCGTGGTGTCCTTCATATAATTGCAGGTGTTTTTATTAAAGATTTAGTGTGTCTAAAAGTAAAAAAAAACATTAATTCAAAATCACAAGTGAGTGTGTGCATCGTGTCAAATCCACAAGTGTACCGTTCGAACGTTATGCTGTGCACGTTCGACCTGACATAATCCGGTTTGAACTGGATTTCGGCAGGTTCTTTAAGATAAATGGACTGGCCGTTCGTTTCAGAAATTCTGCACATTTGGCTTTTACGAAAGGAGTAAATCTTTTTTTTTTTTTAATTACCCGAGAGAAATCATCGAGGAATTAGGTATAAACTCTTATATAGTAACCACGCGACTTCCAGCACACAGCAATGTCCAACGAGGAGACGTCCGCCGACCGTAATGTCGAAATCTGGAAGATCAAGAAACTTATTAAAAGCCTTGAAATGGCTAGGGGGTAAGTTATTTTCAATACTTTATTACTCGACTACCTAAACTTTCCTTATACGTGAAACAGCATATGTTCTCTTATACTTATGCATAAATTACAAAATTAAAGTGAACCATCCATGTAACATTTTCTCCAGGATGTCCGGAAACTATGTTTAGCTATTTATTTCCTGCTGTGAGTTGTCTGATTTCTAATAACAGACACTTAATATGTAGGTTAAATCCTTCTCTTTCTTTTTTAGAACCACATTTATAATGTTATGCAAGTTAGAATCACAATATGTTTCTTTTAGGAATTAAAAAAAAAAATTAATTTTGTTTTAAAAAAAGGAAATTGATTAATTAAAATTAAAATTGAATTTTAATATTTATTAAATTTAATATTAATTTTCATCTTTTTAGGAATGGCACAAGTATGATATCGTTGATAATACCTCCAAAGGATCAAATATCGAGAGTAAGCAAAATGTTGGCCGATGAATTTGGTACTGCATCTAACATAAAATCTCGTGTAAATAGATTATCAGTTCTTGGTGCCATCACATCAGTACAGCATAGGCTAAAATTATACACCAAAGGTAGAGAAATTTTCTTTTTTATTTTAAAATAAAATAAAATTATCTAATTGTGAATATTTAATTCTCTTTTTTTTATTCCAGTACCTCCAAATGGCCTGGTTATTTACTGTGGAACAATTGTAACAGAAGAAGGCAAAGAAAAGAAAGTCAACATCGATTTTGAACCCTTTAAGCCTATCAATACTTCTCTTTATTTGTGTGATAATAAGGTAATTAATTAATAATTTTCCTAGGAAAAAAAAAATGAAAACAATTGCGATAGTTTACACTATATATGTATAATAATTGATTATAGACGAAAGTTTGCAATGATTTAACATTCAAAACAACTGTGCCAAGGTTACCTAACAAAAGAATCATTATATAATAATAATATTTTTTTTAATTAGATGTCAATTTTTTTTTTTTTTTTGAGAAGTTTTACTAAACGGATAATATTTTGCATAATTTTGTAATTAATTAATTTTCAGTTTCATACTGAGGCACTTACTGCGCTACTTGCCGATGATAACAAATTTGGTTTTATTGTTATGGATGGTAATGGAGCGCTTTTTGGTACTCTACAAGGAAACACACGCGAAGTTTTACATAAATTTACCGTGGACCTACCCAAAAAACACGGTTTGTATATAATTAATAATTAATAATAAATTAGTAATTTAACAAATATATTGTCAAATAATTTTTGCTTTAAAAAAAATAATTTGTTTTGTTAATATGTAAATCTATTTTAATTCGCTTCGTAACAGTTCAAGTTCTCATTTATATGTAGAAGATTAAAAAAAAAATTGAGTTTTAAGAAAAGCGATCTAATTACAGGCAGAGGAGGACAGTCTGCTCTTCGTTTTGCTCGATTGCGTATGGAAAAACGACACAACTACGTCCGTAAAGTCGCTGAAGTAGCGACTCAGCTTTATATTACTAATGATAAGCCTAACATTGCGGGTCTTATTTTGGCTGGTAGTGCTGACTTTAAAACAGAGCTCAGTCAGTCCGATATGTTTGATCCTGTAAGTTTTATATAATATTAATGCTTTTTAATTTTTAAAAATAATTTTTTGTTTAGAATATATGTAAATTTATTAATTTTATTTCAGAGATTGCAAGCTAAAGTGATAAAACTAGTTGATGTTTCGTACGGAGGGGAAAATGGTTTTAATCAAGCTATTGAATTGGCAGCTGAATCTTTGCAGAATGTTAAATTTATTCAAGAAAAGAAACTTATTGGTACAATTATATTTTATTGATGTTTATTAATTTATTTATTTTTCATTTTATTTGATTCTAAAATTGTTTTCTTTTTTTAATTTAAGGTCGCTATTTTGATGAGATTTCTCAAGACACTGGAAAATATTGTTTTGGTGTTGAAGACACGTTGAGAGCCTTGGAATTAGGTAGCGTAGAGACATTGATTTGTTGGGAGAATTTAGATATTCAACGATATGTTCTTAAAAATCATACGAACGGTGAGGAGAAAGTATTGCATCTAACTCCTGAACAAGAAAAAGACAAATCACACTTTACTGATAAAGAGGTAATAATTGCATACAAAAAAATTTGTTTCATTTATTTTCGTTTATAAACAAATGTTTTGTTTATTATACAGAGTGGTGTAGAATTGGAATTGGTAGAATGTCAACCTTTGCTTGAATGGCTGGCAAATAATTACAAGAGTTTTGGAGCAACACTAGAAATTATAACAGACAAGTCTCAGGAAGGTTCGCAATTCGTCAGAGGTTTTGGTGGAATTGGCGGTGAGTTTTTTTTTGGACATTTTTTTTTTCAATTAACGACTCCGATTACTTTAGACTGAAAATTATAACTCCACGAATTTCGACAAGTTCCTTCGATAGTTGAAAATTAGATTTAAAAAAACATTAGATTTACAGGATTTTTTTAAAAAAAGAGAATCTCCTTTAAATAGATAAAAGAATCAGATTTTTAACTGATAATAAATAATGCATGTTTTGACACTTAAAAGAAAACAAAAAAGTGGAAAATTTTGAAGAAAAGAGATTTTTGGCTTTGAGAGAGGTCATGTTCGAAAGTTAATAATAACTGTAGAGCATATGTTCGAATTTAGGAATCCTCCGCTACAAAGTTGATTTCCAGTCACTGCAGGCTGATGAGCCTCTTGATGACGTTGACCTCGATGATTACTAATTTCATCCGTGAAATACTCAAGAGTCTACCAGGTAGAAGTTTATCTGTTTTGAGTGAATTCATTCATATATATATATTTCGTGTTTCGTAGTACTTCTCATTTTTTTTCTCTTGATAATCGATGAATTTGTCGAGTTAAAAATATTAAATGAACAAACTTTTGTTTCAATTTTATCTCTAAATTTTTATTAACTAAATAAACTATAGACATAAATTTTTTTTATTTATTTAAAATTCATTTTTTGTGTTTATTTCAATGTTTAAACAATTTTTTTCAATTTCACTGCATGTTTCATAAATTTTTTTATTTTTTTGTTCTATTTTTATTTTACTAATTTATCACAAAAAATTTTAAAGTACGTTCATTTAATGTTTGAGAATCGTAGTAAAAAAAAAAGTATATCGACAAACTGCTATAATTTCTTCATTGAGTTTTCACTGATTAGAATAGTTCTATATTATAATTATTTCAACGCTGAATTCATAAAACATGTTTCTTTCTTCATGTCATGCATATGCACTGCACATTTATTACAGTTTAAATATAGAAGAATTTTGAGTTTTCTTTTTTTGTTCTCTTTTCACAAAATTGAAGGAAATTGTTTATGGAGATAATTTGATCGAACTGAAGGAAATTGTTTAGAAAAAATATTTGTTTTTTTTCTTCTTGACAAAAAAAAAAGGATTGAAGGAGATTATGGACAAAAATTTGGTTTTTATTAAAATTGAAGGAAATTCGTTATGAAAAATATTTGTTTTGTTCTTTTGAAGAACGAATTCGTGGAAATGAAAAAAATGGTGAATTTCAGGAAAGGACAAATTTGGTTTAATTTAACATTTTTTTACATCTCTTCATTCAATTAAGAACACAGTTCCTTATTTAATTGACAATAATTTTTAAATATAGAAAATTTTTGTTTTATTATCTTTACATTTACATTAATTGCAAAACTACATCCATATAAAAGTAACAATTTCATAAAATACTAAAATAATATTTTGCTCGAAATTATCATCTTTGTATTGCTGATTCTATATAATTATTCTTTTAATTTGCATGACTGAAGCTTTTTAGTAGTTTGTATTCCTTTTTAGATGAAAGTAGGTAGAATTTTCAAAAGATTTTTATATAATATGGATTTTAAAATTCTTATTTTAAACAAATTGGAAGTATCTTTTTTTGTTTTGGATATTATTTCTTTAAATTCACAAAAAAAAATTACCAATTTAGTACAGCTTTTCTATTTATTATTAATCTTTTATTTATAAAAGTATATTATTTTCGTTATCTTTTACCATTTTAATTATTCCTTATTAATTTAATTAATTACAATTAACCCAACTGTAAAAGTAAAAAAGTATTTTCAATTTTCCTTTCACGATACACGCAGCATTGAAAAAAATGTGCTTGAGTACCTATTTATTTTATTGAAATAATTTTTAAATTTTCTTGAAAATTGAATATCAAATACAAATTTTAACCGTGGTGATGAATACTTTTCCCTCAAATTAAAGATGTACTTCATTTTTTTTGTCTAAAAATATTGGAAAAAAATTATTTCCTTTAAATTGTGCATGTTTTGTTGTTCGATATTGATAAATATTTATTATCTTGTAGATATTTCTAAAATTGATGTAATAGTTTTCTCATTTTCGGAAAATGTTAATTTTTTTAAAAATATTTTTTAAAAACGTAGATTGTTAAAACTTAATTGTTTTAAATGTAGTTGTTTTTTTTTAAATGAATAAATTTTGCACGTCAATATTGATATTTTAATAAATGTTATTTAAAAATTAATATTTTTTAATATATATTTTTTTATCAATAAATTTTAATTATCTACTTCAATATTTTTGAGGGTAATGTACTAATATACCTTTTCGTTTTTATTAGCTCGCATATCGGGAAAGGTATAGTACATGCTTTTTAATACAAAAATCCCTATTTAAAAATACACAAACAATATTCTAGAGTAATGCCTAATTGTACTAATAATCCGCTAAATTCGCTAAATTTTAGAACTGAATTGAGAAAATTATAAAATTTACATTCCTTTTAATTAAAATAATTATCGGCTAATAGAAGCGTTAGTCTTCCAGTAATACAAAAAAAATAACTAAATAAGCTTGTACATTTTTCTAGAAACAATTCTTTTAAGTAATTTAAATAATTTACACTATATTAACATTTTCTTCTAATCTTTTCTTGTAAATGATTTTTAAGATACAAACTTTTTCTTCCGTACCTATTATTAACATAGAAACAACAGAACAGATAATAAAGATTTTAATTACTAAATTGATAAAATATTTGTGTTAATTGGAAAAAATACAACTTTAGGGAAATAAAATTCGCTCAAGTGACGCAACATTAATAATAATAATGTTTTCTTTTTATTTATTTGCAGGAATATTGCGCTATAAAGTCGACTTTCAAAGTATGCAATTGGAAGAAGATGAACTCGATAATTTCGATCTGGACGATTATTAAAAAGCAGTTGAATTTACAGACTACTACTCGGTTCTCAAATGCTTTTATGAGAAAAAACGCACTGCGTGTTTTCTCAGTCGCGTAGTATTTTAATGAGAAGCACTTTTGAAAATTTCCCAGCAAGAGGCAATTTATAAAATTTAGTGAAAAAAAAAATCGTTTCAATTTTTATGGAGCACTACGCGATGAGAGAAATCTCCAGTTTGTCGCTTAGATTGATGATGTGCACGGAAAAGAGCAACACGAAGACTGTGACACTTAATAAATAAAAGCCAGCTTGATACCTGCCTACCATCTTAAAACAAAAATAATAATAATAATTCACGCAAAAACAATTATTTTTTTCTTTGATTATTCACATGAATTTATTTAGTCATTTTCAAATGAACTAATCTTAGCGGAAAAAAAAACTATTGTATAGTGCTACGAAACGATAAATTTTTGTAAAAAAAAATCGCCTTTTGCTTTTTTTTTAAATGAAAAATGTTTTATTGGCTCAAATTAACTTCGCGCAGAATTTTAAATGTTATATATCAAATCATAAAAAAAAATCTGTAATAAATTTTAGATTATTATAACATTCAGCCTACATCGTGCATTTCGTAAAATTCGTATGAATAATGAAAGCTTGCACAAATTTTCAGATAATATTTTTTTTTTTTTTTACATTCAAATTATATTTTCAATTTTTATTTTTCTTATTAATGAGGAATAGAGATTTGGGATTCAACTGGTCACACATCCGTCTCTACGACAATATATACATAAAAAAAAAAAAAAAAAAAAATAGAAAAATTGTATGTGAAAAATTTTGCCTTAAGCGTGTCATAGTTTTGTACGATATCTTTCTTAGTTTTCAGCGAAATGCAAAAATTCATATAATTAGCATGAGAAAGAGAGAGAGATCGCCAAGTTGATTTTGAAACAACTTTGCCCATGTTCTCAAAGGCTTTCCATCAATTTTCGCGAAAATTCATTAAAGTGAAAAACGAATTATTAAAACTAATTAAGAAACGATCCTAGTGTTGTTACTTTTACTTGCTTTCTCATCATGATGCCTTTGTAATAAAAAAAAAAAAAAGATACGATATAAACCGAAGTATTATAAATATTGCAAGAAAAAAAAATGCACCAGTTATTAATCGAATGTCGTTTTTATCTATACTGTAGATCGAGATTCAAGTCCGGAGTTTATTTTTATCAGTAATTTTTAGACAAATTATTCCGCAAAACAAAAAAAAAGAAAACCAGGCAGAAATTTAGATATCTTGACTGAATCATCATGTCATTTTTGTGAACAACGAATTATAGTTCACTGATTTCTATCAGAGATTGGTATAATAGAATTATAATAAAGACAACTTTAATTTTAAAATCAAATTTTAGCTTTTTAAATAAATTGTTTTTTGTAAAAAAAAAAAAAAAATTTGAAAAATTGCTCAAGAATGTGTTTTTTGTTCCAATCTCTGATTTGACTGATAATTAAAGGTGAATGATTAATTTTTTGAGTAGATAGCTAGATTATTTATTAAACATCTCTTTAAAGAGATGTCACTCTTATTTTGATGATTCTCATTAATTAAAGAGATATAAATCCAATTGTAGAGGAGTAAAAGAAAAGTATTTTTCTTTTTATTTTACTTTTTGATTTTTTTTTCTGTTTTACAAATGTACTTAGCTTACAAAGTTACAATAATTTTTTTTTTTTTTTGAACTTTAAAAAAACAAATCTTTCATTTTTTTTTCGTATAGTGAATCAGGCAAGCGATGCTTTGTATCGATTTTGAAAAATGCAACGATGTAAGCACACTGCAAAAATATTGTTCAAATTTTGGGAAAATTATGAACGTTATAAATTTAAGCCTCATGCCTGGTGTATGTACAATGCAATGCAATATTTATGTATGTTGAATGATTCAATGGGTATCAAATGGTATGTATTTGTTACTAGTTAATTGTAGTGCTGCTAAAAGAAAAACAAAAACAAAAAAAAAAAAAAAAAACTATGTTTATCCGGGCGGAAAAAAACTGTGAAAATGGTGACTTTAGATATGAAAATTGAAATTGGTTTAACATAGAGAATAAATTTTTATATTACTAAAAAAAAAAAACAAGGATAGCGGGTATCATCCTTCATTCGATAAAAATACATAAAAAAAAAAGGTTACAGATTATCAGACTCGGCCCTCGAATTAAGGATTAAATTGTCATTTATAACTTTTACAATTTGTATTTGCATTTATTTAAAAGAACCTGCATGTTTGGCTCAATGAATTTTCTTTTCTTTTAAATGTACTACTTTGTTATATATTTCCTCATAAAAAAAATGAATATTTTAATGAGATATACTTTTTATTCGTAGGTGAAAATAATTATTTTTATTTCAGATACATTTTATTAATCGATTTTTTTATTTAATTTAATTTTATCACTGCAGAATAAAAGATTTATTTTCTTAAAATATATTAATTAAAATTTGTTTTTTTCAAAGTATTTTATTGTACCAGTGTAAATTTGTCATATTACATAATTCTGAACAAAACAATGATAATTATTTACAAATATAATACAACTTAGTACTTGAAAATTTATTCTGGTACAAGAAGATTGAGACTTGTATTTGAAACTTCAGATCCAATAAATTTCTCTTCGCCCCCACGTATTGATAATGTTGTTCCGGGAATTTTTACCTTTTTCTCATCCATCATAGCAGCTCTCTTCCAATTTGAACTGTTACATTTTTTACAACTAACTGTTGGTACAACATCCAAAGTCACAGTTCTATTTCCACAATCGCCACATTTGAAAAATCTCTTTACAGCATCATGAACTTTAACATGATGTCCCAATTCTTTGCATAAATCTGATCTTGAAAATGCCGTGTATTTACAAATTGAACAAATCACTGCCTTACATGGAACCTTGAATGTTGACATCATTTTTTCTTCCATTTTTTCTTTTATCTCTAATTTACCAAAATATTTTTCTTTCTCTTCTTCTTCGGATTTTTCAATAAGATTAACGTGCGCCGATGTTGTTTCCAACATTTCTTTAAATTTGGTGGTGAAATTTTTTGTTTCCTTTAATTTTTTCTCTTTTCTCTCTTCTTCTTGTTCAATTTCTCGTTTTCGTTTTAGGGATTGTTCTTTTTTTTCTTTACTCATAAGAATGTGATTTGGATTTGATTTTTTGAATTTTCCATTTTCTTGAACAAATTTCAAAGCATTTATTTTTGCAGAGTCCTTTTGTTTTTTGGTAATTGATTCCGATAAATCGATATTTCCTGAAGTGATTCCATTGCCAAGTCGTGGAAATGAAAATGAATTTGAAAGTCCAGAGGAAGATTTTGTAATTGTCTTTGATTTTGAAGATTTTGAAAGGCTATTTAAATCAAAAGATTTTGAATCATTTGATGGTGTTGCAAATCCTTGTTTCATTGTCCATTCTTGTAATTTACTTCGAGTGAAGCCTGGAGTTTTTGATAAATAAGATGTATCTTCTTCAGCATTCATTGCTTGTAATTTGCTCAATGTAAAACCATTTTTCTTCTGTGGAGTCGAAGATACACAGGGAATTTCAAAAGTAATTTCTATATCTTCTTTCAAAGAAGATTCCTTTGTTTCATTTTTTGTAAGATTTTTTAATTTATTCAATCTTTCAAAATCTTTTTTCGATTGATTATTTGTTAATTCTACCATGTGTCGTTTAGTTTCAGGTTTATCTAAACTTGTGTTTTCTAAAATTTTATTTTTTTCTTCTTTTTTCTCGGGTTTTTTCATGCCAGTAAGTAAAGCCAAACGTTCACGATCTTTATCGACAAGTTTTTGATTTCGTTTAGCGGGAATTCCAAAAAAATTTTGTGGCTGCGCTTGAGTTATGGCGGCTTGAATTTTTTTTCCACCAAAACTTTTACCAAATCCAGAAGGTGGTCCAAGACCTCTTCCATTTGCGCTTGATTGAATATCAGCACGACGTGAACATTGTTTATATTCTTTTTGAACATGATAAACACAATATTCGCATCTATTTCGATTAACAACCGATGAACAGGGTTTACCACTTTTGGTTGTTGATTTACAAAGTCCCATATCCTTGGAATTGCCGAGAATCATGACTTTTTGTGCATTATCGACTGATAAAGTTGCTTGATCCTTATCATCTTTATTTTCTAAAACATTTGGATTTAAAATACCAATACAAACACCAGTTTCGGTTTTCCATAAGGCTTTATATGCTCCACTAAAGAGAAAAACAGAAACAACATTCATATCAAAGGAAAGATCAGAGATTTTCCAAATGCAATATTGACTTCCTTTTTGTGATTTTAAAATTGGTGATTTATTTATGACAACTCCGGCAATTACCCAATCATCTTGAAGATTTCCCGTGGCTAAATGTGATTTTACTTTTGATATTGTAATTGGAGTTCGACCAAGCATTCGATCTTTTAATTCTGTTGATGATATTAATGGTTTTACTATTCGAAGTCCAAATATTGGATCACTATAAACGTCAATTGATATTGAGGCTTTTGTTGTTGAAACTGTGGATAAATTATTATGATATTTAGATTTATTTATTGTGCTGGATTGAGAACTATTTCCTCTTGCATTATTAAAATCAAAAGATTCTTTGCTTTCACGTAATACTTCTCTGGTAATGAATTGATCCTTTTTCTCAAATTCCTCTTTTTTGAGAATATTTCTTATTTCACGACCACCCTCTGAATATTTATTTAATTCAAAATATCGTTTGTCTTCATCGTCAGATGAGTCAAGATTTTCATTGTAAATTGAATTTGTACTTTCCTTTGATGATTTTTCAATTGAATTTGAAGCAGAATCGAGAAAATTAAAATTCAATTCTTTTAAAGAAGTTTCAGATTTTTTTGGTTCACATTCAGATTCTTCATTGTTTGCAAGGAGATCATTTAACATATCTCCTAAATCTGAATCATCGTCGTTATCCATGACTGAAAATATTATTGTTTATTAATTAAGTGATCATGATAATATAACCAGAAATTTCTAGCACTTTGTGGTTTATGAAATTTATTTTAATATTACATGTATTTAAAGGTTATATTTAAAAAAATAATGGTTTTAATTAATTAAAAAGATTTTTGTTTACAAAAAGAATAAATTCTTCTTTAAATCACAAATATTTTACGTAATAATTTTTGAATGAGCAAATTCTTTTGTTTACATATCATTGTTAAATGAAATAAAATATACAATATTATTTATTTCTTACCTTATTTAAATTTTAACAATTAAATATATTTTCAAGTAACACAGTGATACAGCATATGAATTAACATATTAATAAATATATTATTTCATAAAATTAATTTTATTTTTGCAATAAAAAGTTATAATTTGACGTTTGTACACGTTTCCACGTTTTACCCGCCAATAGTTGTCCATAAACTAGTAAAATAATATAGAAATGAACTGATGGGCGGTATTCATAGTCGATACTTATTTCTTAAGCAGCGACTTAAGCTGACACCTAGATTCATAGTCGCGCATTGTGGATTGACTTAAGCCGCAACTTAAGCATTTGCTTAAAGAAGTAAATGCTTTTGATTTTGAGATGCAGAGTCCCATCTTAAGAGTGCCAAGTATTCATAGTCAAATAGGATTTTCTTATTTGACATTACCGGTGGACTCCAATTTGGGACATGGGGACTCCAATTTGGGACATGGTCGTAGTTGGATGTCCGTATGTCCGTAGTTTAGTTTAGTTTAATTTGTTTTAATTTGGCTAATTGTGTTTATTAATGAAAAGTGTGTATTTGTTTGAAACTGATTTAAACCTGGTATTAAGCCAGGAGTGAAATAATTGCAAGAATTTGTATTGAGAATTATAATATTAATTGTGGTTAGATACTACTATCTTCTTGGTCACATGTCTAACAGCAATATATGAATCCGAGTGCATCTTAAATATAAATAACCACACCTTATGATAAATGGATTTTATATAAATTATTACTGATTTCTTTCTGAATGGAAAAATGATTTTTAAAGCGTGCAGAAGGAATAGCGGAAAAATCAATTAAGGAAGCGTGATGGTCTCATAACCTAAAATCAATGGTTGATAATTTGAGGAAAATTTGCCACATTCTTTAATACCATCGGAATACAGGTATTAATTTCGAAAATAAATATTCGGCCTTGCTGATTTATATTTTGGAGTTTGCTGCTTTTTGGATTTGTGCTAATTTAGTTTATGCTTTCCTTCAATTTATTCTCTCCTAATAAATTCTTCATTTGCTTGGCTTTATCCCTGCTTAAAAATTAATGGTTTAAACCATAATCCTCAACTTGCCTGAGTGAGTACATTATTATTTTTTTTTTAATTTTTCTTGCTGATTTTGTTTAAAAAAGAAAAAGGAATAAGGAGAGGAAAAGGAGGTTAAAGAGGGAAAGAAGAAAAGGAAAAAAAGAAAAAAAAAAGATAAGAGTTGATTTTGTTAATAAATAAGCGTGTTAAGTTTGGAAATGCTTTTCCTCCTTTTTTTTCCTTATGCTGGGTAAATAGGGGATTTGAGCAGTCAGTCTCCTGTAATTATTAATCACTGAGACATTGTGCGTTTTTAAATCTTGGGGATTATTAGCAAATTAAGATTTGCTTAAAAAAAAAAAAAAATAAAAAAAAAAAAAAAAAAAAAAAAAAAAAAAAAAAAAAAAAAAGAAAGGGAAAGGGGAAAAAAAAAAAAAAAAAAAAAAAAAAAAAAAAAAATTCTCTCTTTCTTTGCTTAATTAGTTAGATTACTGATTGATTATAGATGTCTTGGTACTGGATGTGAAAATAGGGCTAAATTGTTTCTCTCTATTGTGGTTGCTTTACTTACTTGAATTTTTTTTCAGCTTGATCCGGTTTAATACGAATGAGATGGAGTCCTTGAGGGAAGAGTCTGCTGAGGAGGGTGTGCCGTCTGGAGGTTTGGAACGACCTGGTCACAGTGTAAATGAAATCCCTAATCCTGCGGTCATGAGTTGCGTTATGGATGCGGATATAGATCTTTTGACGGGGAATAATATTCAATCAGCGGAGAATGACACTAATTCTTTCCTTCCTTCCCCAATTAGACCCTCAATTAATCCTAAGAAAAGGAACATATCCGTTAGGAATAACAATGAATCAGTGGCAACGGGCTCTTCAGATGGTTCATTTGGTCATATTACAAAAAAACTCCTAATTCCTGAAAAAAATTCTTATCGAGAAATACGGGCCGATCGACAACCACATTCCGCGGATATTGGTCCCGAAAATGCAAGCAATCAATCTCAGTTTGAGGATGTAATTTGGGATCAACACGATCTTGAATGGAATAATAGTATTCTTCCTCCACTCTATTCCGCTTCTAGCCCTCCCCCATTTATTGTTTTAATGGAGAGCACCATTAGAGGCAAAAATATTGGAAAACTGGACCCGATATGTGTAATTGATCTAATATCGCCTATTATTGAGGGGGGAAAACAAATAACACGTAATGGGAAAAATCAAATAAAAATTGATTGCGCAAAATGGCAAGATGCTAACACCTTAGTTGGTGCCAAAGAACTAATATTGGCGGGATATGTTCTCTTCATCCCAGATTCCTTTTTGAGAAAAAAGGGATTCACAAGATGGTTCCCCACTAACAGATCAGTCAGGGATATAGTCAGGGTATGTCGTGAAGGAGACTTGGATAATATAGCTAGTATTCGTCGTATTATTGATGATAGGAACACAATTCTAGAAAAGATAGAATTTACTTTCAATTCACCTATCGTTCCACGTAACATTGTACTAGGTGATTTTGTTATCCCAATAACTCCTTCCTTACAGAGACCTCGGAGATGCTTCCGTTGTCAGCGTTACTGCCATGTGGCTAATCAATGTCGTTCGACTTACCCGACGTGTGAATTTTGTTCTGGAAGGCATTTGACAGACCTTTGTCCGAATGGTCACTTGCAACCAAAATGTAAAAATTGCAAGGGTTCCCATGTGGCCTCTTCATCGGAGTGCCCTGTATTTAAATTTGAATTTGGCATTTTAAAATATCGTTATATCCATAATTGTAATAGAGAGGAGGCTAAACTTCTGTTTTATGCGGAAAATCCTGATTTATTAAATAACATTGAAACTAGGGGTGAAACACCTCTGCCTTTGCCGGTGATTCGTCAGGGTATGACATCAACCCAACCAACTAGGTCTTCCACACCTATTGACCTTCAAGATAAGGTAAATAATCCCATTCCTGATCCGGTTTTGGAAATTTCGAATGCGCTGAATCAGCATCAACTGTCTGAAAAAATATCGGCTGTAAACACACTTATAAATATCAATCAGTCTCGCTCAAACTTGATTAACTCAATAAATGAGAATCTCTCTACAAAATGAACACTTAGAAGAGTTCAATTTTTTTATTTACTAAGAGATTTAATAGTTCTATTTTTGTTAGTTTTAAGTCGTTATAGTTATTGGTATTGATTGGGCTTAGAGGTTGGCTAAGGGAAAAGAAAGAAAGAAGAAAAAAGGGAAGGGAAGGGGGGAAAAAAAAAAAAAAAAAAAAGAGAAAAGGAATAATGAGGGGTAAGGGATGGCCCTGTTTTAATATTTCTATATTTTAATTCTCACTGTGTTTCATAATTTGAGTCTGACTGCTCAAATATAAAATCGATTAAAATAATTGGAGTGTTATTGTTTTGTGTACTATAAATGGTTACGGGTTGTAAAACACCTCCTACTAAATTTGATAGATGTTTAGGAGGATTTGGCAAAATTAATCGTATTATCTTCCTTGAAGGATTATTAAACTACTATATATTCAATTGGTTATACTAAGGATAATTAATTTTGTTGGTAATTAATCCACATTAAATAATCCTCAAAAAGGGGAGATAAGGAATAGTTTTCTACAAATTGTTTGAGGTTTTTTTTGTTTTGTTTTGATTTTATATACTACTTGTTTTTTGCTATGGCTATTTAGGTATTTGGATACTCGGGAGTTATTTGAGGAGTTTTGTTGGTTAAACTTTGAGGAGGTAATTGATATTTGGATTGGATAGAAGTGAGAAAATAGTTTGCCCGTTGTTCTACTGGTAATATAACTTATAACAGTAATCTGTAATTGGATTGTTGTTCGTAATGATGTCTTCAACCAATCAAACTATTAAATATGGAATTTGGAACGCTCACAGTGTGCTAAATAAACGTGCTGAAATAGAGTCGATGTTACATATTTATGGGCTGGATGTCTTGGCCATTGCGGAAACTTGGCTCACTGCTGGAACTAAAGTTTGGCAAATCCCTGGCTATTCCACCTATCGCTGCGATCGGCTTGATCAGCGACATGGGGGTGGGGTGTTGATCTTGGTCCGTAGCAGGTTTATGGTTGCGCCTATTAAAGTCAAACACTCAATATTAGAATACATTGATTGTGTAGGGGTAACCATTGCTTCTGACATAGGGAAAATCCAGTTTTTCTCGGTCTACGCCCCTCCTAACGTTAAGATTCCCTCTCGAATTTGGAAACAGCTGACTAGCTGTGGTACTAAAGAAAATCCCTATATTCTATGCGGTGACTTTAATGCCCACGCATGGATGTGGGGGGCAATTAATTGCAATTTGAGGGGAATCCAACTGAGCGAGGCTGTGGAAGAGGCAAACCTGGTCCCGCTGAACGATTGCGATCCTACATATGTTAGTGGTAGGGGTAAGGTTGGGGGGAACATTGACCTAATATTTGTCTCTGCTGACCTGTGTAGACTTACGTCGGCTGATGTTACCTCTGACACCTTTAGTTCGGATCACTTCCTGGTTGTGGCTTGTACGGATGTCTCCGCTAAATATCAAAAGGCCTCAGTCAATAGACTGAACACTAATAAAGTTGATTGGGCGAGATTTTCCTCTGGAATTAATTCCTGTGTTAAGATTCTGTCACAACGTCTTGAGGTTGAGGATTCCCCGGAGGTGATCTACGATCAGTTGTTGACTGACATAAAAGATCAGTTGGTTATTGCGGGAGCCTATTACCCCTCAGGACTTCCTGGTCTAAGAAAAGCCAAACCACTCTGGTGGGACCAATCTTGTGAGGAGGCTCTTGAAAGGCGTAGAGAGGCCAGAAAGAACTTCCTAAAGTCTCAGTCCCAGGAAATGCGAGTTATATTTGATCAAGTTGATAGCGAGGTTAAGTGGTTTTTGAGAAACAAGAAAAAGACTTCTTTCGTTGATTTCTGTAACTCGGTTAGTCCGGCGATGGGTTCTAAAGAGATTTGGAAGAAGGTTAGGGCTTTCTCGTCTTCAACGCAACCCTTACGTACAGGGATTTGCAATGACCCCGACTCTGAAATTTTTAGCAAACTACAAAGGGATTTGGTGAAAGAAGATGTTCTTCCTGTAGATCTTCCCCTGATTCATGGAGTT